TTCTGTTTTACGTGACAGACCTTACTAATTGGCTGTGTCGGGTGGTGGCGGGTTTAACGACACATTTCCGTGGTCTAACCCAAAAAAACCTGTATTATGGACGGATGTAGTTCATCGTTTGCGGTCGGGGATAACGCGCTCCGCAATCCACCAGACTGCGCAGCCCTTGGGGTCGAATGGTTCATTACCATCTGGCAGGTGTTAGTTTTATATATATACACACTACACTATAGTGTGGCGTATGCAGCGTGGTATGTGTGTGTGTGTTTGCAAAGGGGTAGAGCGGAACGATCTCACGGTTTGTGCGACCACGCTATGGACCCGCACAAACTGAGTTCGATTCCCAGCAACAGCCCACGTGACGTCCTGGGAAACAGCCCACCCTTTCGTTCGCCAAGCTGCTCCGCGCAGCGTGGTGAAGTATGCACGAACAACTGCCGTCGCCGACGCTGCTCGGCGGAAAGGGAGCCGTCGCCTGGCTGTGGATTGACAAAAGCAACAGGAATGTTTCTTGGCACGGAACCCCTTTGGCTTTTTCAAATTCACGCTCGCGTGCGAGAAGCATTCGGGGTCGTGTAAACCGACGCTCGGCAATCTCACCCCACAACAGACGTGCGCGGGCTGGAAACTGGAACGCGGCGGAGAGCGGCTTAAGGCACAGCAGTCTTTGTGCTGCACGTCAGCCCACGAGCGTTGCCGTTTTATGCGGGAAAGAAAAGGGAACGGGGACGTCCAGCGAATGCTGTCACGCACAAGCGTTTTGCGAGCGTTTGTCCACACCTCGGCGCGCGGAGATAAAAGCGGCACCTGTTCTCGCGTAGGAACAAAGGGGGTGGCCCGGTGGTGGTGGTGGTGGTGGTGCCGGCCCACTGGGGGGGTCCTAAGCAGTGATTACATTGGGATCGGGGGGGTGGGGGGGCATGGGCCGCCCATCCTTTCAGGTGATATACTGGCTGACTCCTGAGATGACAGAAGCGAGAAAGACAAGAGATCGGGACGTCGCGAGGTGGGGGAAATGTGAGCAGAAAGATCAGACGTGCAAGGAGATGGGAGAAGGGCAACACAGACGAGATAGAAGTGCAGCGAAATGAGAGAGCTGTGTGCAAGACACAGATTGTAGCAAAATGAGGGCAGAGCTGCAGACAAGATAATGTGGAATTGCTATCACTCGGTCAAGGTTGTTTACAGAAGATGGGCACTCGTACAGTGAGGGAAAAAAAGTATTTGATCCCCTGCTGATTTTGTACGTTTGCCCACTGACAAAGAAATGATCGCTCTATAATTTTAATGGTAGGTTTATTTGAACAGTGAGAGACAGAATAACAACAAAGAAATCCAGAAAAACGCATGTCAAAAAATGTATAAATTGATTTGCATTTTAATGAGGGAAATAAGTATTTGACCCCTCTGCAAAACATGACTTAGTACTTGGTGGCAAAACCCTTGTTGGCAATCACAGAGGTCAGACGTTTCTTGTAGTTGGCCACCAGGTTTGCACACATCTCAGGAGGGATTTTGTCCCACTCCTCTTTGCATATCTTCTCCAAGTCATTAAGGTTTCGAGGCTGACGTTTGGCAACTCGAACCTTCAGCTCCCTCCACAGATTTTCTATGGGATTAAGGTCTGGAGACTGACTAGGCCACTCCAGGACCTTAATGTGCTTCTTCTTGAGCCACTCCTTTGTTGCCTTGGCCGTGTGTTTTGGGTCATTGTCATGCTGGAATACCTATCCACGACCCATTTTCAATGCCCTGGCTGAGGGAAGGAGGTTCTCACCCAAGATTTGACAGTACATGGCCCCATCCATCGTCCCTTTGATGCGGTGAAGTTGTCCTGTCCCCTTAGCAGAAAAACACCCCCAAAGCATAATGTTTCCACCTCCATGTTTGACGGTGGGGATGGTGTTCTTGGGGTCATAGGCAGCATTCCTCCTCCTCCTCCAAATACGGCGAGTTGAGTTGATGCCAAAGAGCTCCATTTTGGTCTCATCTGACCACAACACTTTCACCCAGTTGTCCTCTGAATCATTCAGATGTTCATTGGCAAACTTCAGACGGGCATGTATATGTGCTTTCTTGAGCAGGGGGACCTTCCGGGCGCTGCAGGATTTCAGTCCTTCACGGCGTAGTGTGTTAGCAATTGTTTTCTTGGTGATTATGGTCCCAGCTGCCTTGAGATCATTGACAAGATCCTCCCGTGTAGTTCTGGGCTTATTCCTCACCGTTCTCATGATCATTGCAACTCCACGAGGTGAGATCTTGCATGAAGTCCCAGGCCGAGGGATATTGACAGTTCTTTTGTGTTTCTTCCATTTGCGAATAATCGCACCAACTGTTGTCACCTTCTCACCAAGCTGCTTGGCAATGGTCTTGTAGCCCATTCCAGCCTTGTGTAGGTCTACAATCTTGTCCCTGACATCCTTGGAGAGCTCTTTGGTCTTGGCCATGGAGGAGAGTTTGGAATCTGATTGATTGATTGCTTCTGTGGACAGGTGTCTTTTATACAGGTAACAAGCTGAGATTACGAGCACTCCCTTTAAGAGTGTGCTCCTAATCTCAGCTCGTTACCTGTATAAAAGACACCTGGGAGCCAGAAATCTTTCTGATTTAGAGGGGGTCAAATACTTATTTCCCTCATTAAAATGCAAATCAATTTGTAACATTTTTGACATGCGTTTTTCTGGATTTTTGTTGTTGTTATTCTGTCTCTCACTGTTCAAATAAACCTACCATTAAAATTATAGACTTAACATTTCTTTGTCAGTGGGCAAACGTACAAAATCAGCATGGGATCAAATACTTTTTTTCCCTCACTGTAACAAGAAACCGGGACATATTGGCCTTTCTTTATTTAACCCTTGAAATGTTTCCATAACAGCAACGAGATCACATTAATCACTCGTCTTGCATAATGTTTTGCCACTTGCAAAAGGCTTAGGTGGGCGGCTCGGTTGTTCAGAAGTCGAAGACACTCTAACGATGAGATTTCTGTAATCCAAATCCAGGATTCCAGTCGTGATTAAACTGCGTTCACTGAGCTGCACCGGCCAGATTCCTGGGATCCCAAGGCAGGAATCCGCTCGTGATTAAGCTTCGTTCTCAGGTGTAGCGCGCCGATGGGTCCTCAACCTGGTCGCAAATGACCACAAATCAAACGGATCGCATTGCATTCGGGTTCACACATCTTCATTTGGCCCAACTCGCATTGAATTTCCTGTGAGAGTAAAAAAAAACCCCAACCCATCGCGTTTAATGCCGCGCGAAAAAAAAAACATTGCCTTCTGCGGCGGAGTGGTTGGAAATGTGCCGCCCCCGCCGCCCGCCCCCCTAGTGTGTACCAAACGTCGCTTGAAGATATTTTCAGACAGCACTTCTGCGATATCTCCTTCCGCAGACCTTTCTCTGACGTGGGTTAAGGCCCCGCTGCCCCCCCCCCCACCGCTTCCAGTTCCGTGAAAGTTAGAATGGGCTCGTTGTCTCCTGAAATGACGACGCCTTTGGGCGCAATTGGGGTAAAATTGGTGGGACGAGACAAACGGGGCAGCTGTTGCAATTCCCTCCTGGCCCACCCGCCGGGCTCGTTGCCAGGGCTTTCCATGTTCGCGGCCGCCCTGTGGTTGTGTTGCGTTCGGGGTATGGGAACAGCCCCTCGCGCACATCCTCAACGGGAATTCGCTTGGACTTTGTTGACCCCCTATCTTATGCGTTGCCATTGTGAATCTGCGCCGTTTTAGAAAGAGCATGCTTTTAATAAAAAATATATATATCTATTCGTTGATACAGTGAAGGCTCTGTTGTCCAAGACCCCATGATCAAAGTCTCCGCACAAATTCTCCAAACCCTTAATCGTTTGCTGCAGAAAATCACGTCGTCTGCGGATGGATTCTTTCTACTTTGCATTATCTAAAAACTTAGAGGATCCATCCGGAAGTGACAACATTAATTGCATTCGCATCTATGAACGTATAATTCGCCCAGCAGCGTTGATGTGGAAGTGCTAAATTCATCCTGTTATCCGTCTCTTTGCGTGGATAACATTTGTAAACAAATTTATCCGATTATCTGCTTGTTTCCGCTGATACCTGTGTGGATACCAGGAGTAATTTTCACAGAAACAAGGATCCGCCAATACACTAGTATCCACCACATTGTGGATAAGAAGACTTGCACTGTGCTGGTGCCACAGAGCCACACGACGTCGTGTTTGTAACCTTGGATGTCTGTTGATTAGCCTCAACTCTCAGTGCGTGAAGGTAGATAAGTATTTACTATGAGCGCACGTGGATGGTGAGTGTAGCGGGTTGACGTGTATGTGTGTGTGTGGATGGTGAGTGTAGCGGGTTGACGTGTGTGTGTTGGTGAGTGTAGCGGGTTGACGTGTGTGTGTGTGGATGGTGAGTGTAGCGGGTTGACGTGTGTGTGTGTGTGTGGTGAGTGTAGCGGGTTGATGTGTGTGTGTGTATGTGTTGGTGAGTGTAGCGGGTTGACGTGTGTGTGTGTCTGGATGGTGAGTGTAGTGGGTTGACGTGTGTGTGTGTGTGAATGGTGAGTGTAGTGGGTTGACGTGTGTGTGGATGGTGAGTGTAGTGGGTTGACGTGTGTGTGTGTGGATGGTGAGTGTAGCGGGTTGACGTGTGTGTGTGGATGGTGAGTGTCGTGGGTTGACGTGTGTGTGTGTGGATGGTGAGTGTAGCGGGTTGACGTGTGTGTGGATGGTGAGTGTAGCGGGTTGACGTGTGTGTGTGGTGAGTGTAGCGGGTTGACGTGTGTGTGTGTGGATGGTGAGTGTAGCGGGTTGACGTGTGTGTGTGGATGGTCAGTGTAGCGGGTTGACGTGTGTGTGTGTGGATGGTGAGTGTAGCGGGTTGACGTGTGTGTGGATGGTGAGTGTAGCGGGTTGACGTGTGTGTGTGGTGAGTGTAGCGGGTTGACGTGTGTGTGGTGAGTGTAGTGGGTTGACGTGTGTGTGTGTGTGTGTGGATGTCGGTGTCGCCCCACAGTTACGACGCTGCTGTCGGACGGCGTGAGCCCGGACTCGTGCAACGAGGAGGGCCTCACTGCGCTGCACCAGGTGCCCAAGGGGGCCGCAACCCACGACCCGAGCCACTTGCGTAGATAAATAATATTGCGCACCCTGGGGAAAAATCACACGCATCCTGTCGTAGTGCGTCCTGTAAAAACAATTGAAAAGGTCACAGTGGGGTGTCGCTCATCTCTTCTTTACACAGCCCTGAGCCAGTGGTGGAAATTCCACGTTCCCTTGGTTGTGTGAGGTTTGTTTTTTTTACTTGACAACTGCTGTTGACCCCCCCCCCAAAAACAAAATTGGCACTCGGTCGGTTGAATCGATAGAAACGAGTTGCCCCCCCCTGACCAGAAATTGAACTCTCGCAAATCTTCTCATCGAGGGCAGTGCACTCTCGACCGCTGTCGCCACCCACCCAGCCACGGGTGAGCATTTAATGCCGCGTGCAAATGAACGCGTTGTGAAAGATGGAGCACGCCGTGAGGGCGTGGACATTTTTACCTTTCGATGCGTGTTGTGAAAGAGAGATCCCGCCTTGAGGAAGGGGCATTTGAAACAAAACCGGCCACTAAACGCCTTCCTGTGTCTGCCACGACAGCCTTAAGAGATGCTTGCTAACAGCAGCACTAGCCCCAACAGTCTACTCAACTGAAGTGGATGCGCTCGTCTGTGTGTGCGCCGCTAATCTATGTATTAGCGGTCGTTGGGATAAGTGTGGGAACAGTCCGTTCATTGATCCATGCTCGCTGGCACGCGCCTAATTCCCGCTCGCCTGTCGTCCAAAATCAACCTCCCCATGCGAGTAGCGCTGGCAGGATTTGATGCGCGAACTGAGCAAGCGCTTCACTCGTCATCGCAGACGCACTGGCGTCCTCCATTCGTAGACATGGCCATGAACTCCACTGTTTCCATAATATAGCAGTAGCATTTTTCAATAAATGTCACCTGTATGCGCACCCACGCGGGGAACAGCAGTGTAAACAGCTCATCGCTCTTCTAACGTGCAAGGGTGTTGATCTGGACAACGGCATTTAAAATGAATACTCGGGGTCGTGGCTACGGCCACATCAACCTGAATCTGCCCGATTTCTTCAGGTCTCGGAAGCTAAGCAGTCTGGAGCCTGGACAGTGATTGGATTGGGCGACCACTGAGCTTGAAGCTCGTGTAATACGCTGCGATGGGGGCTACGTTGTCGGCGACAGAGGGCAGTATGGCAAAATCATTTGCTGTACTTTATTGTGCTTCCACGTCTATGTGCCCTGCTTTAAACTTCCCCTGTGTGCTGTGGCGTGCCCATGTGTGCTGTCTGTGCTGTGGCATGCCCGTGCGTGCTGTGTGTGGCGTGCCCGTGTGTGCTGTGTGTGGTGTGCCCGTGCATGCTGTGTGTGGTGTGCCCGTGCGTGCTGTGTGTGGTGTGCCCGTGCGTGCTGTGTGTGGTGTGCCCGTGCGTGCTGTGTGTGGTGTGCCCGTGCGTGCTGTGTGTGGCGTGCCCGTGCGTGCTGTGTGTGGTGTGCCCGTGCGTGCTGTGTGTGGCGTGCCCGTGCGTGCTGTGTGTGGCGTGCCCGTGCGTGCTGTGTGTGGCGTGCCCGTGCGTGCTGTGTGTGGCGTGCCCGTGCGTGCTGTGTGTGCTGTGTGTGCTGTGGCACCACGCAGGCGTGCCTGTGGGGCTGGGAGGACCTGGCCGGGCTGCTGCTGAGCCGCGGCGCTTCAGTAAACGCTCGCGACTCGGGGCTGTGGACGCCGCTGCACGCTGCATGCGCGCAGGGGTTCACGGAGGTCGTGCGGCTTCTCGTGCCACGGTGAGCCGTGCCGGGAGGTGTGCGCGGTTTGAACAGTTTTGAACAGGTTATTTAGAATCGGGTTTCATCAACAAAACAAAAAAACTGTCAAATTAAAAACACAACGTTTGCAAGGTTGCAGGAGGGCCACGAGAGAGAGGGGAGATGTCCGGGAGAGAGACGGGTGGGGAGGGGAGGTGCAGAGGGGAGTGTGCGGAAGAGACAGGAGGGGGAGGGGGGAGATAGACGGGAGAGGAGATGCAGAGGAAATGTGCGGGAGAGGATAGGGAGAGTGGAGAGTTATGCCGAGGGGTTCGGGTCAGGAGCGCGCTGCCACGGTTTGGAAATTGGGCATTTCCTGCAAGCGAAATGGTCCCCGCTGGTTATTATTGAGATTACAGAAAGGGTTCGTGAGGCTCACCCACCGTACTTTGTCATGGACAAGAGGAGTTCTACAACTGCTCATTCGCGAGCCTGCTGTTTGTGCGCTGTTGCGTGTTTAAAAGGTTTTCACCATCGGCATTATCAGCGTCTGTTTCCTTGCCGAAGAAAGGAAAACGTCGACTCGAACATACCGTGATTTTCCCAAGCGTTTTTTGTTTGTCTCCGAGCCATATCTACAGATCTTGAGGGTGTCTTGATGCCCATAGCAGCTGTAGTCCCTGACCCGGGTACAGGGGCTCATCACATGATCATCAAGCCCTGTTCACGCCCGACTTCCGTCATGTAATTTGATAACGATGTGTACATTTTTGCCTGTCAACAGTCCTTGGCATGGCTTGAATAATTTTACACTAAAAATGGTTGCCAGGAGTGATCAGAAGCTTGTTACCAGGCACAGAAGTGATTTAGAAAATCATCAACACAAAAAGTAATATTTCTGCTTGGTAACGTACATGTACCATCCTTTTTGTTAATCCACTGCTGGATTAGGGCCTTCCCATGGCGCGCAGGTAATGGAGATTATTTAATTATACTTTACGACGCTGGTCAGTGTGGGTTGGTAGAAGCGGGGGGCATAGAAGCACAGTACAACGATGGTTTTTGCTGACTTGCCCTCCACTGACCGCCATGTGGCACGTGCCCCCTGCGGCAGCTCTCTGTGCTATGATAATATAGATCGCGAGATCCCCAATCAGCCGATTTAGAAATCAAAAAGTATGGTATTTTTTTTACCTAGAGAGAGGAAGACCTAACGGAGAAGAATGGCTTGACGAAGACATTAGAGGTTGGTGCCAGAAAGATGTGGCACTACTTGGAGCACATTGGCACAGGACAGAGGAAAGTGGAAACAAATTACAAAATGTGCAGCAGACACCGACAGGCTATGTGTCCACGGATCGTGATGATGATGGTGATGATGGAGAACGAACGGAGGGTGTGTTTATTTATTACAATTAATTTATTTGCTCACGGCTTCGCGCGCCGCGCGTCTCTCGCCGTGCCATCAGGGGCGCGGACCTCCTGGCGCTGAGCGAGGACGGGGAGACTCCGTTTGACGTGTGCGATGACCACGAGACAATCGCCTACCTGGAGGGCGAGATGCGCCAGCGAGGTGAGAGACGGCCGCCCCTCGTCCTCATCATCATGTTCTGTTCGCCCCGTTTTTTTATCAGCGTGCCGCTAATTCGACCGAGGCCTTACCCAAGCGAGGCCTTGCCGCCTCGGCAGCGAGCGTGTTTTAGCTTGCGCGGTTGTTCCATTCGCGAAGTTGTCCGTCGCGGCGTGGTGAGAAAACGCACCGTCCTTTTTTTGGACGAAGGCACAACACTCGGCAAGTGCTTTCCAAGATGCCTGCATTTTTTGCAAGTGGAGTTTTTGTTGTTCTTTTTTTGTTCATTCGCTGACCAAAAGGCCAAACATTCTTAGTGGCCTGCAACAAAGAGCCCTATTGAAGGTGCAACAGATAAGATAGAGCGCGTTTCTTGGATCGAGCAAAGCTTTTACGAGAACTTTCTGATAAGAGGATGGTTGGGAGGGCATTCCAAAGTCGAGCAGTACCGGGGAAAGCAGCAGAAAGAGAAGTGTGTGTGTGTGTTTGATGGTGGGTGAGTGGGGTGAGCGTAGGTGAGTTGTTGGGTTCGGGGGTAGTTGGATGAGTGTATTTGCTGCGGCCTGTGGGGTTGGTGGTTGAATGCAGCGTGGATGAGACGAAACAGTCTCTTCTTAGCATGGGTGGAAGAATCAATTATTAAAGTTCACGGGCAGAGTAACCATGGTAGCAGAGATATTATTGATAGGAAGAGTAGATCTTCTGTTTGCCGCATTATCGGTAGCTGTGTGGAAACTATGCACCGCTTATGAGCGACTTGTCTGTTTATATATTCGTACAATAGTTACCCTATATCCATTTAACGTTTCTGTAATCGTGCTACGATCCATCTCAACATAAATCTGCCCGAGCCAACTTTTTACACTGTGTGGAAAACGTATTTGACGTCGATTTAAATCTTTGCAATATTTTCGAATTCTTACTGCGACAGCTGTTTTTTTTTCTTTCTTTCGGAACCGATTCCTATTCGCATTATACCCGTCCTTTATTTTTGCTTTTGCTTTTGTCGTTTGGGTGACCCCGAGTTCACTCTTTGCTTGTGCCTTCTCGCACCTGGTCAAAACAAAACAAACTCGAGAACTTGATGGCTGAAACACGAGGCTCCCATAGCTTCCAAACCGGGCCACATCTTGCAAGCGGAGTTGCAGTCTTTGCCCTATTATAGGCAACACCGTTGAACTTATTCACCCGCTGATAAATACATAATAAATACATTCCCTTCTGGAGCTTGAACGAAACTCAGCAATGCGGCAGGGCTGGAAATATTTTACAACCGTGGCCGGTAATGGAACAGGCGCCTTATTAGGGATTACGTCTCGTGCTTTTGAATGCGATGCATTGTTTTTTCCGCTTGTGATTCACGTAATTGGCATCGAGTGCCTCGCGACACACGCATGAGTGTGCTTTGTGTTTTTTGGACGGTCACATTGAGACCTGTGATGGGGATTTGTTCATTCGTAAATGAACTTTTGACGATGGAGGTGTTTCACTATTGGTGAGGATTCCAATTGGTGAGGATTTTGTATGCATGTATTCAATTCACAATTCAACCCCCCACCACTGCGATTCAATGCATTTGCTGCGGTTCAGGGTCACGATTAAATTCAAGAGTTAATTGTTATCACAAATATTGTGTTTCTTGCAATTGTGGGAGTCTCTAGTGGCTACAGGGTTCATGGCCACACGGTGTCGCACCTCCGATTAGCACGGTTGGCTATGTGCGGCGCGAAAGAAGTTCAACATACATACATACGTGTACGTACGTGAATCAGTCACGTACAGCATATCCGCATGAACGTCAGTCGTGGTCTTTTCACTGCTGGATGAAGGCCTCGAAGAGCCGTCCCCATTCCTCACGGTCACGTGATACAAATGTCCGCCTAGCTCCCGCAAATGAGCAAATGTCATCGCTCCGTCTCCTCGGCTGATGGCCTCTCCTTTGGGAACATAGGATCGAAGTGAATTGAAATGAATCAATTTGCAAGGACACAATTCAATGCTTGTATCATTAGCATAATATTAATCGTCATAATAATTGTATGCCTAGCAATTATATGGTCGTATTCTCTACGAACAGTATAGTGAACCCAATGAAAAGCCCCATCATAATCATGAATGTTATAATTACTGTGATAAGCCAACGTTTCTCAAGAAAGGAAAATATTTCGGAAAGATAAGCTGATAATCAGTTATAAAGCAGCGCCTGTTGCTTATTTTCAGTTAAGTATTTTTGGTCCATACTTAAAAACTTCTGCCAATAAAGCCCCTGGATTTATATTTGTAGTTGGACAGTACGAGCTGGTTGCATTTAAATGGTTTATATATATACATAAAGGTTTAATTCATAACCAGTTAAAAGCTCACGTTATGTTTTTTATTGTTTTCCCCAAGTTACTCCCATCAAGCTGTTAATGGCATCACGTCACAATACGATGAATCCATTCGGAAAACTCACAGGGCACCACTCACGGAATAATCTCAGAAAATCATTCGAGTGGAATTTTTCTCCATTACACTTTTTGCGGCGCGCTTTCACACGCAGTCTGCTGTGAGATTGTAGCTCGTTTCTCAAACCCAGATTTTTTTTGATACTCAGAGTTTAGATTGAGCCAAAGTGAGTTTGAAAACCACTTTAAAATGTAAAACTAAAACAGAATAAACGCTCAAAATAATGTAGCACTGCTGAGAGATCCTGGGTTTGAAGCCGATCATTAATAAACCGGATTCATAACTGCAGTGAGTTGGTCTCATCCTGGTCTCCAAAAGAAATATAACAATAAATTACATAATTTTTTCACTTAATTTAGCTAACTTCCTGCTCTAAAAATTGAAAATTAGAATATTGGTTTGACTGTCATACGATGATCATCTTTATGGCGGGGTGTGTTGTCAGGTACAAGCACCTCCAGTGTGGGTAAGAGGTCACTTGGCAAGATATCGGCAGTAGTTCCGTGATGTAACATCCCAAGACGGCATTCTCTAGCACGGGGCCGTGTGTATTATTCATCTTACGGAACCCAACACATATTTCACTGGAACTGTTGAATTTAACTGCGGGAAACGAAACACATTTTATTTTTTAAAAACCAGACCCGGTCATTTGCGATATTTCGACGTGCTCAGCGTCGTTTAACAGTTTAACGTGGCCATCATACAACGTACGTTTGACTGTCATACGATGATCATCTTTATGGCGGGGTGTGTTGTCAGGTACAAGCACCTCCAGTGTGGGTAAGAGGTCACTTGGCAAGATATCGGCAGTAGTTCCGTGATGTAACATCCCAAGACGGCATTCTCTAGCACGGGGCCGTGTGTATTATTCATCTTACGGAACCCAACACATATTTCACTGGAACTGTTGAATTTAACTGCGGGAAACGAAACACATTTTATTTTTTAAAAACCAGACCCGGTCATTTGCGATATTTCGACGTGCTCAGCGTCGTTTAACAGTTTAACGTGGCCATCATACAACGTACGATGATGGCAAGGTGGTTTTGTCGCGGTTTAGGCGAGAACCCCCGCCGACTCCCCCGATTGCCGCGTGTGCTTGCGTGGCCTGCGCCCCGCGCGTAGGCCTCACCGAAAAGGTGGTGGAGGACGCCCGGAAAGCCACGGAGGACTCCTTCATCAGCGAGATGACGCAGAGCGTCGCCGACCTCAACGCGCCCGACGATCACGGCGTGGTGGTGGTAAAGCAGTCCGCATCGCAGCAGCCCTCGGCAGCAAAACACCACCGGCGGCGCGACAAGTCGCGCGGTTTTATTGCGTGTAGCTGCCCCCACACACCACCCCCCCCCCCCCCGTGATCAGCTCGCAATGTGTACGGTAGAAGCCAGATCGCGGTGGCTTGTGAAGACTGGCGATGAGAAACGCTTCGTCTTTGCCAGCGGTGGCCAGCCTGTAACAGACCAAGAGCCTAAAGGTAGCGATGAGTTCTGCAAAGAAGCCACGTGTGTGTATATATATGTAAGCAGTTTTCGGCACAGCACGGGAGACATTCATTATTCTTTGTCACGACTGTGGTAGTGCGCCCCTACGTGTTACGCCCCTTCGATAGAGCCGCGCATGCGGCTCGTGAGATGCCAGCTGGCCACCGTTGCTCCACGTGCTTCGTTGTAACCAGTGAGCCAGCAACGATCCGTCACCCCCGCGCGACTCGATGAAGTGCCACGATTTGTGGTCGCGATTTAGTTCACGGAAACCGATTCTTATGTGAGGTTGTGGTCACTGGTTACTTTATATAAATATAATATGGCCGCGATTCCTTAGGTGCGTGCTTCAATGCGTGCATCATTCGAGTAGAAATCGATTTTTCGTGATGAATCCATGCTCAATTACATGCCTAGTTGCTAAGGAGTAAGAAGCTGGATCCAGTTCTGATATAAGCAACACATGCATTTCACCAGTGGAAGACAATGAGCAACTTCTGATAAAAGTACACTTCTTGGGATAAGCACACCCAGACTTTCTCCCATGGGGTGAGCGTATATCTAGCTTTGACACTATCACAGCTGTCAACCCACAAGGTTCACCCCGTATTCTTGTACAGGGAAATTGAGTTTTCAGTTCCATACAGCATACAGCCGTTTCAATACGGGAAAATTAAAAAACAATTATAATTGTTTGTGGTTCTCCCTCGTGATGGGACTTTGTAGGATGAACGTTGAGGTTTATAAGGGGACACGGGGTGACCGATGAGGTCTGAATTGGTCTGTAATAAGGTAGGGCACTGATTCGGGGTTGACAGGTATGCAAACTTCACGCTTAGCGCAGCACGTGTGTCTAGCTCGATGCACTTATCTGAAGACAACGCCTGTTTTTTTCTTTCTGTACTAATTTCTTCCTGTTATAATGGGGGTTATTTTCGGTTACAAATTATAATTATCGTGAGGATTCCAATTGGGTTGAACCGCTATGCTGTCATTTATAAATACAGAATTCCCAGGAGGAATTCAATGATTCGTTTTGTGTAAATGGAATGCAAATGGTATGATCGTGCGACGTCCAAGGTTAATGGAGCAAACAAAACGGTGCAAATTTAGATGAACACTGAGCACGCAAAAGAGACGGTGAGAAGGAAACTAAAAATGATTGACTCTTGAAATTATTGTAACCAAGGAATTGTAAAACAATTCATCGAAATGCTAGAGGGTAAAAATCATTACATCCCTATGTCATGGGACCTTTTTTTGGGGGGTATCAAAGTATGAGGGGAAAATAATCATGGGTTTTACTCTTTCTGGCAATAAAACAGGTGTTAAGATTTTGACTTAACTTTCGTTTCATTTATTTTCTTTGTTTTTTTTTTCGGCAAAGTCACGTAGATAGAAAAATGGTAATAAAAAAACTACGCCCATCTCTAAACCTTTATAAACAATTTGCCTTGAGAGGCTAACCTCCCTTTTCCTGATGGCGACCGTTTATGTTGCGATCAAAACGTCGTGGTTTTTGTTTTTATTTCTTATTGAAAGAATCAAGAATAAGTCTACATTATAGACTGCCAGTACACTCACCCAGCTTAATAACCAGGCTACAGTCTACATGATAGACTGCCAGTACACTCACCCAGCTTAATAACCAGGCCACAGTCTACATTATAGACTGCCAGTACACTCACCCAGCTTAATAACCAGGCTACAGTCTACATTATAGACTGCCAGTACACTCACCCAGCTTAATAAACAGGCTACAGTCTACATTATAGACTGCCAGTACACTCACCCTGTTTAATAACCAGGCTACAGTCTACGTTATAGACTGCCAGTACGCTCACTCCGATTAAGAACCAGGCTACAGTCTACATTCGTGGTTTATTTTTATTCAGTTTATGTTTTATTATTATTTTTCCAGCTTCCCCGAAAGAACCAAATAATACTCTGTGGGTCTTTCGGTAAAGTCACGGAGATAGAAAAAAAATAATTTAAAAAATTACGACCTTTCGATCGCAACACAAGCAATCTATATTTTGTCACCTGAGGGCCAAGGAGTTGATTGTGAACCAATCAGTTTCAAAGACAATGCATATGTTATCAGTGTTTTTTTTTGCATTTTGACCACAAGTATTGTGGTTAATGCAGACGTGATTCCTTGTAAAAGGTTTCAGTTTGTTGTTTTAACAACTTAACACCTGTTTTGTTGCCAGATAAAATGGGAAAAAACATATTCTCAGGTACAAATTAATAAAAATAATAAATATAAAATCAACAAAAAACCACGACGTTTCGATCACAGCACAAGCGATCTTCATCAGGAGGAAAGAGTGGGTAAGCTGCTGAATGCAGACTGTTTTAAAGGTTTAAAATGGGTGTAGTCCTAGGGTCATAAACGGAGTGGGCGGAGCTAGTGATGATGACGATCGCTTGTGTTGTGATCGAAACGTCGTTTTTTGTTTATTTTTTACTTATTATTTGTATTAATTTGTACCTATCAACGTGACTTTACCGAAAGACCTAAATAATCGGGTAAAGCCTATTCTTTTTTTTTCATTACATTCCAACTAAATGGATATAAATACTATAATTACCACGATTATCAATTCGCCTGATTTTCAGTGGCTGAAACCGATCTATTGTTCTGGCTACAGTAGCAAATTCTTTTTTTAATCAAACCAGAAAAGCCACGCTGGGTTTTGAATAAAAAAATTTCACTCGTGTTCTACTGCGGCATTTTTGGGCAATTTCTCATCGAATATTGGTGCACGTGTAAGGGGGGGGGGGGGGGGAACACTGTACGCGGAGAAAACCCCACGATTTTGTTTAAGATAACGCCCATCACGGCTCCCGATCTACGTTTGAGGTGAACCTCACGCCAACCGCTGCTGGCACACCTGGACGCATTCGTGCGAAACCCGCCCGGGCAATTAGTCGCGCCCGCTAATAGCGGTGAATAATGATGCTGATCTGCACTGCCGTCAGCTGCAAGCGCAGACTTCTGACTTTTGCTCGGTCACGCTCCTGACCCCTTCCAACCCTCGTCGTCTGCCCACCCCCCACCCCACCCCTCACGCCCCCGGCACGCGCTTCCCCATCAGCTGCACATGGCGGTGGCGCACGGTTACGAACGTGCCGTGCGCGTGCTGCTGGAGGTCGGGGCCCGCTCGGACCTACCGGACGCAGACGGATGGACGCCCCTGCACGCGGCTGCCTATTGGGGCCAGGTCAGGGGCGCGACACAGCCAACAACAGCGCCAATAATAATAATAACGGCAGCGGCAATGTTAATTTATTTGTTCGAATGTTTGGTCCAATTCCTTTTTAAATAAGTGGTCTGCTTGCATGTGCGGGGGAAACAGAGGTGCCCAGAGAATACATCCACGGAAGAGGGGCTTAACAGCTCAAAGGTGTGCAGGCGTAAGTTTGGGCCTTACTTTTGCCGCACTGCCATGTCCCGAACGCCTCTCCGCCCGGCAGGTGTTGGGAATTTTAACGAATCTGAGTGACGCATCCAAACGCTTGCCTCCACAAGCGCCGCGCTTCTGGCGCGTGACACGATTCGTTTTTGCGCAGCCTTGGCCATGACGCTAGGGTCGGGGTTAAGGAGTCCTCCTGCCTGGGAGGTTTGTCCGATTCCCTTGTTTGGTGTAGTTTTTTTTTTTAACGCGAGACAGCAAAAACCCGCGAGGCCAGAAGAAATCCGCGCGTGCGAGGAAAGAATCCTCAAATCGCGAATAATAATGCCGTCCGTGGGAGGTGCTCAAATGGGGGTGGGGTGGGGGGATTAGCTCGGAGCCCCGATGTCATTATCGCAATTCGGATGTAATTGCAGAAAAATGTTCTCAGAATCAAATTAGAATGAGAAGAAAATGTTCCAAAGAGCAAAATTACAATTAGCAGAAAATAACATTCTGTGTAATGATGTCACGTGTACATACATATGCAGCCCTTTGTCGGCCCACTGCTACATAAATAAAGAGTCTCCCCACACCTTGCGGGTTGTGGGGGACTGTTTGTCCGCGGTGACCATGCGGGGGGATCGGCGCGGTTCGGTGATGGGAGACGGTGGTGGTGGGGGGGGGGGGGGGTTGTGGGGTGTGGGTGGGGGGGTCGGTGGAGGGGGGGCGGTGCGAGCCGTGGTCGGGAATCGAATTTAGGGTCGTCAGATTCACAGCGCAGCACGCCCACCACTGCACCACCCACCGCTGTGCCACCCACCCCTGTGCCGCCCACCGCTGTGCCACCCACCGGTCCACCACCCACCGGTCCACCCCAGTGACATCCGCGTTCACTTCTGCCAAGGGGGTCGACGACGAGCGTCTACATTCGCTTCAGGAAAGTGTTGACTTTCGGGGGTCCCTAGTTGCGCAGCTCTTGCCCCCGTGTGCCTGTACGTCACGAGCGTGCTGGCCCCCCGTTTTCTCTTGTTAGCGCAGCGCAGACCCGTTCCAGTCGGCTGTGTTCTTCACCCATTGTGGCTATTTTGGAAGTGTTTAACGCGCCTTGTTACGAGCCCAAACGTGCTGCCTTGCCCGCATGCCTTCACGTCAACCCCCTCTCGTGCGGCCGTTAATCTCTCATTATTGTGCCCGGTTGACAAAAAATTACATTCCTCTCAAAGCGTGCCACGTGGAGGTTTAATTGTTTTCAACACCATTGCACGTTAAAAATGTTTTATACATATATAAAACACTCTTGTGGGACATACGGAGGCCAGATGCATTTAGACAGTCTTTTTAGCGTTGAGGGGGCGTGTTTTATCCTGATTATAAAGTTTTGTATGTAACATTAAAACACCCCACAGGGTGATACATTTATAGACACCCCACTGATTTCCAATGGGGGGGGGGGCCCTCTTTGGAAATCACACCGGATATGTGGTTCAAAGTGTGGCAGCAGTGTTAAAAGATGTAATTAATTCAGATTGGTGGGGAGCCGTGTAGAGGCTTTGCATTAAAATGTTGAGTTCTCTATCATGTCAGTCTCTTCATTTAGTGGGGTATCCATAACATAGATTACCCTGGATTTATTGACTTATTTACATTGTCGTGTTATCCTTGAACTATACTGGATACAGGACTTTTCATTTGGCTACCAGTCGCTCCTTCAGGGCACTTGAATTAATTATCTCGTATCGACAAGAGTAAGAGCTCATTCTGACCTCAGATACCAGGCGTCTGTGGTATTGATCGTAACCTGCAAAACAACCTGGGGATCTTTCATCTCGCTGATTAAAAATTATCAAAGTTGATGACGGCATCATCATCACCGCTAGAGGGCAGTGCACGTGGCAGAGGGCATAGACTTCTGAGGTCGAATATCACTCGTATGCAATGTAGCTCTCCTTCATTGTGTAAACTTAATGAGATTAACAGTGACCGGGTGATGGAGGGTTAACCCCTATTGATGCTTCAGTTCACTCATAAAATCTGTTTTTTTTAATCTATAAATACAAACGATGGTAATTACCATATCGACAGGCCGGGCTCCGACTGCCTTGTGACTTTCTACAGTGCCCACTATTGGTTGCCTGCTCTGGGGAAGACCTATTCAGCACAGCGCTCGAGGTGTTGGCGTGGGAGGCGTGCGTCAGAATTTTTCGCTCGATGTAATCGAGCGAAACCATCATCGGCCAACCTGTCAAGTCGTGACGCAACCAACAGCAGCATGGTTCAACGGGTCTGGACGTCAGTCGCGCCTCTGCCGCCCGGGTTAATGTGTGGCCGTGTAACCGCCAGCAGGAAACGTCCTCGCGGAGCCAAAGTTCAACGGAGTTTTGGTGGTGGTGGTGGTGGTGATGGGTCTTTATACGTAGATACAATATTTTATCTTTCAGGAAAACATCGCAGAAATCCTGGTGGCGTACGGGGCGCGGCTCGACACGGCGAATAAGCACGGGCAGACGCCTGTCGGTGAGTTGCTCGAAGAACTTCGGTGATGCGAGCGGCCGACCGCGTGGACCGGGCAAACGGTCACATCGTGGATGCCCTCCCCCCCCCCCCCCCCCCCGTGTGTAGTCGCTGGAGACCCCAGCCATGATGATGCCACTTCTACTAGGGAGGGAAAAAAATTCCCCACGTTCGTCAATGACGCTGTGGCCGTTAAAAGTATAGAGTAGGCCAAGTTTTTGGCAACGGACCTTCTTCATAGCACGTAGAGAGGCCAGAGAGGTAGAGGGGCATTTTAGGTAGAGATAGAGCGGAGTGTTTGGATGCATGTTGAGCTTATTTTCCACCATACGGAGCCAACCATGTCTCATTGGAGGTGCGCGGGAAGGACAATGAACTAAACACAAAAAGAAGTTCTAGTGTAATGAGTTTCCAATCTAGATTTAAAAGTGCATAGGTCCAGTGGCTTCCTAATATTGGAAGAGCGTTCCAGACGGCCGCAGAAGCGCATCTGAAAGCGCGCAATGCGAAGCGTTGCACCGATTTATAATCAATGCCTACATTCACTCTGCTTGCGCCGAATGTGCATGTGGGAAACGTCTTTGTGTTTTTAGTTTATACTACGTGTATTGCAAGTTATAAGCTCCTGTCATATTTAGGTTCACGGAGTGAATGCAACTGGCACAAATGAGATATTAAAGCATTAAAAGAAACGGTAAATCTGAGTTTTGTGGAGGACGAACACACGCAAATACAATGGGGACACTCAAATTCGTCACACGTGTACATTTTCCCCCAAAAACCTGCTTGCTGTAATGCCACCCAAGCATCTTAAGGGGTGGCAGCCAAAGCAAGGGTACATTCTATACATTCCTTCCCCCGACGTTTGACGTGGAATCAGGCGGCCGGCTTCGTGTGCACACGCGCTGCATCGGGCAAACACTTGTGTGTGTCGTTAAACATTGCGGCACGTGACGAGCGCTGAGCACACACGGGCAGCGCTGCTCAGAGGCGGCGGGCGGTGGCTGTGCCGGGCTGAGTCACCTTCAGCCACGGAGGGCCGACGGCGAGGATTGAAGGACGGGGCCAGGAACTTGCTTTCAACCTCGCCGTGATCGACGGCGCAAACGCATGGACGCTTCGTTGCACAATCCACTTTTTCACAAGACCGGCAAAATTCGAAACACTCCCTGGTAACGCCTCTCACCTGCTGGGGTGTGCAATTGACAGCAGCCTTCTTGGCAGCGACCAGCAGCCATCCACGACATTTGGTCTATCCACTGGTGGGTTGAGGGGCCTCCCCCGCGTCATGAGGGTCGCCAGGGTTATTCGACCGTACTACGCCACACTGGCCGATGCGGGTTGACGAAGGCAGAGTACAACAGTGGATTTTGCCGCAACTGCCGTCTCCTCTGCCAACGGCGAAGCCCCACAAGAGGTTGCAATGCCAGTTGTGTGCGTAGTGGTCACCCCCGTCCAAGCACTACCCAGGCTCAAAGCTGCTTAGCTTCCGAGATTTGAGCGGTCTGTTGTTCGAGGGATACCTCTGTCAGAATAATTGCAGTCCAATCATATAATTACAGGAGTGAAACAACGCAGTACAATTAAATACATCATGAAAAACATTACCATTAAAGAGGTACAAGGTCAAACATAATTGCAATACAAGAACGAGTATTAGATTTAAATGGTGCAAGGAATAAATAAATATTAGACTGACAGAAAAGCAGTGCTTTTGAAGGGGCAGTAAAGCAACGAGAGTTACCTGGCGGGCAATATTTGTGGAATTGGAATGTTATCCCCTCACTTGATGGGGGTTTTTTTTTTCTCTGACGCTTTCAGTTTGATGGACACGAAACATTATGCAAGAAAAAAAAACAGTGGCCATATATCTTGGAACAGGACTCTCCTGGTCAGGCAAGGCCTCAGACTTCTCCAGAGGCTTGAGGCTGGGGGAGCCCAGGGCGGTTGCCAATTGAGACCCCCTAATTCATTAACGACAAAAAGAAAATGGCCTCCTTGGGGGAACCTCTTTGGTGTGAGGCCCGGGCGAAAATTGCCCCTTTTTCCTACGCCATAATTGAGCAAACTTGGATAAGTCTTGTAGACGAAGTGATAGTTTTCCCCCAAAGGAAATTGGCCACAGGATATGATGGGAGATCAAAAGTGACCACATGAAACCGCAGAGTATCGTGGGAAGCCACAATGTCATGAGAGGCCACCGGACGTCATCACTAACTGTGGCAGGCCGCTGCAGGTGACGGGAGATTGTGGGAGGTCACAGAATATGTTTGGAGACTTCGGGAAGTGGCAGGAAGGCACGGGGGGAGGCTCTTGAGAGGCCGTAGGAAAGAGTGGCAAGTTGCAGCAGGTCACGACGGGAGGTTGGGAGGTCCACGGGAGAGGCCACTGGAGCCTGTGGTAGGCCATAGGAAACCGGTGGTTACAGGAAAACGGCAGTGGCCACTGGAGGCCACGCGGAGACCGCAGGAGGTTACGGCAGGCCACGCAGGGCCTTCAAGGTGGGAGCCCGTGCCTCTGTTCGTTCACCAGAGGGGGCTGACGTTTGCGTGCCCCCCGTCCCCCCCCCGGCAGAGATGTGCGAGGACGTGGAGATGCGGGCGCGGCTCGCGCGGCTCAAGGAGCGCGCCGAGCGGGGGCTGCTGGACGTGCGCAACCGCCGGGGGTTCCTGCCGCTCCACCGCAGCAGCCTGCGCGGCAGCAAGAGGTTGACGCTTCCCTGCTCCAGTCCTTCACGCGCTCATTCCCTTTGTCTTTCATGCCACCGAGAGGTTGACGCTTCCCCAGTCCATTACTTCACTCATTCATTCACTCATTCCCTTTGTCTTGCGTGCTACCAAGAGTATGAAGTTTCCCCAGACCATCCCTTCACTCATTCATTCACTCACTCATTCCCTTTGTCTTTCATGCCACCGAGAGGTTGGTGCTTCCCCAGTCCATTACTTCACTCATTCATTCACTCATTCCCTTTGTCTTACGTGCTACCAAGAGTATGAAGTTTCCCCAGACCATCCCTTCACTCATTCATTCACTCACTCATTCCCTTTCTCTATCATTCTACCGGGGGGTTTGGTGCTTCCCCAGTCCATTCATTCATTCGTGCATTTTGTAAAAAAAAAAAAACATTTGTATTAATTATCATTACGTTTGGCCACATTCCGCTAAGCTGCTAGCCGTGACAACCACTCGCACGCCGACACGAGCGGAGCGCTCGAACGCGGTGGCCTGCGCCGCGTGCTAACCCGCCGCCGCGCGCTTCCGACCGGCTCCAACAGCAGCAAGCTGGTGCACAAGGGACGCACGGAGGAGATGCAGAGCGAAGCCATCGTGTGGCAGACGATGGAGAAGCGGGACGACGCGGACGACGACGCCGAGGACTCCCGACCCGAGGACGGCAGGACGGCGTCTCGCGTGAGCCTCGCGTGCGCGCCACCGTGGGAGCTGATTGCGCGCCGGGCCAGGCCGCGAACGAAATCCCCTTTTGCGGCTCGCGCAACAACAAAAAAAAAAACGCCGTTTGGTTCCCTCGGCACCGCTGTCGGGGACGACCGCTGGCGCGTCGGGCACTCGCTCGCGAGGCCCTCCGACTTTCAGCCGGTCACAAGCAATGGCTGGAGACGAGGGGGGTGCTGGCTCATTTTTAACTGGAAGGAATTTGGGGATGCATGGGTTCATTATGAGATGTGTGTGACTTAATGGGGCTTCGGTGGGAAAAAAAACTTTACGTGAATGTTTGGTCCACCTGGTGGACAAAGTGCGGTATTGCAGGAAATGTAAAAAGTTACTTGGTAGAGGTGAAAAAAGGCCAATGAGGTTTCATGTCACTCGTGCTAATGCAGTTTTATTAATGATTGTAGTTTACAACAAAAAAATGTCACAGGACAGGCTTGTAATAGTATTGCCACGACTTACCCAACATTACATCAATGGCTTCTAATCAACGTCAAACATCAATATCCGTATATTTGCGTGCAACTGCGGTGGATTCTTTTTCCTTCATTTCAGAATGCCCTGAACGGCAATGGAATAACGCACGGCGCGGGCGCGGAGCGATTATCAAAACAGGAAACTTCAGGTGGAGAAGCAGATCCGACGGAGTCTACCGCCGCCTCCAATCGCCCCGCCCCTGCAGGCGACGCTGCTCTCGCTGCTCCCGCTGCCGCCGCTTGGGGTGAACAAGATTCGGACGCGATGTGTGAGAGCGCTTCTGCGAGCGACACCCGCCCGTCGCCCGAGCCCGAGGCTGCGGACGAAAACTCTGCTGCGGACGACGACTGCAGCTCCGACGACGACGACGACGACGACGACGACGACAGCTCCGGTGCCGACGTCCATTCGGTTAGCAGGGACCCGCAGGAAGTCGTCGTCCAGCAGCCTGTCGCGCAAGTCACCGCGGCGCCAGCCGCGGACAGCAATGTTGAGGATGCGCGTGGGACTGACCTGAGCAACGGAAAACCCATCGAATGCTCGGCGGTTTCGGCCGCTGTGAAGGGCGTCGCGGAAAGTGGCGAGCCGCCTGATGAAAATGCGAAGGCCGGAGCTGCTCCATCGAGTCAGTTGGGGGGGCCTGGTGCGAGCGAAGAAAGTGACAAGCCGCCACCTGCATGCACGAACGCGGCTGCTGCGTCAAACCCTCGCGGCGGCGGCGGCGGCGGCGACGAAGACGAAGAAGCGAACGCTGCCGAGCAGGGCGACAAGGCGCTGTGTTCGGAGAGAGCCACGGCGTCAACCCCTGCCGAGCGTTTGGCACAAAAGGAAAGCGGCACAGCCAGTGCGGTGAGCGCGGCGTTGGAACAGAACGGTGAATCCAGTGATGCCATAAATAGCGTAGACGTCAATGGCGCTCGGAAAGCCGTGGACGCCGATGCTGAAGATAACGGCGTTGATGAAAAACCTGCATCTCCGCCGAAGGTTGGCTCGCTGCCGGGCGACGGAATTTCGACGCACGGGGTGGATAATTCTGCCGACGCTAATCCGCCACAGTCGTCGCCGTCAGACGATGCCGCGAAGCCACAGGTCGCCACTCCGTCCAGCGCCGCCGCCACCACCACGACTGCCACCGCCTCCACCTCCTCCTCCACGGAGGCGGGGGCAGCGATAGATGAAAGCCGCGTCCTAGTGCAGCTCCTCAACGACGCGTTCGAGGACGACGATCTGTCGAGCAAAGAGGATGGCGACGACGACGTCGTGGGGGGTGCCGGGATGAGCGGCGGCCAGGTGGCCGGAGTTTCGTACGTGGTGGGAGGACACAAAGCGAACGGCGTGAGAGAGCCACGCCGCCCACAGTGGGACGATCATGATGTGCCAACGTTCAAGGGGGAGGTGCGGGAAGACAACACCGAGGCGAAGGGGCGCAGGTGCTGCAAAATGATGTGATCACTACGCAGACTTTGTACGCCGTTTGTGTGCGCGTGTGTGACGACCCAAGGTGTGGCTCGGGCCGTAGAGCAGCCAGGGGGTTGTCATTTGTGCGATTGTGAGTTCACGTCCTGGACCGGTTGACAGAGCCCTCATTGTCGCCGTTGTTCCCCACGGTTTGGAGAATTGCCACCGCCACCTGGCAAAGCTGTACAATGTCGCGTAAAGTTTCAACATCGGTTGTAGCGTGGACCGGCTGGTCCCTTCTAGTGGAGTGTGAAACAACCCCCACTGCTGGCTCTCAGGATAGCTAATGAAGACGAGCAGTACCAAAACGCTCGTTTGATTGTGCTGTGGTTCAAACTGCCCCGCGAATGGAACTGAATATACATTTTGTTCGCTATAATATTTGTTTATGAATTTTTTTTTTTTTTAAAAAGCACACACAAAACCTAACTGTACATTATTCAAACATGTAGCCTTACGTTGTATTTGCTCTCGCGAGTTTCACAAAATGTGCATGCAGTCGCAATTGCTGGCGGCGTATCGAATAGCATCACAGACCAATCAAAGCTGTGGACAGTGTTAATGTAAACTCCGAAGTGTCGTCGTCACATCGGCAGATGCATTAAAAGTCAAGGGTGCTACTTAGCTTCGAACAAAACAGCCTTTGGCCCGGCATAGGGGGGGCGATAAATCTTGTGTTTAGTGACTCGATGAGACCGTTGCCAACTTGCATGTTTCAGGGACGCTTGGAGCATCGCTTCAAATGGTGCCGAGTCGTGATCGACCGCTGCCCTGTTACGTTGCGACGTTGAGCACCCCCCCGTGATGCGGGTCCCGGGGTGAAATAACCCTCGTTGTGCTCGTTGGCACTGTGGGAATAAACTCGGCCTGCTCGTATTTACCTGCAGTGAAGTTAAAATACTGTAATCGGTGAGAAGAAAACAAAAAAACTGCTGACAATGATTGAATGCCTAAGTTATGCGTCGTTTTTGTGGGATCATGTAGTAATTTGTAATATCGTATAAGTCGGCCGTACACAGTCGTCGTGTGTTTATTAAACTTGTGCTTCGAGTGTAGCGCACACTGAACCCCGAAAGGCTTCGCGTGTGTTTGGAACGATCGTTGTGTTCCCAGTTTGTTGCGATTGAAACTTTGTGTTTTCACGAGGGCAAGTGACGCGCTTCTACGCATGTCCACGTGTGTGCTTGTGCGTGTATGTGAGTGTGTGTGTTGTGACTGCGGGGAGCGGTGGTGTAGGGGTTAGCGCTCTGCTCTGCTACGAACCTGGCGACCCGGGTTTGATTCCCACTCGCGGTCGACACCAGCGATAGCGATTATCTGAACCGGTCCTGGGCCTTCCCTAGGTCGACTCAGCCTCAAATGAGTCCCTAGTGCGGTGTGTAAAAACATCGCCACTAGGGAGACAAAGGCGGCAGGGCGTGGTGCTGGCCACCCACTCCCTCGTCTGTCGTTCTGACCTTCATAGGTGCTCACTAACAGCATTTGCCCCAACAGTCTTTTAAGGCTATACACGGGATCTTTGTCATTGTGTGTGTGTCTGTGGGAAGTCGTAGTGTAGTGGTTAGGGTGCTGTGCTCTGCACCCGGTGACCCGATTTAAACTCTTGCTCATGGCCAACACCAGCAACGATTATCTGAACCAGTCCTGGGACTCTCCTAGGTCGACTCAGCCTCAAATGAGTACCTGGTGCGGTGTGTAAAAACATCGCCACTAGGAAGACAAAGGCGACTGGGCGTGGTGTTGGCCACCCACCCCTCGTGTGCTGGCCTTCACAGCTGCCCACTAACAGTGCTTGCCCCAAGAGTCTAGTAAGGCTATATGGGGGATCTTTATCTTTCTGTGTGTGGATGAGTGAGAGGGCGAGTGGGTTGTTGAGCGGGTGCTGTTGTGACCTGCAGTGTGGCGGCTGGATACAGTGGGGATGAGATGAGACAATCAGTCTGGAAAGACCTTAAGACATTGGAGGAGGAATCAAGGGGTGAGGTTCATGGGAATAGTAACCATTGTGTGTGGATGTATTCAATCTAATCCACTTATTGCGTAGAAAAGGTTTACATCGTTTTTCCAGCACCTCTTTACAATAGGAAACTTAGCCTCACTGCACAGTATTTTATTCGAGCTTGAATCTACAAACATTTGTGGCGTCGTGGAAGATATATTTTACAAAGAGAGGGCATCACCCATTAGCAGGTGCTCCATTGGCCTCAGCAGTGTTTGCTCAGCAGTGGTCTTGCTATATAGAGGATGATCGTAAGGTTTTAATATTATGCATATGCATGATAAATAGTCTAACACATTTAATAAATAAGCCTCATCATTTAGCAGTGTTCTTCCATGTAAAAAATAAAAGTATTTTCCTTACGCATCCCTTTGGCCACGTGACCTTCTGGGGGTGTTTGTTTTTCAGCAGCGCCGGTTTAATCTGTGACCTTTTAATCTGTGAATTTAAACTATTGGACATTGTGAATTTAAACTACTGGACATTGTGAATTTAAACTACTGGACATTGTGATTTTCAACTACTGGACATTGTGATTTTCAACTACTGGACATTGCGAATTTCAAGTACTGGACATTGTGAATTTCAACTACTGGACATTGTGAATTTAAACTACTGGACATTGTGAATTTCAACTTCTGGACATTGTGAATTTAAACTACTGGACATTGTGAATTTAAACTACGGGACATTGTGAATTTAAACTACGGGACATTGTGAATTTCAACTACTGGACATTGTGAATTTAAACTTCTGGACATTGTGAATTTCAACTTCTGGACATTGTGAATTTAAACTTCGGGACATTGTGAATTTAAACTACTATACATTGTGAATTTAAACTACTGGACATTGTGAATCTAAACTACTAGACATGATTTTAAACTACTGGACATTGTTAATTTAAACTACTGGATATTGCAAATTTAAACTACTGGACATTGTGAATTTCAACCTCTGGACATTGTGAATTTAAACTTCTGGACATTGTGAATTTAAACTACTGGACATTGTGAATTTAAACTACTGGACATTGTGAATTTAAACTACGGGACATTGTGAATTTAAACTACTGGACATTGTGAATTTCAACTTCTGGACATTGTGAATTTAAACTACTGGACATTGTGAATTTAAACTACGGGACATTGTGAATTTAAACTACTGGACATTGTGAATTTCAACTACTGGACATTGTGAATTTAAACTTCTGGACATTGTGAATTTCAACTTCTGGACATTGTGAATTTAAACTTCGGGACATTGTGAATTTAAACTACTATACATTGTGAATTTCAACTACTGGACATTGTGAATTTAAACTACTGGACATTGTGAATTTAAACTACTGGACATTGTGAATCTAAACTACTAGACATGATTTTAAACTACTGGACATTGTTAATTTAAACTACTGGACATTGCAAATTTAAACTACTGGACATTGTGAATTTCAACCTCTGGACATTGTGAATTTAAACTTCTGGACATTGTGAATTTAAACTACTGGACATTGTGAATTTCAACTTCTGGACATTGTGAATTTAAACTACTGGACATTGTGAATTTAAACTACGGGACATTGTGAATTTAAACTACTGGACATTGTGAATTTCAACTACTGGACATTGTGAATTTAAACTTCTGGACATTGTGAATTTCAACTTCTGGACATTGTGAATTTAAACTACGGGACATTGTGAATTTAAACTACTATACATTGTGAATTTCAACTACTGGACATTGTGAATTTAAACTACTGGACATTGTGAATTTAAACTACTGGACATTGTGAATCTAAACTACTAGACATGATTTTAAACTACTGGACATTGTTAATTTAAACTACTGGACATTGCAAATTTAAACTACTGGACATTGTGAATTTAAACTACGGGGCATTGTGAATTTAAACTACTGGACATTGTGAATTTCAACTACTGGACTTCGTGAATTTAAACTACTGGACATTGTGAATTTAAACTACGGGACATTGTGAATTTAAACTAGGGGACATTGTGAATTTAAACTACTGGACATTGTGAATTTAAACTACGGGACATTGTGAATTTAAAGTACTAGACATTGTGAATTTAAACTACTGGACATTGTTAATTTAAACTACGGGACATTGTGAATTTAAACTACTGGACATTGTGAATTTAAACTACTGGACATTGTGAATTTAAACTACTGGACATTGTGAATTTAAACTACTGGACATTGTGAATTCAAACTACTGGACATTGTGAATTTAAAGTTCTGGACATTGTGAATTTAAACTACGGGACATTGTGAATTTACACTACTGGACATTGTGAATTTCAACTACTGGACATTGTGAATTTAAACTATTGGACATTGTGAATTTAAACTACTGGACATTGTGAATTTAAACTACTGGACCTTGCGAATTTAAACTACGGGACATTGTGAATTTACACTACTGGACATTGTGAATTTCAACTATTGGACATTGTGAATTTAAACTACTGGACATTGTTAATTTAAACTACGGGACATTGTGAATTTCAACTTCTGGACATTGTGAATTTAAACTTCTGGACATTGTCCGATGTGGCGATCATCGTTTTTGTTCACACATTAGCATATTTAGTATTTACGTATTTCTCCAAATGTCTTGCAGCATTTCATGCGACCTTTCCAGTTGCAGTTCTCATCATGGTTTTTGAGTTGCTCGACATTTCTTCGTCGAGTTTTTTTTTACTTTGATCCCCCGATTTGATCACCTGTTCCAGCACTGCTCTTCTCTTGCGACACTGCAGGCTTGACCCACGTTACTCGGCATGACCAACACCACACCGCTTCCTGTCACGTCATCACTCACAATGTCTTCTCGGATGGTGCCTCGGCTCCCAACACAACATGTAAATGCTCGGATGTATTGCATATAGAACATACACATTATATATATCTTGTTCATAAAATTACACCGAAACTATGGATGGACTTTCCAATAACCCTGTAATAGGTGCTCATCAACAGGATCTGTTCCAACAGTTCGTAAGACTAATTTTGGGGTATTTGTGTGTGTACATATATATTAGAATAATTTGTTGCAGCCTTTTTTTTTCCATAAATCCACTGCTGGATGAAGCCCTGCCATACTTCACCATGCTGGGCCATTGTGAGTGGGTGAAGGTGGCAAGGCGGGGCCAAGACCCGTTCAGATATAACTCGCCACCGGTGTTAGCCGTGACCAGGAATCTGACCCTGATAACCATGTCTTTCGCTTCGTTCAGTGTTCATTAATTTTTAGAGGGGGTGGGGGGGGCACCTTCACCGATAAGACATCGTCAGTGTGAGCGCCGTCACACCGCCTAAAAGACTAAAATCATTCATAGTTGTGTCGGGAGCCGCACGAAAGGGCACCAGGGGGTCGCCAGTGTCCCGTGAGCCTTGCAATGAAGAACACTGGCGTAGTGCTTCCCATGTACATGTGTATGTATATGTGTGTGTATTCATGCGTATGCAAAAATGTCTTGAATTCTGTAAGCCCACTACTACCCTGTGTCTGCGATCCAGGCAGCACATGTGCTGTGGCTGGATTTGTTTTGTGGTCTCCTTGGTATTTCACGAGCTCAAACGGTTCCATACTTTGCCATGAAAATAAATAAAGGAACTCTTGAGCAAAAAAAAGGAGCGCCAAGCACGCTTTAGTGGGATTATTGGAATACACAATTAAATGGCGGTCTAAAAGATGAATTTGTTCATTTTAGTCGGCAGTACTTGCGCGGGTTCTTGAATGAACGAAATTAAAACATTTACGTTGTGTTTGCTTAAATAAAAAAAATATGCGACAACATGCAGGCACTTTGAAGATACAACTTTTCATTGCATTTTATTACATAAACTTCATTGATAGAATGTGTTTTTCGTCTTGCCAGAGGTCATTCGTAATACTAATACATGTTTATCGCTTATAAAAGAAACCCTGACGTATGGCTTTTAATTCGTTTTGGATTTATTTATTTTCCTGCTGATTGCTTGTGCGGACCAAATCCATGGATAAATTATATATCTATTTTTACACCAAAATTTTTTTTAAAGAATAACTGCTGCTGATGATGATTGGTGACACAGATGCCGTCTCTGTCCATTGCTTACGCACCGTGCATGCGCCGGGCCTCTCGCTTCCTAAACGCAGAGCAAAGAGACGACGCGTCGCCTGTTGGCTTTGTAAAACGCAAACAAAATCATGATTCAATGCGTATTAAGATGACGGTCACACGTGTTGACTCTGCATCCGACAGCACGTTGAAAGCTCTCATGTTAGTGAAATGGAATTGTTGGCACTGTGGGATCGCGGTGTGTGTGTGTGCGGGCGTGGTGCTGGCCACCCACCCCCTCGTATGCCGTGCCGGCCTTCAAAGGTGCTCGCTAAAAGCACTTAGCCCCAACAGTATGTTAAGGCTATATGGGAGATCTTTGTCTTTGTATCCCAGTACGAACGGTTCACGGTGGCGCAGTGGTTAATGCGCTGTGCTACGAACCCAGCGACCCGAGTCTACGGCCATCGCCAGTGACGATTTCGTGTGCCGTGCCGGCCTTCATAGGTGCTCGCTGACAACACTTGCCCCAAATGTCTAAGGCGATACGGGCGATCTTTGTACACCAGTACGTGCGTGTGCATGATAATGATGTGTGTTTGCATGCACATTATACAAATTATTAAAATGTGCATGCGTGTATGCATTCTGAACCGCCGAATTTACAAAAAAGCGACACTTTGCCAACAAAATCTACAGAAAGAAGCATTTTGGGAACTGATCGAAGAGATGGGGGGGGGAAGTAACGTACTGAATAAATAAGGAAAGTAACTGAGGTCACCGATGGACTTTTGTTGTCAAAGTGGGACTGGGCCAGTCCACATGAGAACAGATGGGCAGAATTAACTGCGGAGTGGACACCAAGAGAGGGCGACTGAAGACGGCAGAAGCTACGGCGAAATGGAATTAAAGAATTCTGGAGGCCGCGAGTTGGACAAGAACCGTGGAAGTAATGAAAGAAAATGAGAGGCCGCTTTCCCTGCAGTGGGAAAGTTACAGTCTGAGAAACCACAACACCGCCGAGTGTGCTCGCGCGCGCGTGTGTCTCTGTGTGTATTTGAACATGTGCGTACAACACACGTGTGCCCTCGATCGTTGTTGGGGGGACATTGACTGTACATCCCTGTGCGTGCGTGAGAGTGTGCGACTCTTTGTGTTTCCCATCACCCCCCCCCCCCCCCCCCCCATAAAACGTGTCATCGCGTGCACACGTGCCGGTGTGTAAGGGGAGCGGTGGCGCTGCGGTTAGCACGCTGCGCGAACCACCCCCCCCCCCCTCCTCCCGGGGTGACCCGAGCTTGATTCCCGCTCACGGCCAACACCAGTGGCGATTATTGGAACCGATTCTGGGAACTCCAACCAGGTCGACTCATCCTCAAATGAGTACCTGGTGCGGTGTGTGAAGAGATCGCCACTCGTGTAGTGACTGAATCGGAGACACCACGAGTTGGAGGCACTCTGTTTATTAACAGGCACCAACGGGTTAACACTTCCACATAATCCGTCTCTAGTCGACTACGCCTCCCAGCCAGGGCAGCTGGTAGACTGCCTCTGACTGGCGACGCCGAGACGGTGAAGACTCCAGCAGCAGCACGATGGGGACCCCACTCCACACGACGACAGCCCCGAGGTCCCCTCCCGGGGCCCCTCTTATACTGCCAGCGTGGCATGGCTCCGCCCACGGCCACGCCCCCTTTCTAGAACCTACCCGCGGGTTCCTCGTGTGCCCCTTCCGTGACCTTTCCCCGAGATCCCCCTCTGGTCTATCACGTGGCCTGCTGACGTCAGGGCTGCTGTAAGCTGCAGATCCCCTTCCCCGCCAGCAGCCAGCGCTATGCTGCTACGTAGCTAATTCTATGTCACTACACTGGGGAGACAAAGGCGGCCGGGCGTGGTGCTGGCCACCCACTCCCATCGTGTGCCGTGCCAGCCTTCAGAGGCTAACAGCACTTGCCCCAAATATTTGTTAAGGATATATGGGTGTGTGTATGTATGGAACTAATATTTCTCCTAATATCGTAGATCACAATGTATAGACGTGCATGACTTTGGTGAATGCTAATGCTGTTCTGCAAGGGATAGAAAGCTTAAAGTTTGAATAAATGGAGTCGATTTTACACTTATATGACTAGAAACATCCAATACCTAGATTTGTGAATTCAGATTCTGGAAAATTACAGCCCACTGCTCCATTCGTGTTACTCATAAGGCAGGGTAATTCGAAAGTTCCAAATTACTCGTGCTGGTACACACTTATATACCGTAAAAATATACCGTATATAATCCTCGTCATCCATGAACAAAGTAAGTCGCCTTGCATCTGATGTTTGGCTCGCCATCGAACAAAGACGCTCACCGCACCGCCCGCTTTCAGATGCGATTCTGCGGCCGTCTGGAACGTTCTTCCAGACATTAGGAAACCACTGGGAGCTTTGCACTTTTACGTCGTATAGATTGACAAAGACATTTCTGTGGAACTGCTTTTTCTTTGTTTATTTGTCCTTCCCACGCACCTCCGATTAGCATGATTGGCTATATATGGTGCGACAGAAGTTCTAGATACATATAGTACCTCCGATTAGCACGGTAAGCTACGTACGGTGCGAAAGAAGTTCAAAATGCATACAGCGCCTCCAATTATCATGGTTGGCTACATACGGTGCGAAAGAAGTTAAACTTACATACAGCACCTCCAATTAGCACGGTAAGCTACGTACGGTGCGAAAGACGTTCAACCAACACACAAAGTGCATGTAAAACCGAAAGCCTGTGACCCCCCTCCCCATCCCCCACCGCCGGTTCCTGGAAGACGTGCAAGGTTCGCTTGGTGAGCTATCGTGGTGAGCTATCCTGGTGAGCTATCGTGGTGAGCTATCATGGTGAGCTATCGTGGTGAGCTATCATGGTGAGCTATCCTGGTGAGCTATCCTGGTGAGCTATCGTGGTGAGCTATCCTGGTGAGCTATCGTGGTGAGCTATCATGGTGAGCTATCGTGGTGAGCTATCCTGGTGAGCTATCGTGGTGAGCTATCGTGGTGAGCTATCGTGGTGAGCTATCGTGGTGAGCTAGCGGGCAGCTCTTGATGCCCCGGAACGCCTCTCGAACGGAGGGGGCCGTTGCGTGGCCTGGCCCCCAAAGTATGCCAACGTGACAACAGCGGGAATGACGACGACGACGACGCCGCTGCTTAAAACATCCAAGACCACAGAAATGTGGCCTTATTTATTTATTAAGCCTCCAGAGAGACGCGCTTGGGCTGCGCTGCACAGACCGCTCGTGTCCAGCCCAGGCGGGCAGTTCACAATGCAACGCGATGCATTGCCCATCGCTTGATGGACTCGTAAAGAGTGCGCGATAACGAATGCTCTTACTCTCTTACTTGCATGTGCTCACGATTTCATCGGCGTGAACGGGTGGCGTTGTTGGTTCACGTTGCGTTGTGTCTGTCCGTCCAATTGCTGAGCAAATATTCTGGACGCCGGCTCCGTTGCTTGTTGGTTTACGGTCTCCAAGAATAGCTAAACGACTGTAGGGGAAGGTCGAGTACGTTGTACATCACAAGGTAAGAACTCTTAAGCTTGTTTGACGCATACGTGGCATTGAGTGGAGCGGGGTGGTTGGCACTGAACCTGTGAACCTGATTTATTGAGTTCGATTCCTGGCCACCTCTCTACCATCGGAGATGAGTGATACCTGGACCGGTGCTGCCCACCCTTCAACTTTCACTCACCAGCGTGGTGAGGTATGATCAAAGAACCCTCTTAATGAGTATGGCATTGGAAGGTCTTCATATCTCGCAGTGCATTTACAAAGGGCTGTAAATTATAGGGTTCATTTTGACATTTTACACGACATTTTTCTTCTGCTTAGAGAATATATTCTTTAGAATGCGTCGCTGTGGTGTAAGCATGCGTTTGTGCCAGATTTTATTTAACCTCCGATTTTGAATGATTTCTTTACATGTCACACCGTGGATTACAAATATTCCTTTTATGATAATGGGAAGTGTCCTTACAATTAATCTGGAGGTATTAGACTAACGAGTATGTCTGGAGATATTAGACTAGCGAGTATATATTTGACCCTATGGACCCTCATGTCCTAGGCGACTTGGGGCTTAAATTCGAACCTATGAAGCTAAATATGCGCGTCGCAAATATGACTGTCGTAAACCGAGTGTAACATTTCCCCAAACTTTAAATCAACATTTTTCACACTGACATTTAAAAATACCGTACGTAAAATCAGTGCTTAATTGAATATACATTTTTCACAATTGTTATGCGCTCCAAGATTGGACATTTTAATAACAACAAAATCCGGACAGACGAGTAAGCAACTCGCACTTGCTCCATTATAGCAAAGAAAATGTAATTAAAAATTATACGTGAGACGTGAGATGACATGATGATTCTGCAGAAAATATGATTAAAAACAAATACGGTATACATATTCCATCGATCAATTGTACTTTCGCGGGACCACTTGTTGTTTTAAGAAAGGAAGTTACATTATTTCTTACAAAAAAAACTCAAGTCGTATATTTATCTGCGTATAACCAGCGCGTGGCATAGTATCTGGTTCATGTTATGAGCACATGACACAGAGAGAGAGAGAGAGAGCAGGGGGCGCTTTTCTGGCATGAACCAAGATCAAAGAACTTGCTTTGCACTTTTTTGTGCAGTGCCTCTGTACAGCCCATGTGTGGCCAATTGAGACAACATGAACGCATGATCCTATCAGATTGGCTTTACTGGATTAGCTCTCGTACATCACACACGGAAACAACAGCGGCGGTACAACAAAACCTATTACGGTAGATACGACGAGTGTACAACAAAACCCAAACTTAGTGAAGATGTTTTTTGCATTTATATTAGGCTTGTGTGTTTTTTTTTATGGAGTTGAAACTTTACTTTAAGGCTTTTCTAGTTGTATGGCATTCCAGTGTTTTGATGGTAGGTGAAATTTAATTGCAAAAAGTTAACGGTGTGGCCTAACTTTAAACAAAACTTCCCAAAACCGCTATAACCCCCCACCTCCATAAATACCACGTGGTCTTTCTTTCTGACCATGAACCCAGTGACAAACAGAAGGAGCACACAGAGCTAATAACGTCGCAGAGCTGAAGCTAATACAGTACCCTTGACGCCAGGATGCGCAGCCCAGCGGCGGCGGTGGCTCTCAAATCTCTCGCGGCGCTGGGGGCCGTCGTGCTGCTGCTGCTGCTGCTCGGGGCCGCGTGGCTTTGGCGTCCTGCGAGTGGCCCGCTGCCGGGCCTCAGCCGGCCCAAGAGGGCCCCCCTCACCGCGCCCGTGCCCATCGCCGATGACGAGCGACGAGCCCTCACCGAGTACCACAACCGCCTGCGAGCCAGCGTGCACCCACAGGCGGCCGACATGGAGCACATGGTGCGCGCGGTGCGGAGTGGGAGATTCGGTCGGGCCCTCGAAGCTTCGAGCTCTGTCATTGGCATTCCAACAACCACAACAACAAAAAAAGCCAACCCATTTTGACGGTGATATCTTATTTGACTTACGATTGGCGCAATTGCGACTTGTTTTCAAGAAAAAAACAAACTCAATTGGGATTGCTGCGTGCCAGTGTCCTTCATTGCAAGAGCCACGGTGTCACTGGTGGCCTTTAGTGCGGCCCCTGACAAAACACAAATAGTGAAACACCCCCCACCACCACCATCATCGTGCTGCTGTCAAACCCCCAATGGTGTGGCGGCACTCTCGCACTGACGATGTCTTATCGCTCCCCCTTCTTGGAATTCGTGAAGAACACTGCTCTATACAAAGCGAACATCGCCCCTATTGGAAAAGCATTCTTGACAGGCCCATCCTGAAAAAAAGTCGTCAGCCTCTTGCCTCTCTCGCATTCTTCTTTCATGATCCCCTCTTGTCCACTTAATTCCCAATCTTCTGTCTCTCTCTCTCTGTCCCTCCTTCTCCCTGTGCCCAATTCCGTTTCTGGTCATCCTCAGTCCTTGCACCCCTCCACTTCCCCGGTACATTGAACAACACTGCACCACAGACTCAACACTGCCCATAGACTCAACACTGCACATAGACTCAACACTGCACACAGACTCAACACAGCACATAGACTCAACACTGCACCATAGACTCAACACTGCCCACAGACTCAACACTGCACACAGACTCAACACTGCCCACAGACTCAACACTGCCCATAGACTCAGCACTGCCCACAGACTCAACACTGCCCATAGACTCAACACTGCCCACAGACTCAACACTGCCCACAGACTCAACACTGCCCACAGACTCAACACTGCCCATAGACTCAACACTGCCCACAGACTCAACACTGCCCACAGACTGAGCACTGCCCATAGACTCAACACTGCACACAGACTCAACACTGCCCATAGACTCAACACTGCACATAGACTCAACACTGCACACAGACTCAACACTGCCCACAGACTGAGCACTGCCCATAGACTCAACACTGCACACAGACTCAACACTGCCCATAGACTCAACACTGCTCACAGACTCAACACTGCCCATAGACTCAACACTGCCCATAGACTCAACACTGCCCATAGACTCAACACTGCCCATAGACTCAACACTGCCCACAGACTCAACACTGCACACAGACTCAACACTGCCCATAGACTCAACACTGCCCATAGACTCAACACTGCCCATAGACTCAACACTGCACCATAGACTCAACACTGCCCACAGACTCAACACTGCCCATAGACTCAACACTGCCCACAGACTCAACACTGCCCACAGACTGAGCACTGCCCATAGACTCAACACTGCACACAGACTCAACACTGCCCATAGACTCAACACTGCCCATAGACTCAACACTGCACACAGACTCAACACTGCACCATAGACTCAACACTGCCCACAGACTCAACACTGCACACAGACTCAACACTGCCCACAGACTCAACACTGCTCACAGACTCAACACTGCCCATAGACTCAACACTGCCCATAGACTCAACACTGCCCATAGACTCAACACTGCACCATAGACTCAACACTGCCCACAGACTCAACACTGCCCATAGACTCAACACTGCCCACAGACTCAACACTGCCCACAGACTCAACACTGCCCACAGACTCAACACTGCCCATAGACTCAACACTGCCCACAGACTCAACACTGCCCACAGACTGAGCACTGCCCATAGACTCAACACTGCACACAGACTCAACACTGCCCATAGACTCAACACTGCACATAGACTCAACACTGCACACAGACTCAACACTGCACCATAGACTCAACACTGCCCACAGACTCAACACTGCACACAGACTCAACACTGCCCACAGACTCAACACTGCTCACAGACTCAACACTGCCCATAGACTCAACACTGCCCATAGACTCAACACTGCCCATAGACTCAACACTGCCCACAGACTCAACACTGCCCATAGACTCAACACTGATCATAGACTCAACACTGCCCATAGACTCAACACTGCACCATAGACTCAACACTGCCCACAGACTCAACACTGCCCATAGACTCAACACTGCCCACAGACTCAACACTGCCCATAGACTCAACACTGCCGATAGACTCAACACTGATCATAGACTCAACACTACCCATAGACTTAACATTGCCGGTAGACTCAACACTGCACATAGACTCAACACTGCCCATAGACTCAACACTGCCTATAGACTCAACACTACCTATAGACTCAACACTCCCCATAGACTCAAAACTGCCTATAGATTCAACACTGCCTATACATACTCTTTAGTTTTTTCGGTAAAGTCAGGTAGGTAAAATAAAATGAATTAAAAGAAAGAAAACAATTAAATCACGACGTTTCGGAGGCAACACAAGCTTCCGTCTTCAGGTGGAACAGTCACAGCAGGATCGCTGCATCAAGTGGGGAGGCTCTGAGAGCCTCGAGCTTAAATACAGGTTAAGGGGGGGGGGAGGAGCCAAGTAGGGGACATTGATGGGGTGCTGGGCTAAGTTAATCCGTCTTTTGTTATGTTGAGGGTGCGGGGGATGCAGTGGGTCACTGCACGGGGGCAATGGAAAAATGGAAACAAAAATGGAAAAGTTCGGAAAGATATATGCTGTGTGCTTATAAGGTAGCTAAAGTTTTGACTTCGTTTATGACATCTTTCCAGTGGTTGCATTAATTTAAAACCATCCTCTCGGTTGAAGTTGTGTCTATGTTTGTATATCTGGATGGCTTCGTGGACAAATCTTTGGTAATAACCGGGAGGTTTGCAGAGTGCTTTGGTATCAGAGAAAACAATCTCATGAGAACCCGCTGTGTTGAGACAGTGATCAGCTACGGCCGACGAATTTGTTCTGCCGTGTTTAAAATCTGATTTGTGCTCGCGAATTCGGTCAGAAATATGTCGTTTTGTCTCCCCGATATAGCAGTCACCGCAGATACAACTCAATTTGTAAACACCGGGGTACTGTAAGTCAGGGATGACATCCTTTACGGATGGAAAGATGTCATAAACCAAGTCAAAACTTTAGCTACCTTATAAGCACGCAGCGTATTCTTTCCGAACTTTTCCATTTTTGTTTCTATTTTTTCCATTGCCCCCGTGCAGTGACCCACTACATCCCCCGCACCCTCAACATAACAAAAGACGGATTAGCTTAGCTCCGCACAACATCAATGTGAACTACTTGGCTCCTCCCCCCCTTAACCTGTATTTAAACTCGAGGCTCTCAGAGACTCAACACGACCCATATAATCAACACTCCCTATTGACTCAACACTGCCCATAGACTCAACACTTCCCACAGACTCAACACTACCTATAGACTCAACACTGATCATAGACTCAACACTGCACATAGGCTCCACACTGCCCACAGGCTCAACACTGCCCACAGACTCAACACTGTCCATAGATTCTAGATTTGAAGCTTTCGTGACTACAAATAATTCATACGCTTTGTTTTTTTTCGGTAAAGTCACGTAGGTAAAAAAAAAACAAATTAAAATAAAAGAAACGTCGTGTTTTAATTGTTTCTTTTATTTTAATTTGTTTTTTTACCTACTTGACTTTACCGAAAAAAACAAAGAGTATTGTCCATAGACTCAACACTGCCCACAGACTCAACACTGCCCATAGACTCAACACTGATCATAGACTCAACACTGCCCACAGACTCAACACTGTCCATCGACTCAACACTGCCCACAGACTCAACACTGCCCATAGACTCAACACTGTCCATAGAGTCAACACTGCCCACAGACTCAACACTGCCCATAGACTCAACACTGCCCATAGACTCAACACTGCACCATAGACTAACACTACCCATAGACTCAGCACTGATCATAGACTCAACACTGTCCACAGACTCAACACTGTCCATAGACTCAACACTGCCCACAGACTCAACACTGTCCATAGACTCAACACTGCCCATACACTCAACACTGTCCATAGACTCAACACTGTCCATAGACTCAACACTGCCCACAGACTCAACACTGTCCATCGACTCAACACTGCCCACAGACTCAACAATGCCCATAGACTCAACACTAATCATAGACTCAACACTGCCCACAGACTCAACACTGCCCACAGACTCAACACTGTCCATCGACTCAACACTGCCCACAGACTCAACACTGCCCACAGACTCAACAATGCCCATAGACTCAACACTGATCATAGACTGAACACTTCCCACAGACTTAACACTTCCTAGAGACTCAACACTGCCCACATACTCACTCGCACTGCCTAGAGACTCAACACAGCCCCTGTACGTTAAGCGGTCCCCCTCATTAACCACCTTCCATTCCTCTCTTAACGCCTCACCTCTTATCCATTGCCAATCTCTCTTCCCTCCCCATCGCCCCTCAATGTATTCCCTCCCCCTTGCACCCGTTGCTCACCCCTTGCACGTCCCCCACCATCTCCATCATCCTTGCTAATACCGGGTTTTTTTGTTTTTCTCAAACGATGTCGGGATCGTGTGTCCTGCAGTCGTGGGACTGGGAGCTCGCCGGGATGGCCGAAGCGTGGGCCAAGCAGTGCAAGTGGGGACACGGGCCCAGTGATGAGCTCGACGCCATCGGCCAGAATCTCGCCGTCTACGTCGGCAGGTGACCTCGACCTAATCACGGCGGCGTAGAGAGACGGAGAGAGAGAGGGAGGGCCCTTTCACAGGGGCCATTTCGCAGTGATCCTCCCCCCAAAACCGACAACTCACACACTCGGCATGCTAGTCAGAGCACTAAAACCGAACTCTTTCTTTATTGAGAAGCAACCTGGCCACGAATGATAGCGGAAAAACTCTCGAGACGTGTGTTTCTAAATGTAGAGGGAGGACCCGCGGAGAACGTGGAAACTCCAAATATTACGGTCGGTTCGAACCCACGACCTCCTGCATACCAGGCAAGGGAGTTAACATCTCGGCACCTCGGCGGCCACTGAGCCAGCATCGTCGAGATCCTGGGTCTGATTATAAGTTTATTTGAACGGGGTTTTAAATTGCAGCGAGATGATGGCCTAAACCGGTAAACAATGAATGCACCAAAACTCAGACTAGAGAGCTAGTTGTAAGTACCCCTTATATAAGCACAGGTTCTGATATAAGTGGCACATCCTCACATTACACTGGCTACCTGAGTTCGATTCCCGCTCACGGTCAACATTAAGTGACGAATATCGCAACCGGTCCTGCGCCTTCCCTGGGTCGACTCAGCCTTAAATGAGTACCTGGTGCCGTGTGTAAACATCACGAATGGGGAGACAAAGGCAGTCGGGCGTTGCATGAGCCAAATATCACCTTCGTCTACCGTGTTGGTCTTCATAGGTACTCGCTCACAGCACTTTCCCAAACAGCCCGTGTCGGCTACATGGGTAATCTCTGTCGTAGGCCTACATGTGTTATGCAATTTCACTTGTGCGGGCGTATGTGAAGCAGCATCTTTGACTTAAAAACAGATTCACCACGTGCCGTGGGGGTCCATTGCCTGCTGCTTGAAATGAATTCCGGATTTTTCTCGCTAAGGTCTGGATTTGATGATTCCCACTGATGTACATATACTCACAGTCACTCACACGCCTTTATCTCCCCACCCCCCCCCTCTTCACCACACACACAGCGAACGCCCCCTTGCCTACCACGTGCAGGCGTGGTTCGACGAGGAGGAGTGGTACCAGTACCCCGAGGAGAAGGAATGCAGACCCGAGTGCCCTCACACCTGCAGGGGCCCCATCTGCACTCACTACACGCAGGTGCACGTGGGGGTTCACTTACATCGCCACTCCGTCTGTTTCATTCCTCCGCCTCTGTCTATCCGGCAGCATAAACTGGGCTGACCACAGTCAGTCGAGCTGCAGAGCACCAGTGGTGCAGTGGAAGTCTGGGTACTCCCACCTCTGCCGAGACGTCTTTCAAACGTGGACGAGTAGGGCCAATTTTACCCTCTTACTGGGGCTTTCTAGAGTTCCCGTCGAGGTTGATGTCCTTCCACCAGTTAGTGGCGTAAAGCAAGCACTTGCAGGGCTTGCACCTTTAACCGTACATTTTGTGTAACCGCGTGAGAGCCCATTGCTTGATGTACTGTGCCAGACGTGTGTGGTTGTGCACACCTCTAAAGATCCGCAATGCATTATTGTGGAGGATCACACAGATTGTTGTCATCGTGAGCACGAGTTGAACTTCCAACACGCCGGGATATGAGGATGATTCTGGTGGTCACTAATGTCCGCACAAACAAACACGAGTCTTTTCGTTGTAAGTTAATCATTGTGCTTGTTTTGTCACTGAGAATAGAAGCATTATGTTTGACTGACATGGGAAACGTACTCTTTGCATGACATATACACAGCGTCCGCTTGCGTTGGGTAAACAGGCTTTCTTTATTGCAGTGCCTTGAGAAGTAGTTCTGTGAGTTACCTTCCCGGGCTGTTTTCTGACACGGGCTGGTCCACTGCTGTCTGTCAGAGTTCTGAATGGAAATGTCTGAAGACACAGCACCACATTCCCTTGCTGAACTCGTTCTTTGCTGTTGTAGTGGGTTTTCTCGTCGTTTACAAATTATAATTTATCGTTGCCTTTAAGATAGCTGTTGGGTGTCCACAGTGTAAAGGAAACCCATCTGTATATATTGGGGCTGCTGGAGGCATTTGACAGCAGGGAACACGAAAAACGACAGTGTGCTGATCAGGGGCGGAGCCAGGGGGGGGGGGGGGGGTGACAGGGGGGGTGACATTCCGCGTATGAGTGTACGACACTCGGTCTGGCGGACTCCGTGCAACTGCATTGTCAGAGCGTGTCGCCAACCGATGGCGTCTAGTTAAACAGCCTGACTCTCTAATCGTTCTTGAAATTAACATTTGTTGAATGTCACCCCGGCCTGAAATCCTGGCTCCGCCCCTGGTGCTGATGAGCTCTAGTGAAGCCGACGCCGGTCTGCAGTATCTCTTTGCCTCGCTAACGCCTCTTGGGAGGGCCACACTCTTGAGCTGGTGTTCCAGATGACAACAGAAATTGCCACACTCGTTCATTCGCTTCCTTGCAGCTGGTGATCTGAATAAGGCTTGAGATATTTTGTACGTGGAATGTCATTTGGGAATGAGAAAAAATAGGAAGGAAAAACATGCGTTGGCAAGGGAATTCCACGCACTGTGAATGCATACACGATGGCCTTTACACTGTGGGGACCCATCAGATATCTTAAAGGCAACGATCATTCAAATTGTGAACCGAAAAGAACCCCCGTTATAACAGGAAGAAATTAGTGCAGAAAGAAAAAAACAAACAGGCGTTGTGTCTTCAGATAAGTGCATCGAGCTAGACACACGTGCTGCGCTAAGCGTGAAGTTTGCATACCTGTCAACCCCGAATCAGTGCCCTACCTTATTACAGACCAATTCAGACCTCATCGGTCACCCCGTGTCCCCTTATAAACCTCAACGTTCATCCTACAAAGTCCCATCACGAGGGAGAAACACAAACAAATAGACAAAAAACATTTTTGTGCCCCGATTGAAACGGCTGTACGCCGTATGGACCTGAAAACTCAAATGTCCCCTGTCACAAGAATACGGGGCGAACCGTACGGGGTTTGACAGCGATGAGTTTCTTTGGCGTCGCTCAGGAGGCCACGAGTGGTTTGTGACCGGGCGCTTGTGACTTGCCGTGGCCAGCTAGTGTGGGCAGAGAGCCGCCGCGTGGGCTGCGCGGTGCACACCTGCCTGGACATCTCCGTGTGGGACGCCGTGTGGCCGTACGCCCTCTACCTCGTCTGCAACTACTCCCCCAAGTGAGTGTCTACTGCCCACCTCCCCCCATCCTCCCCTACGATTACACCGCCAGGCTGTGCCGCACCGATCGTGCGCGCGCTGGGTGACCCGGCGGGCACGCGTTTCCGTGTCGGCGAATAATTGAAGCGGTCCTTGGGCCCCTCTCGAGGTCGACTTGGCCTCGAGATGGGTGGCGTGAACTCGGCTTGTGAGGGTCGTGTCTCTGTGTGTGTCTGCGTGTCTCTCCCTCCTCCTCCTCCACAGGGGCAACTGGATAGGCGAGGCCCCATATCGCCAGGGCACGCCATGCTCCCGGTGTCCGCCGCGATACGGCGGCTCCTGCCGTGGCGGCCTCTGCTACCAGGGTACGGGGGGAGGGGGGGGGAGGGGGGGTCTCGTTGCGTGGGGGTTCAGCGGCTCCCGGTTCGAGAGACGGGCTGCGAAGTCCGCGCGGGGTTTTTCCGCACTGGGTGGGCTTGGCCGAGTCACTGGAATGCGACAGAGCAGTGGATTCTCTCCCGGTGCTGTCTCCATGACACGGGGCACGTACAATGTGGAGGGGCGGGGGGGGGGCAGTGTCGGGTTATCGTCGTAGCAAAAGTAGCTACACATGTTGTAGCTAAGGGCCCTGAACTTTCAAGGACCCCGCGTTAAATGCTTTCAAGCTATCAATTCCGGCTTGGTGATTCTGCACTTGCTCTATTACTATAGTACTATACCGCCTTCAACTTTTACGAACGACTGGCTGTTTTAGGTTAGCGATTTGTCGTATTATTTTTGGCTGTATAACAAATAAAAAAATACAACTACTTTACTATGCAAGTTAAACATTTAGTGTTTTTAATATTTATGTGGTATTTCTTTTTTTTATTTTTGGTACCTCTTTATAACATCATGCTACAGGCTCCGCACTAGTTTCATCCGGCACTCTGGGGGTGGTGGGGGAGGTTTGCGGACCCTGAAACGCTGGAGGAAGTAGCGGATGTGTCTCTGACTGCGCCATGTGGCCGAGGAGGTCTCTGCCTGGCGCGTAAAGTGTCACACAGGGCCGACATGCCCAAGCGAACTGCGGTGGGAGGGTGGTCGCTACTTTCAACAATGACAATCGCCTTGCACGAGTGTCATGCGAAGCGCGTGTGCGTTATCGTCACAGGGGGCTGCCTTTGCATTTTTATCCATCAGTAAGTCCACCTGGATGCGTCGCCTAAAACCGAACAATCTGAGGCAAGGGTTGCCTCGTAAACCCGGAGCCTCGAGCCATCGCCAAGTGCAGTACCTCGAGTGAGTTGACACATGAAGATAAACAAAACCGTAATTCGTAGACCTTTATACCAGTGAGTGATTCTCAACCCCTGTCTGCATGAACCACCCCCAATGGTGCAGCTTTCCGTGATTACGTGAGTATTAGGTGAGTGCATCCTTCGGTGACTACGTTTACACCTCCGATTAGCACGGTTGGCTACGCACGGTGCGAAAGAAGTTCAACATACATGTACATGCGAAAGATTGGTCATCATGAACAGGTGAACCATGGAGTATTGTGATGGCTGGAGTTGACAAGCGCTTGTCTGTACGCTACGTTGCAAGCATTCAGCAAGTAACCATTCGTCGTCCCCAGCGACTCGATGAATTGTCACAATTTGGGGTCGCGATTTTATTCGAGAACCAAAACATTTCCGTGATTGTGGTAAATATAAAGCCTCTCGTGGCTGCAGAGTTTACATGAACCAATTACATACTAGTTGTACAAATACATACTAGTTGTACAAATACATACTAGTTGTACAAATACATACTGGTTGTACAATTACATACTAGTTGTACAAATACAAAATAAACTGATTCTTCCCTGCGCGATGCAATGCATATATTGTGAGTGTGAGAATCGATTTTAACGCGTTTATCAATGCATCATTACACGTCCATTTTATATGAGATAATCCCCTTGGTCGAACTGCATGCGCTCCATCAATGGGAGCATGTTTTCAAATCCCAGCCAGAGTCATCTTATCCCTTCGTTGGTGTCCAATCATCGCTTCATCACACATCCTACCCTCTGTGTCTCCCATAGCCCCGAATACCACAGCCCAGAACTGGGACCTTGACGAGACTCAGCTTGGCGAGAGACGCCCCAAGATCCCGTTGATCGAGACTCCACAAGCTCCTGTCCTGATCCCTGGTCCCAACAGGTCACTGGAGTTCAAAAATCGCGAGCGAACCAAGCCACGGATTCAAGCGAATGCTAAAGCCATAGGTAAGGCCATGGTGGAGAGTGGTCACCCCTCTCCCATGTGGTGTCTAGTACAAGTAGAATTCCTGACAGTGCATTAAAAGTTTATACGCTGCAGATTTAACTATGTATGCATGCATGTTGAACTTCTTTCGCGCCGTACGTAGCCGACCTTGCTGATCAGAGGTCCGGGGGAAGGACAACAAACTTAACACAAAAAGCGGTTCCAATCAAATGAGTTTTCAATCGAAATGTAAAAGTGCTGTGAGCGAGCGCCTATTAACCCCGTCGGTGACATCCACTGACTGCCGTTGAACATTCCTGCAGGTCGTAGGGTGACGTGCAGAGCGAAGATGCGAGAAGTCTGTCAGGGGTATGTCTGCTTCAGGTGGGACCCGAACGCGCGTATTCCTCCCAAGCGGTTAAGTGATTAATGCCCGATTTCAGGGACACATTTGTACCCGTACACAGTGGTTGGTGCATGATTCGTGGTGGTGGTGATTGAGGTGGCAGTGATGATTGTGATGTGCGTGCCTCCAGGTTCTTGTGCCCAGAAAATTGCTCCCAAAGCACAGCGAATGTCATTGGGACACACGTGTACGATGTGGTAAGCAACGTGTGCGATAACACACACACACACATTGATGCATTTGCTTCTTCTTCTTCTTCATAGATGCTGCTCCACATACGCTCGCATAATGTACATCTTGTTGAACGACTTCCAGCATTAAACGTGGAGGCTTTAGTTTCAGAGCAGAGGGTGGTTCTAGATTTGAAACTTTCGTGACTGCAAGGATCCATACTCTTTGGTTCTATTCGGTAAAGTCACGTAGGTAAAAAATAAAACAACAAAAATCACGACGTTTCGGCCACAACATAAGTGGCCTTCATCAGGTGAAGGGACCGTACTGTCCAGAGGACAGCGTTGGAGTGAAGACAGCCAAGCCCAGGTCGCGTCCTTTAAGCTGGGCTTGGCTGTGTTCACTCCAACGCTGTCCTCTGGACAGTACGGTCCCTTCACCTGATGAAGGCCACTTGTGTTGTGGCCGAAACGTCGTGATTTTTGTTGTTTTATTTTTTACCTACGTGACTTTACCGAATAGAACCAAAGAGTACAGAGGTTGGTTTCCAAAAGCAATGCTCTTACCTTCAATGACGACACAATGTCTGATAGACGGAATACATTTCTAACATCCGTGATAATCCATCTCTGGGCTTACAATGCGGATCCCCCTTCAAAGCAATCTCTTCATAAACCGTTACACATCGATCAGTTCGTCGTGAGGCTTGTTGAAGCTGGCCCGGGAAAATCTTTGCGCCATAAAGCCTTCCGATTGCGCTCGTCACGTTTGTGCCAATCCCCTCCAAAGCGAGTTTTACACATCACGTTCTCTGATTAGGCCGTTGGGGCACTTATCTCCATGATAACTCACAAGGGGCTGAACCCGCACTAGCAGGGCCATGATAGCTCACGAGGGACTAAACTGGCACCGACAGAGCCATGATATGTACTTATGTTGAACTTCTTTCGCACCGTACGGAGCCAACCGTGCTAATCGGAGGTGCTGTGTGTATGTTGAACTTCTTTCGCACCGTACGTAGCCAACCGTGCTAATCGGAGGTGCTGTATGTATGTTGAACTTCTTTCGCACCGTACGTAGCCAACCGCGCTAATCGGAGGTGCTGTGTGTATGTTGGACTTCTTTCGCACCGTACGTAGCCAACCGTGCTAATCGGAGGTGCGGGATAACTCACAAGAGGCTGAACTCGTACTGACAGGGCCTGTGGTCCCGTTGTGTCACGTGACTGTGTACACATCACATTTGGGGGGAAGGGTAAATGGTCCTGGTCGATGTGAAAACGAAGCTCTGATCTCTGCAAACTGAATAAAATAATTGAATAGATATTTTTTGGCTGGATCTTGTACGTAATGTATCATTGACAACAGTATTAAGATATTGTTTTAGCCTTCATGTATTTACGTATGTACAACTGAGCATACTTGGCCCCGATATGGTAATGAGGAATTTCCACCATTACGACCACAAGCAGAGATGAAGAGCATCGACCCGCTGTGGTGAGCCGTGACGTTGGCTGTCCTTTGTGTAATACTTATCAAGCAGCGGCAGGTGGCAGGCTTTTCTCACTTTCGGTATTCGCGGTGAATGTCTGTTCGCTCATGATGGAGATCGCACATTTGTGTTCAGTGTGATACTTCAACGAACGTACAACTTTTTTTTTGGCTGACTCTGCCCTATAAGTGAAACCAATCAAATTGCAAGATGCAACTTTCGGAAGCCCAGTTAAAAAAATGTTTACCATCTGTCTAGTTATAAGCACACACTTGACACATCCCTAATGTGTGTGCATATATATTTATACACCTGTTGAAGGCCGGAACGGCGCACAAAGGGGTGGGTGGCCAGCACCACGCCCGGCTGCCTTTGTCTCCCAAGTGGTGATGATGATGACACCACACCAGGTACTCATTTGAGGCTGAGTCTAACTAAGGGAGGCACAGGACGGGTTCAAATAATTGTCACTGGTGCTGGTGGCCGTGAGCGGGAATCGAACTCGGGTCGCCGGGTTCCGCACAAACCGCTACACTACCGCTTCCATTTATATCGACGCACACATATATATGCATATACCGTTGCCACTTGTGTCCGCAGGAGTCGGGGCTGTGCCGATCGGCTCGACACGCGGGGGCCCTGGGTCCTGGGGGCGGCTGGATCGACGTGAAGAGACGGGGTCGCACACAGACCTTCACCGGTTCCGCACGGAATGGGGTCCGATCCCTCGGGTACGGATTGCGTGCGCAGGAGAACTCCTCTTATCGGTGGTGATGTGTCGGATACTTAAATATATTACGGGTCATTGACCTGGACTAATCCAGCTGAAATCCATCCATCCTGAGCAGTCTTACGATGAGGTGGTTGGAACAGCCCTGGTCAAAAATATATATCCACATTTCCTGGTCCTCAATATCATAATTTCTCCATGGTCGATGAAATGAGGGCCACTTTCTGGGAAGGCATTGACCGTTCTCCTACGAGGCCCTCGTGAGATAATGATTATAATCACCTTCAATATTAGACCCCAAAAGTATTATTATGAGGATAATTTTGAAATGTTCACTGCTTTTGTTGCCTAATTTGTGAAACTCACCCACCCACAGGAAAAAGCGATTGATACAGTATTAATGTTGTTCCACAGGAAGAGGCGGCCAGCCAACTCATTCTCCGTCTCTGCATCACCAGGTTGGCACAGCCGTTCACTGCGCGTATCACACGCTACGTCACCGGCATATGCTTGACTCATCAATGTGGACGATTAGCCCAATGTTTAAACACACCTTTGGTAACATTCACGAGTGGGCCCATAATATTCTCCATAAACATTTGATTAGTGCCATAGCATCATTGGGCCTGGTGGTAGAGTATGTCCGGTGCATAGATGGAGCGATGCGTCCAGCTTGTTTGCATGATCAATGTGATAGATCGTGGCTAATTATGACGATGATGATCGATGAAGGCTTATGTTATCTTTGTGAGCTGTGTGTTAACAGTGAGGGAGGTGAGCTGTAAGGACACATTGCGGGATATCTGCCCAATCAAATTCCCACCGCCTCCTCGCTGTCCCCGGTGAGATTACCCGGCTCTCCGGCAGACTCCGCGTGCCACTCACAGCCTCAAACGTACTGCTATTGAATGTGCCTTGATTGTTCCGTGATTTGTTTCTACACCAGGTTTGTTTGCCCGGCGAGATGCACGCAAGCCCACGGGATTGTGGTGGGAACGGGCATTTACTCGGACGTAAGTTCATCAACGTCGTCACCGTTTTTCGTACGTATGTTAAATTTATTTTGCACCGTACGTAGCCAACCGTGCTAATCAGAGGTGCGTGGGAAGGACAACAAACTAAACACAAAAATCAGTTCTGAAGAAAAGAGTTTTCAATCTAGATTTAAAACTAATTTCTGATTGTTGATGGCATTGATTCAATGTATTTGTTTTTGTATGTTATAGAGTGTACTGTTGCAACAGAAACCTCGACATGCTGAGCAGGAGCAAGGGGACATAAGTTGTGGGAAAGTGTGAATGAAAGGATCGGTAGGCACGTACACTCTGATTGAAGGCGGGCCGAAATCAATGTTACTCAATAATGAGGCGGATGTAAGTGATGATGTTGTTTAGTTACGTGACAAACATTAGGAGAGGGCTATGGTGTAGATTTACAGCGCAATATTATCCAGCAGAATTGGTTAAGCGATCAAACTCTGGACCCGCGTCGACACTGTGACTCTCATCAGCAGAATCAGGCTTGTTAAACAGATGCTCCTGTGTTATCAGAAGCCATCGGCCAGAAGCACGTGACATATAACCTATGGGGCCCACAGTGGGTCTTGCTGAACAGAAGCACGTGTCATGCAACCTATGGGGCCCACAGTGGGTCTTGCTGAACAGAAGCACGTGCCATGCAACCTATGGGGCCCACAGTGGGTCTTGTTGAACAGGTTTCCGGACGGGGCAAGGACATCGCGCAGCCAACCTCCACGGCTGGAGTCTTCATGGCATTCCAGACTGCAGCTGTGACACCGTACAAAGAGCGTCGCGTATTGTTGATGACTGCCCACGAAGTTCAGCCGAGGTCTATGAGAGCTACACGTGGCCACCGAGGATGCTGTCGCAATGCTCGGCGATTACGCACACGCTGAATGAATTGGCCAAACATTTCAATATGGCAGGACCCACCTGGTTAAGAGTCTCGAGACTCATTGAGGCTGTCACGTATATATGGCAGGGGGCACCGCGGTCGCGAAATGTTAACTCCCTCGCCTGGTATGCAGGCGGTCGTAAGTTCGGTTCCGTCCCTGACGCCTGCTGCATATTTCGAGTTTGCACGTTCTCCCCGTGGTCGCGTTGATTTTTCTCCGGGTTCTCCGGGTTTTCCCCTCCACGTTCAGAAACAACGTCATGCGTAGAGAGTATTTGGCTGCCACACATTTCCACGCGACAAAGCCACTTTGTTGAGCTATCACGTGTGGCCAGGTCGCTTCTGCAAAAAAGAGCTACACACCTCAGTGGGCTTTGCCTGGCAAATAAAAACAGTTTTGCTTAAATTTTGATTTAAAGCTTTCGTGACTGCAGTAATTCATATTCTTAGTTCTTTCGGTAAAGTCACGTTGAAGGGAAACAATAAAATAATAAAATATATATAAAACAATAAAAATTCTCACGACGTTTCGACCATAACACAAACGGTCGTCTTCAGGTGTGTCGGTTTGCATAAATTTATTTATTTTTAAACGGTGTATTTATTTATTTATTAAAAAAACGTTAGCGCCACGCGCAGCGATTTGGCAGTTTATTTAGAAGGACTAGTCCATCTATGTTCTGAAAAGAGGAGGGGGGAGACGTACATTTTTTAATGTATGCTGTCTGAAAGCCACTGTAAGCGTGAACAATCAATTAAGACCTGAAATGGTTTATCAAATCTTTCCAATGATTGCTAAGCCAGAATCCATCTTCTCTGCCACTCTGCTCCCAACCTTATGGAAGAGGTACGTGGATGACACTTTTGTCATCTGGCCACATGGCCGGCCTGCTCTAGACCAATTCTTCGACCACATGAATTCCATACAGCCAGCCATCAAATTTACCATGGAAGTAGAAATAGATGGCAAGCTACCTTTTTTGGATGTCCTAATTAAAAAGAGACCTGATGGTTCAATGAGCCACTCTGTCTACAGGAAAGCTACCCATACGGATGCTTATCTGAAACCGGATTCCCACCACCATCCATCACAGAAGAATTCTCTCATCAAGACTCTGTATCATAGAGCCCAATGCATATCCGACCAGGAACACATAGGCAGTGAACTCAAGCACGTACACCAAGCTCTTAAGGCTAATGGTTACTCCGACTATACAATCCGCAAAGCTATCACTCAAACCATGAAGAAGGACCCTCTTGAGGAGCCTTTCAAACCATCACTTTACCCTACATTGCGGGGATCACAAAAAAGATCTCCAAAATCTTGAATAAACACAAGATCCAGGTCCGTTTCAACACATTACATAAAATCCGTGATCTGGTTCCGTCTGTAAAAGATGTGATTCCGGACATACAATACCCTGGTGTCTACAAACTAAGTTGCCTCTGTGGTAGTAGTTACATTGGAGAAACCAAACACCATGTCTCGGACCGCATTCGTGAACACAAAGCAGACCTTAAACACGGTAGGACCAACACCTCGGCCATGGCAGATCATTGTTATGATTCAGTAGGCTCACATGACATTGACTTTTCCAAGACAGAGGTTCTTTGTAAGCCATCTGGCTACCATGAGAGATTCGTTCATGAGGCTATCCACATATACAAGCACAGAGACAATTTCAACCGAGAAGATGGATTCTGGCTTAGCAATCATTGGAAAGATTTGATAAACAATTTCAGGTCTTAATTGATTGTTCACGCTTACAGTGGCTTTCAGACAGCATACATTAAAAAAAATTCGTCTCCCCCCTCCTCTTTTCAGAACATAGATGGACCAGTCTTTCTAAATAAACTGCCAAATCGCTGCGCGTGGCGCTAACGTTTTTAAATAAATAAATAAATACGCCGTTTAAAAATAAATACATTTATGCAAACCGACACACCTGAAGACGACCGTTTGTGTTATGGTCGAAACGTCGTGAGAATTTTTATTGTTTTATATATATTTTATTATTTTATTGTTTCCCTTCAACGTGACTTTACCGAAAGAACTAAGCATATAGTTTTGCTTTAGTTTGCAGAAAGCGAATTAACTACGCCTCGTTGCAGAGAGGAGGGTGTGGTGGTGGTGGTAGGGGTGACACACAGACGTTCTCACCCACTCCCAAGTTACCCACACGCGCGTGCGCACCACCCTCCACCACTCCCCTCCACCGCGCACCACCCTCCACCACTCCCCTCCACCCCCCACCACCCCCCACCACCCCCACAGACTTCCAGCGTGTGCCTGGCGGCTGTGCACGCGGGCGCTGTGACCGCGCACGGCGGTGGCCCCGTGGACGTGGTCCCTGCCCAGCGACGGAAAGTTTTCAACGCCTCCCTGCGGCACGGCTTGCGGTCCTTTGGGTGGGTCTTGGCGTTCGTTAAATCAGAGGTGGCCGGGGAGGCCCACGGTTGGCTCTGTGGTGCTGCTAAGGCGGTGCTCGAGGAGAGATGCTGTCGCCGCCTCTCCTGATGTGATCCTGGGTTGCCGCTCACGGCCAACATCCAGTGACGATTTCTCCGAACCGGTCCTGGGCGTCCCATCAGATCGACTCGGCCTCAAATGGGTACCTGGTGTGGTGTGTAAACATCGCCACTGGGGAGACAAAGGGTGGTCGGGCGTGGTGCTGGCCACCCACCCCCTTCACCCCCGTGTGCCGTGCCGGCCTTAATAGGTGCTCGCTAACAGCACTTGCCGTAAAAGTCTAGCAGGGCTATACGTAGGATCTTTGTCTTTGTATGAATGCTCATTGCCACGGTGTGTCATCCACAGGGGGACCCGGATGGAGGCTGCCCGTGCATTCTACGTGTTCCGCGTGCTCTGAGGCTGGACAGGTCAAAAACTGTATCGCATTTTATTTCTTGTTCGAAATCAACCGATTAAAAAAGCAAAAAATATATCGTGACCAAATATTCCTTACGACCTGAACTAAACTATGGAGTATTCTCAGATCCATATGGCAGAGAAGCCTACAACGTAGCTCATAAAGGTATCCTTCATGATTTGTTTTTTTGCCTAACAAATGTGGTGCAGTGGTTATCGCACTGTGCTCTAAATGACAAATAGAGCATAAACCATCACGCAAATCCCGGTCATCCTCGCAGGAGCGGCTTTCGGCTAACTATCGAACAAAGACGGTGACTGCATCGCGCGCTTTCAGATGCACTTTTGCGACCGTCTGGAACGCTCTTCCTTCCGATATCAGGAAGCCACTAGAGCTATGCACTTTTAAATCTAGATTGAAGACTCATTTCTTTAAGAACTGCTTTTTGTGTTGAGTTTGCTGTCCTTCCCCCAGACCTCCGGTTAGCACGGTTGGCTACGTAGCTGCTGATCACTCACCGCATGACCCCATTGCACTGAATCGGGCACGAAACGATGCATCGATGACCATCGATCGTTAAGCTCGCAATACTGCACACGCTTCAAATCATGTCCGCAGGAATCAGTTCCTTACATTGCATGCGACTTACATGCAAATTACATACAACTTGCATGGAACTTGCATGTAAGTTGTATGGCATACATTCCATTGATGGGCTGGGGTCAACAAAGTCATTTGGGACCTGGGCATTAATAAAAAAACAAATGTGGATGTAGCCTGATCCTAGCCATAAGTATGACACTAACGTTTAAAGTCCACATCATCCACGGTAATGAACAGTTTCGACTTGTAAAGCTCTGCACAGTGTCCGCTCACTCTGGAAGACAGCGCACTGCTCGGAGAAGGGGAAACCGGAGACACGTGGGGAGAAGGCAACCACGCCATGAGCCGGTGCCAACAATTGCCTGAGCTCTGGGGTCCTCTGTCTATCAAGGTGTTGTCGGCCAAATGAATAAGTGTTGATGAATGTGGGAGGAAATCGGAGCACCCGGAGAAAAATAATGGATAGCAGTTCGACTTTTAACTCCAACCTCGAAGTAGCTGCAGCCCTTACGATTAAATAATGTCACTTATTTTGTTATGCTACATCGCTCTATCGATGTAGCAGCGATACCGATCCAGCTTTCCATGTTGACCAATATTCTACAATGCTCTTTGAATGCTATACACTTGTCACGTGAACGTAATGTTGTCCCAACACATGCGATATTAAACCTTGTTAAATATATTAATCTCTGAATGAATGGGTGAATATATTCTGCACTTGTACGAACGGCTAAAATCCCTCACGCTGTAAGGTTCTGTAAGCATCATGAGAATACATTTCGACAACATAAAATGTATTCCATGTCATTTGCATGCGTTAAGTCCACTGTGTACAGGGACTCCTCTACTTACGAACGAGCTGGGTTCCAGAGGTCTGTTCGTAAGTCGATTTGTGCGTAAGTCCAACTTTACTCCTGTCGATTCTAAACGTGTTGTACGGCGTGTACACTAAACACGGGGAATGGCCTTAAACGTTGTATAATCTCCTGTAGATGTAGATGCCGCTGGTTCTTCACGTCTTGCAGATGTAGATGCCACCACCGCCATCTATTGCGTGGCGGTTGAACTTACAACTCTCGGTCCAAACAAGCAACTGGACATAGGGACCAGGTTTGTTCGTATCTCTGAAAGTTCGTAAATCAAATGTTCGTAAGTAGAGGAGTCCAATTATTCTTGGTTCTTTCGGTGAAGTCACGTAGAAGGAAAACAATAAAATAATAAAAAATATAAAACAATAAAATTCTCACGACGTTTCGACTGCAACACAAGCAATCATCATCGGGTGTGAAAACCACAACAAGAAATTTGAAAAAAAAATGGCGGTTATTTTTAACGTCGTTAAAAGTGGCGGTTAAAAATAACCGCTACTTTTTTTTCAAAATTTCTTGTTGTGGTTTTCACACCTGATGATGAGTGCTTGTGTTGCAGTCGAAACGTCGTGAGAAATTTATTGTTTTTATATTTTTATTATTTTATTGTTTCCCTTCTACGTGACTTCACCGAAAGAACCAAGAATATGAATCCCTGCAGTCACGAAAGCTTTACATCAAAATTTAGAGGAGTCCCTTTAACACTTAGGCTTTCGTGACCAATATCATCCATAATACAGTTTTTTTTTGGGTTAGATCGCGTAAATATAAATGCGTCACTAAACCCGCCACCACCCGACACAGCCAATTAGTAAGGATGGTCACGTAAACAGAACATGCCAATTCGTTACTAGTACAGCAGAATATATATACGCGATCTAACCCAAAAAAACCTGTATTTATAGAGGAGTCCCTGTATACTGTACAGTATTACATTGGGCTGCAAGTTTGCCAGAAGATGACAGTATAGCAATGTATTGCATCCAACTCCATGGAGCTCTGTTATTTCTTTGTATGTATGGGCCTTCTCTGTGGACTGAAATTAATGTTCACGTGCCTCACTCACGCACTGATTTTAGGCCAAGTTAACCTAAAATGGGCTCAGGCCAGGTTTGTATGGACATTATACCTACAGTCCTGCACAACGATGCACATACACAATTTATACTGTACTAGCTTTACTACCCGGCTTCACCCGAGACTTAGATTCTTGTCTTGGATTAATCCACGGCCTACGCGGAGGGTGGGATGCGTGACGTCAGGAAGCACACTGCGTAACGCTGCCGCATGCGGGTGACGTCACAGCTGTGACGTCACCGCTCACTTGCCGTGCAAAATATATCCATTATTGCGCCCCCCCCCCCACCCAAAATACAAAAATATATTTTTATACTTTTTGCATTGTATACAATCTGGAAGCTACCCACATGCCAAATTTCAAGTTTGTTGCATGTTGGGAAGTATGCTAAACATGTCGAACAGACACACATGGAAATGTGAACAGTTTTATTTAACAAGTACCCACTTTTAAACACACTTTCGTCTTCTTGGTTCTTTCGGTAAAGTCACGTAGAAGGGAAACAATAAAATAATATTGTTTCCCTTCTACGTGACCTTACCGAAAGAACCAAGAATATGAATCCCTGCAGTCACGAAAGCTTGAAATCAAAATGTTTACACTTTCGTCTCTCACGATTTTTTTTAAATACCACATGTACAATCCTTTACCAATCCACTGCTGGATGAGGCTCTCCCCACGCCCTTCAGGTAGAGGGTTATTCGACCATACTTCACCACACTGGTCAGTGCGAGTTGATGGCAAGGAAGCAGATGTGGGAGCATATACGTGCAGTACAACGCTGCATTTTGCTGCAATGCCCTATGCGGCCGTAGCCTCGAAGCAGCCTATAGCACCTGTAATACGTGTTAGTCACCCATGCAAGCACTATCCAGGCCAGTAATCTGCTTAGCTTCCAAAGTCTGAGAATATTGGGCACTCTGCGAGTACTGTACCTTTAAATTGTGAACTACTCAAGAAAAATTAAAACCAAACATTTTAACACGTTCCCTCATACGCAGTTGCTTCGCTTGTTAAAGGCGTGTTACTACTTTTACATGCTCAGTTTCTGAATATTGTTAAGTACAGTTATGGGTGTGTCACCTTGTCACCGATCTCCTCGCTGTCACCAAAGTGAGTTTAAAAAAAAAATGTTGTCTTTATCTACAATTCCAACCCGAGTGTTGTCACCAGTGATGTTTTGAATTGATAGAGAAACCTATCGGAAACCCTCCAACGCAAGAGAGTTCCATGGAAGTGGATATCACTGGAATACCTGTCAAGTGACAAGTTGATACTGGTAGGAACCCCCTGGTTACACCACCAGCCCACAGGGGATTATTGTGTCCGTCCGTACGTCGTGCATCCAAAAATGGGAGGTGTGGGGCTGGGTGGAGAGGGGAGGGTGGAGAGGGGCTGGGTGGGGAGGGTGGGGAGGGGCTGGGTGGGGAGGGGCTGGGTGGGGAGGGGCTGGGTGGGGAGGGTGGGGAGGGGCTGGGTGGGGAGGGGCTGGGTGGGGAGGGTGGGGCTGGATGGGGGGTGGGAGAGGTGGGGCTGGGTGAGGAGGGGAGGGGCTGCTCACCCCGTGGTGCCCTTATAAAACTCAACGTTTCACCTACTCACGCCGGCTTGTGCCCACCCTCACAGTCGTGCATATTGTGCGGAATACACCACGTGGTGCCGCCGTTGACCCTGGCCATTGACCGAGCAACCCAACGTCCCTACCAGCTCCCTCCGCAGGAACGTGTTTCGCACAGGAGGGCGCAGCACTCTCCCACATGCCAACGTTTATTACCTGACAGTCAAACCCAATATTTCAGCACACTTAATTTGAGCCAATGAAATGCGTAACCAACTGTTAATATGATGAGTGGGGGGTGGGGGGGGGGAGGTTTGCTGTAGTCATTGGTGACCGGGCTGAGATCAGCAACTCACTAAACCTGAGAGCCCCGTTTAACCAGAGGTGTGGCCATTCAGAATCCAATCCAGGATCTGAGCGTTGCGGCCGGAGCGCTCTGACCTCTGCGCCACCCGGCCACCTCACGAGTGCGCGTCGCGAGCGTTCATCAGGGCCAGCAGGAGGGAGGGCAGCGCCAGCAGCAGGCGGGCACTGTGGCCTCGGGATGCACGTGACCTGGAGGGCACCCTCTGTGGGTGCCCATATGCCGTGCGGCACTTAAGCTGGGGCCCCAGCTCATCCACCGGAATCAGATCTTCTTGCACGTTCTCCGAGTGCTTGCGGCTCACCTGCACGTGCCACGGTTAAGAGCAGAAGAATGCACACGCTCGTCGATGTTATTACTCGCCATGTTCCGCCCACTGCTGGATGATGGCCACCACACGCTGTCGCTATCGCACGCGGTCCCGCGATACTACAGTCCGTCTCGCTCATGCTTCTGCTGCATGCCGGGAGTGTTAATTGCATCAGCTCGTGCTCAGGTGCCAGGTGGATTACTGCACTGCAGCATTGTGAGAGATGGCGGAAGCTTGGGGAGGCCCTCATCCAGCAGTGGATTAATCACGGCTGACGATGATGTTTTAATTGCAGGACAGCGTTGAAGAACGCCGAGTGAGTTACCGAGACTCGAAACGGGCGTTATTGTGAATGCAAATAAAATGAATGACAATCCTAACATTTTAAAATTAATCTTCGTTAAGTTTTTTTTAATTATTGTATGGCTGCATTTTTTCTGGACCCTCTTGTTGCATCCAAAACACAAAAACATCTCAAAATTAAATTATATTAGGCAGGACCCACTCTCGCAAAGCCACATTTACATGAAACAATAAAAAAAAACTATTTAGCGCAAATCTTTCACGGAGAAAAAAAGGCTATTATCACGAGGTGACGTATTATCTGCTGAGTTTTGTTCGATAATACGGCACCTGTTTTTCAGATATTAACATATATTTGTTATCATTCTTTAATCCACAGTTTAATTTTAAAAAATGGGCTGAAATGAGAGGCCAACCGAAAGTTCACTCTTGAAAGACGTCCAACCCCATTGAACTGTTCGCACATCCTTTATCAATCTAAACAAATCACTTGGTGATGTTGCTGCGTTGGCAGCACAAATAACAAAAACACCCTCAATGCATTTGCCAATTTGGACTTCCAGGCAACATTTAATTTTGGCATCAGTGCATTTATCATCACGTAAAAAGTGCTAGTTGGAGGCTTTCGTGTGTAAGCAAATCATCACTACCTGCGCACTGTGTAGGTGTTCGTGGTTGTTGCTGTACGATGTGTTTTTCAGGTTGTACCTGCCATGTTGTTGTTCAGCAGAGTGAGCGTATCTCTCTCATCATTACCTCCTCCACTTGCTCCATCACGCGCAGGACGTTGCCCCCGAGCGCAGCCTTCAGCTCGGTTTCGTTCCAACCTCTCCGCACGAGTTCGGCCACCAATAATGGGAAGCCAGAGGGGTCCTTGAGACCATCGGGAAAGCTGGGGGGGGGGCGTGGGGTGTGGGGGGGGGCGCACAGGGAGGAAGAAACGAGGGCTGAGCGAGTCGGAGCGAAGTTCCACTTCACCGTCTATCGTGCGACAATCCCCACCGTGAACATTCTCCCTGAAAACAGAAAAAAAAGACTCCCTGGTCTGCCAAATGGGCCGTTAATAATCAATGAATGTAACCGCCCATTGTCGGTCCACTTTTAGAAGTCCTCCCCATTCCCCTTTTCGTCACGGGAGTTGTTAGGATCATAATTCACCACGCTGGTCAGAGGCGGGCTGGCGAAGTGGTTGAGCATGGATGTTGTTCCATAGTGCAGAAACAACAACGGACTTTTCTGCACTGCTCCGTATTAAAAACGTAGCCCCACGCAGCAGCTTACAATGCCCGTATCATGCGTGGTGGTTGCCCATTCCAGGTGATTTTGGTCATAAGCCTACCTGCGCATACTGCGTCTCTACATCTCTGATTACAATTCTCTGCGACGTGTCATCCGTGAGTTGTTGTACCTCAATACTCCATCAAAGTCTGACCCGAATCCCACCGCCGTGTATCCCGCGACGCTCTTGACGTGGTCGAAATGATCTGTGGTGAAACGCGACGATTACCGTTAGTTCGCACGTAAATCGTTATCATCGCAAACGACTTGTACTCTTGATTCGTAACGTCGTGTTAAGCCCCGTAAGCGTGGGAAGTGTGGGGAAAAAAACATTGTTTCACCGAATTAAAATGTACCCAATTGCCCCCGGGTTGGCAACACGTCGGGATGGAGATCTACAGGGTGGCCCAAAAGTCTGGACACGCAGGGTTAATTCATTTATTTTAATGCCGGCATTAAAATGTTTTACTTGTTATTATTTAAGTTGATACGTAATCTAATATAATTCTTGACATCTAGATTTCTTTCTTCCGTTTCAGATGACATTTTAACTAAAGAAGAACGAGTTCAATTATTTGTAATCTTTTTAACAAAGTTCTTAATTAATTTAGAAAAAACAATTTCACACGTGCATGAACTTTATGGAAATCAGTTTGAACATTTGTAAAAAAAAGAAAACCACCTTTATAAAAAATATAATAATAATAATCATCCCACGCGTCCTGACTTTTCTGCCACCCTGCATAACTACGAGGAATGTCCCGATGCAGCGATCCACAATTTGAAGCCGATTGTGAAGCTCGCGATGCACGCATTGTCTCGTGCTTTGTCGGTAAATTTTAACACATTTAAGTTGCCCACGATTGTTTTCACGTTGACGCTGCAGCGGCCATAGACGCAGCGTTCGCCACGATACCAATCGATGCCCGAATCGAAGCGTGACCCTCAAATCGCCCGTGCTGTTTAACTGCCAACAGGGCGACGCTGCTCGTCTCAAGAAGTACACTGCGCGGGCACCGATGTGCAGACAGTCCTTTAAGCAAATCCACTGCTGATTGAAAGCCATCCATCCGCGACACCGTGGTAGACGCGAGGGTTGTCTTGTTTGACCATACACTTCACGAGGTCAGGTCGCCGCGCTCATAGCATCGCCGCTCCACCACCCTTGCAGACTGAACCGCGGTGGTGAATCGCATGGCGCGCGTGCATTGACTTTGGAGCCAAGCCGGATGTGCGCCGTCGTTTCTGACCGGTTGCCGCACGACTGATGCCTTACCAGCCACGGTGGCGATGCTGGGCGCGCCTCCGCATGAAGTAAAATTGTTGTAGAAGTTAATCATGACGATGCCTCCGTTGGAGGCCTGGAAGGAGAGGTGTGAGACAGTTTAGACAGACCGCTGCAAAATTGTGTGCGAGTGACTGCACAGGTGCTCACGGACAGCGCTTGCTCAAATTGTCTCGAAAGCTAAAAGGGGGAGACTTTATTCATGTGTTGGACTTGCAAATCGACGAAATTTTACACATATACCCAATAGATATACCAGGAATGAGAATGGGTATGATTATGTTCTGACAATGACGCTTATGGTGATGGTAATGATGATGACAATGATGACATTGAGAATGGGTATGATTATGTTCTGACAATGACGATTATGGTGATGGTAATGATGATGGCAATGATGACATTGTTTATGATCATCATGACTCAGACGATCATGTAATGATGAGAGTTGTCATGACACTATTCGTGATGATGATTATGTTGTTTGTAATGATGATGGCAATACTCATTTTGCCTGCAATGGCGGTGATAATTAAGGTGACACCATTTGTGATGATAATGATGAAACATGTTTATGGTGATAATTAAGATGGCAACTTTTGGTGATAACGTTCGTGGCCATGATGGTGACAATCGCGGATGAAAATGTCGAATGCGTGACGCCTGCCTGCCGGCTGCGTTGCTCATGAACGTGCACACACCAGCGCCTCGAGCAAGTCGTCCGGCACGTTGCGCCCGTTGTCACACAGCTGCTTGGCCGCCGAGTGGCTGAAAATGACGGGGGCTTGCGAAACGCTGAGGGCAGCGTGCGCGGTGGCCAGGGACGTGTGCGACAGGTCCACCATCATGCCCAGACGATTCATCTCCCGCACCACCACCTGCAGCAGCGTGCACAGGGGCGGCAATGTGGCGCACGCTGACCGAAGACGAAGACTCCTGTGTACAGCCTTGAAAAACACATTTCTTTAGAACCGTTTGCTGTGCTCAGTTGTGTTGTCCTTCCCCCGGAACCTCCGATTAGCACGGTTAGGCTACGTACGGTGCGAAAGAAGTTCAACATACATAACAGACTGATTGGGCAAGTGCGGTTAGCGAGCACCTATGAAGACCGCCACGGCATACGACGGGGTGGGTGGCCATCACCACGCCCCATGGGGCCGATATTTACACACAGTATCCCAGGTACCCACATAAGGCTGAGTCGACCTAGGGGAGGCTCACGACCAATTCATATATTCGCCCCTGTTATTGACCGTGAGAGAGAAATCGAATTCAGGTCGCCGGGTTTGTCATGCGGTGCGCTAACCACGAGACACTTCTGCTCCCCACGACATACACTGAGTACGCAACACACATCGGAATCCAGACCTGACATTTCACTTGCGGTATACTTAGGGCTGCGAGGTGGCCAGCAGATGGCAGTGCAGCGATGGATTGCCTCAATCGTCTGAATAACGTAACGTGTTTCTCCCACGCGTGCGTAGCTTTTATCAAGGCACCCTGGTTTACAGGCATTCCTCCCACATGCCAAACGCTCATTGAATAACAATAAAAAACGGTGGCCAAACATCCTCAAGCAGGACGCTTTTTTTTTTAAAGAGTTGATCTTTTATTCAGTGTTACAGGGGTTATGGTTGTCAGACCTACCTCTCCAAAAGTTGACAAGCCATGGCTCCTTGGCTGCACCTTTCCAACGTCCACAAGCCACGTGTCAGCCCTGTAATTAACATCTGGGTTAGTAGGTGTGCTCAAAGACAAAGATCTCCCGTGTATGCCCTGAACAGACTGCTGGGGCAAGTGCTGTCAACCAGCACCTATGAAAGGCCGGCGCGGCGCACGAGGGGACGGGTGGCCAACACCACGCCCCGCCGCCTTTGTCTCCCCAGTGGCGATGTTTACTATACACCGCACCAGGTACTCATTTAAAGCTGAGTCGACCTAGGGGAGGCCCGTGACCGGTTCAGATCATCGTCACCGGCCGTGCGCGGGAATCGAACTGGGGTCGCCGGCTTCGTAGCGGAGTGTAGCGCTGACCGCTGCACCACCGCTCCCCCGGTGTGGCAAGTGCGCACACGCACGCGTGGAAACACGCGCAGTTCCTCCATTGCTGATCTGTCATCACGCACACTGCGTTGCTTAACCATTTGCGACAATACAACCGTTGATGAATTTTTCAAGAACAACGAGCGGGCAGACAGTCAGGTAGACAAGCAAGGCTTTCGCGAAGCAATATCATCCGTAATAGAAGGTTTGTTGGGGGGTTAGATCACGTAAATATAAAAAAATGTGTCGTTAAACCCGCCACCACCCGACTGGCTGTCACCTGATGAAGCTCGTAATTACTGGCGAAACGTCGTGCTACGATTGTAAATGTTGTGGCTTGGCTCTCCAACACACAACCGGTGTGCTGTACTAGTGACGAATTGGCCACGTTCTGTTTACGTGACAACCCTTACTAGTTGGCTGTGTCGGGCGGTGGCGGGTTTTAACGACGCATTTACATATTTACGCAATCCAACCCAACCCACCCCCACCACCTCTATTAAGCAAAGTATTATTTGCCCAAAGCCGGACGCGAGCACATTGAGAAAGCACGCGTATTTGCGCAAGGAGGATCCGGCACGGCGCACGGCGGAGTCGCGACCCACCAGGGAGTGTTGCAGTCGTGAGTGAGCGACATGTAGCGCGTGCCGAGGCGGTGTAGCGTGCGCAGGGCGCCCAGGCTGCTGTCGATGGAGTGGCCGCCCTCGACGCCGATGAGGCTAGCCACTTTGCCGTCTCGCCACGCCGCGCGGATGTCTGAGCAGACGCACAAACGTCGAGCGGGGCCCCCCACTACCACCACCACCACCACAGATGCCCCCCCCCCCACCCACCGACACGCTCCCCCCCCCCCCCGCCCGCTGCGCGCGAGTTGGCATGCGAACACAAGTCTTTTATTCTTTTAAAGATCGTTCAATAAAATCGCAACAAAAGGCGGTGTTCACTTGGCGTCAGATTACACCGCGCGAATAATGTAAAAATTCGACGGAGAAAATGTTTCTGAAATTGTCCTCAAAGGTTTACCCGAACGCCTTTGCTGACTCGCAGAACTTTTAGTTGTTTATCAGAAGGGTTCTGTGTTGCACCGTTTTAGGTCAAATCCACATTTTAAAAGAGCGTTGGGCTCGTGCGAAGATACTGGCGCGGTGTTTCGGGAGAACGTCACACATCGTCACATTTGTGACGACGTGTGACGAGGGGGGTGTGTGTTTGAGAAATGTGACGTCACATCAAAATGCGCAACTTTAAATAAATATAGACAACACGTTCTACTTAATTAAAAAGACTTTTTAATAAATGTTTTCTCCTACAACATCAGAGTGCAGCGCCACATTAAATACGCACTACAATGACAAGAGTTTAAAGCGATTTGAAGCATGTTTTATTTTTGTGGGGGGGGGGGGGGGGGGGCAGAGCTTTGTGACGTCATATTTGAGGGGGGAAGGGGGTCTGACTTTTTGTGACGCCGTGTGACGAAGGGGGGGTGGGGGTCAAAAATCGTCCAAAATCGCTGTGACGTCATTTATGGACGGCCCCTTAAAACAACCCAGGTTGTGCCTCTGCCGCAGGTCGAGGGACCACGCGTGGCCGTAGCTCACCTTGCGCGGACAAGGCCAAGCGCAGGATCGCCGAGTTCTCCACCACGCGATGGATGAGGTCGATCTGCTCCAGGGTGAGCCTCACGGCATCCAAGCTCTGCGTGCTGCACATGGTGTATGCCGACCAGAACTGCGGCGGGTATGGACGGCCGCTCGGAATTAAAACAATAAGTAATCTTTTAAAAAGACACGCTTTAATGGAATGTACCGTACTAGTAATGGCAGAACTCCACGACTTCCAGGAAGTGGCCCCGAAGCTTGCCACAACGTAAGGGGGCCGTGGCCAATTACAGCCAACGTCAGTTGAGCGTGGACAATTAGAGCCAAGCCGAAACATAACATATAAAAAAATAATGTTTAAAAAGATATATATTTTTATTTTTAATGATACAATATAGTATTATCATCAGTATGACATAAGTATACCAAGTTTGCAGTCGATACCACGTTGAGAAGTGGCTTAAAATTGAGTTACAAGATTTGAGGATACAACAACAACAACAGACAGAGTGAGTTAAATGAAAGCGTGTAATAATAAAAATAAAAAGGCAGCTCGCTCATATTGGGGCCACCGGTTGGCAGAGCGCCGAGCGCGGTGGCACAGGCACGCGATTTGGCACTCGGGAGGCAGGGGGTCAACATTTCGAAGTGACATTTTTTATCGCTCGGCGGACGCCGCTGCTGGCGGATAGGCCTCCGCCGGAAGGAGCTCCAGAGAACCCTTCAAGGCAGTATTTGGCCTACTCTTCCACACTGGCCGGGTGTCTTGGAAGAGGTGTGGGAGTATCCACACTTCACCACATGCAACCTGCTGATCGACTTACGCTGGTGTACACATTTATGCTGCTGGGAAGGCAGAGGTGGGTTGGTGGGGGGGCGGTGGTTAAGAGACTTGCAGCATTGTTTCAACTGCCACGCCAGGAGATCGAACGGAACTCGCGACCTCTGTAGGACCTAACAAAAATCCTTACAAATCAATTGGCCATGATGGAAGGTCATTTTACGTACAGGGGACTTAGTTTTAAGTAAGGCGCCTTTAAAAATGTAACATTCGATGCTCGTCGTACAGATTTGCAAAGCAACGAATGCAATTTCACAGCTGGTCAAGCCAGCAGATCACCGCGTCAGGGGAAGCGGAGTGTATCGCCGTGATGTCTCCTTCGTATTAGTGGCTCAAACATTGCGCCGTTTAGATGTTGCACGGTCTTGTTCCAGATGACCGCAGTCGCACACTGGAGAGGCTTTTGTTCAATTCGATTGACATCGAGGCTGCCGCCGCGTGAGGTCAACGTCGACGTGGGTGAGATCTTCCCACGGCGTGAGATCGCTGCCATGCCAAGTCGACTCTGGTTGCTAGGTGTCCTGCAGAGGGAGAGGTGGGTTGGCAGTGGCGCACGCACGCACCTGGGCTGAGACATTTCCGCGCCGAAGTCGCTCCAGGTTGGTCTGCGTCGAGTTGATGGAGGTCAGGTTGACACCGCGAATGCCACCTGGGTGCAGCCGGCGCAGCTGCAGTGGCCAGTCGTTGTGCCTGTGTGTGTGTGTGGGGAGCGGTAGGGTAGTGCTTAGCGCGCTGCTGCGCTACAATCCGGCGACCCGAGCTCGATTCTCGCTGACGACAACCAATACCACCGGTGACGATTATCTCAACCGGTCCCGGGCCTCTCCTAGGTCGACTCAGCCTCAAATGAGTACCTGGTGCGGTGTGTGAAACATCGCCACTAGGGAGAAAAAGGCGGCCGGGCGTTGATGTTGGCCGGCCACCCCCTCGTGTACCGTGCCAGCCTTCATAGGTGCTCGCTAACAGCACTTGCCCCAACAGTCTGTTAAGGTTATGTGGGGGCTCTGTGTGTGTGTGGGTGTGTGTAGGGAGCGGTGATGCAACCCGGTTACCCGAGTTCGATTCATTACCAGCCACGTTTAGCGTCTGTGGCGAGTGATACACGAATCGTAGCTGTTTGACAATTGAATCATTTGGCGGGACCCCGGGGTCCCGCAAAAATCAGGTCAATAATAATTATTATTATTTTTCAGTCCGCCCACTCGTGATCCCGACAGCAACGCGCCGCCCTCCCAGACTCGTGCCAACAAGCGCCAGCAGCAGCAGGCGGCGGCGATCGACACGATGGGCGCCACCCCACCGGCCAAACGCGAGCCCCGGGGGGCGTCCGACGCCCTCCGGTCAGTCGTCGATCCTCAACTTCTTTGCCAAGGCGAGCCCGCCGCACCCCCAGGCAGTGAATTTAACGTGTTTGTGTAATTTTTCAACTTTTTACGAAACTTAGTGCCCCGAGTAGCTGTCGACGAGGCCAATCGATTGACCACTAGTTTTGTTGTTGTTGGTAAGGCAAGACTCGTGTCGCTACGCGGGTTTTCCCACCCCGGGGCAGTGATGGGACTCCGGGATCCCGCCAATTGCTTCAATTGCATATTGTGTTTGGTCCTCCGAGGCTCAAGCATTTCCAACGAAACTTCACGATGCCCTGATAAATGATTTACAAATACTGCATTGCAGGTTGCAATATGTAGGAAGTTAAGGCAAAAGTGCAAGTTTCTTAAATCCCCTCGCCTGAGTCCACGCAGCAGTATAAGTGGTCACAACTCAGCAGTACACACCGCAGGAGGTCGGCAGAACGCGTGCGATGGGCTAAAGTGTGGGTCCTTCCAAACCTCTTCCCCAACGACGTCTGGCCAGCGTAGAAGAGTAGGCCAAAACATCCCTCGAGAGGTGCTCAACAAGAGCTCCCCTTTAGTGGTGACCCTTTCGCCTGAAATTGGGGTGAGGAAACAGCTGCAGGCCCTTAGACCCCACGCTATCGTTTCATTGTCATCGTTTCATCAACTCTCAAAAAGAATCACATACAAGGTTCTCTTGTCCCCCTCTTAATTTCGCAAATTTCATCCTAGTTTGCCATCGATAATTGCCTTAGGTGTAAGACAGCTAGCCAGCAATTGCAGGGCTGCACCTTGCGCCTTTTTTTTCTTCTAACAAACGATCAGAGAGAGAGAGCAGAGCAATGAATTCCAAAGATGTTAGCGTTGCAGGGTTAAAACTAATGGAAGGTGCAAAGAAGGGGTAGAGAAGCGCTCACCCATCTATGAGAGGAGCTTCGCTTAGTATTCTCAGCGCTGTCGCCATCGCGTCGGTGACTCTGGTAGTTGGCGTTGAGTCGGCCCAGTTGACGAGCAAGGTGAGCAGCAAGGCGAGAAGCTTGAGAAGCCGTGCCATGCGTTCACCCACAGGGGTCGCGAGCGAGAGCAGCCGCGTCTGCACTGGGATAGCATGGATCAAGCATGACTATAATGTTTTGAATACGTGCCTATGTGTTCGAGCATGGATCAAGCATGGATCAAGCATGGCTATGATATGTTAAATACATGGGCCTATGTGTTCGAGCATGGATCAAGCATGGATCAAGCATGGCTATGATATTTTGAATAAATGTGCCTATGTGTTCGAGCATGGATCAAGCATGGATCAAGCATGGCTATGATATGTTAAATACATTTACCTATGTGTTTGAGCATGGATCAAGCATAGATCAAGCTGTGATATTTTGAATACAACATTTTTAATCGTTAAAGTGACTCCTGTCACATGATTTCTAGATTAAAACCGACGATTTGTGGATCGCACATGATTTCTGGATGTAAGGAGACGATTTGTGGATCGAAAAAGCCCATATCAGGCCGCTTCTTGACGCTGATTGGCTTCCTTCTAGATTAACACAATTTACCATTCATTCCGTCGCGGATTCATTATATCCTGTTACAGCGCGAATTTGTTTCCTGGGGAAACTCCCCCAGCGCGTGCAGCGAAGCGCTGGCCATCGTGTCGAACAACGCGCGGATATGTCGGAAATGGTAAATTAAAAAATGGTTGAGGCTAAGTTTTTAATTGTGTCAACTGTTGAGGCAAAGATGAGGAGTTGTAAAAAGCACTGAGAATGAAATCACGAGACAATACCAGGCAAATAACGAGACAATGCCAGGCAGTCATTCATGACGGAGGAGACGAGGCAAAGCTTGAGAAAGATCTGGAACTGAGGGGGAGAGTCAATGGGGTCCGAGTGGGCGAGAGATTTCCCAGATACCGGTGAATCGTCGCGCCAAGGGTGTGCGAGCCAGAAACTCACTCCACACGTGCATTGCACGCCAACCCTCACCTCGGCCGACACATGGCAAAACCAATGATTGTGGCTCATAATTATCATGATATGGGTGATACCGTGTAAGAATGAAATCATAATTTTCGTTTTTTTTAACCCTCCACCACCCGACAGAGACAATGCAACCAAGTTGTTACGTGGGCAACAGCGCAGGTCTCGCATGAGAACTGCGCTTTGTTAACGCCTGATGATGCCGGTTGTAATCTCCAGCGCAGCGTCGCTGGGGATTACAACCGGCATTGCTTTTCAACATCCCAGTTTTGCTGAAAAAAACCAAAACTAATTGGGGGACACATTTTGATCGTCTCGCTCGGTTGGTTGAGGGTTCTAAATAAACATTGGCAATGCACCGACACAATCTAAGAACTCCACCCTAAAGAAACGAATAATTAATTGGAATAAACCTGTTTAACGAAACCCACTTAACTCTCTCGTGGTCGCTTCACACAATTGTACAATTTCAACGGAGGTGACTGTTTTGGAATTGGAGCTGTCCACTTGCGTTGTGCCGCCAGTGCGTCTTGCTGTCATCCAGTCCGCGCGACTGTTACACGCGTTCTATTATAACTCACTCTGTTGTTGTTGTTGTTGTCATATCCTCAAATCTTGTAACTCAATTTTAACCCACTTCCCAATGTGGTATCGACTGCAAACTTGGTATACGTATGTCATACTGATGACAATACTATATTCTATCATTAAAAATAAAATATATATTTTGAAACATTATTTTTTTCTGTTATGTTTCTGCTTGGGTCTAACAGTCCACGCTCAACTGACGTTGGCTGTAAATCACCACGGTTCCTTACGTTGTGGCAAGTTTCGGGGCCACTTCCTGGAGTCGTGGAGTTCTTCCATTACTAGCACGATACATTTCATTGAAGCGTGTTTAAAAAAAAGTATTTTTAAACATTACTTATTTTAATATAAATTCACTCACCTGAACGTGGAAGTTGATTGAACGTTCTTGTAGATACCGCCGGTTAATATTAACAGCTCCCCCACTCCTTTTGACGTTAACGCCGAGCACGGATGGACCTTTGCTCTTTTATATATAAAAAAAATTGAGATGCACTGAGTGACTTATGGCTGGCGTTGCTGCGTCGGCGTTACATCGGCCACAGAAAACAAAAATGCGAGCGCGCAATGAAGCAACGCGCTTGGTGAAGTGAAGTCTTCCACCCGGCCGTGCCGCCTCTTATAACGCCACCTCCGTGGGGGGGGTGGTAATGTTGCGACATACGCGTGGTCTATCGCGAACTGTGTACACTTCCCCCTCAACGATTCCTTGAAGTTCCTCGTCCAAAGAAATCGCATGCGTGCAGGAACTGGAAAGATAGGGTCGAGAAGTGCCCGCTCTCGGTGTTTCATGTCACCCAAATGTTTGTTTTTGTTTAAATCCCATCGCCTAGTTGAAGAAATTGCCACGGTACTATACTCACGTAGGCCGTGGAAGGCTCGTCACACGAAACGTTACGTGTTAAGTCAGCCACCGTTCAGTTTGGTCTTCCTGTACCCGCTCTCGTGGCTTTCCGTATGCGCAGAGTCATTCCAGAGCAATCCATGAACGTATTCTTTCACGAGTGACAAGTAACTTGATGAGATGCTGCCGCGTGCCCGTGTGGATGAACGCGGAGGGAATTATCACGGGGCAGCGATGAGGGGAACATGGATTGTAGGTTGAGTGTTTAGGTGTAACGCGGCTATGATTCAGTGTTTTTTTTAATACATTACAGTGTAATAAAGTAATTACCTGTGCAGTATTGTGTGAGACAGCCCAGCATGACCCCGCAATTAATTTGTTTAATTACTGTATTTCCATTTGTTTGTAGGATGCAACTTCAGTTTTAGAATAACTGACATCAAAAAGCAGCAGTCTCTATGGAAATGTTTGAATAGCAACGGTTGAGTCGGAGTTTCACGTTTTTTCCAACCACAATTTGACAAAATTTGACTCTCCAAGTGCCATACAAAAATATATATAATGTAGACGACTATGGGCATTTATGTCATTATACAGGAACATACACGGTACGAATTGGCGAACACGAGTCAAAGGTGTAATTGAATCGCAGAAGTACATTTTCAGCGATGAATCACAACGCTGACGCTTATATGCCAGGCTATTTATCCCTGTGTAGGCGAGTTAAAAATAAAGTTTGCGTCACCCGCTGTTAAGTGGCGCACGTGGAGGTGTAATGAGCACATAGGCGAGCCATTTAGTGATAGCTGTATTCACGACTTGTGTCGTAGTCCAGACAGGAATAATGCTTTTGTCGTCTCGACGGACGAAACTTGACATAAAAAAGCAACGACTCAACAACACACGGTGGATTCTTTCAACAGATTCGCATTGGGAAATGTGTAGGTTGTTAAGACATGCCAGCATATGCAGATGTGTGGATTATGGCAAAGTCGAAAATATTTTATTTGACTTTTCAAGTAATATTTTTATAAATACGCACAGAGATCTTCAGTTCATATATCCTTGGGGAAAAACTATTCAGAAGGAAGTGGAGTATTAATACTGATACCATATATGAGGGTGGTGTGGCTAGAACCATGCAAGCCTAGCCACCTTTGTCTCCCCAGTGCTGATGTTGTCACACTGCACTACGTATATAATTTACACCAAAGTTGACCGAAAGGATAGCCCAACATGGTTTAGGATACAAATTGCCATGACATAATAATAATAATAAACAGCCATTTGTCAATCTACTACTGGCTGAAGGCCATGCCATGTCAGTCATAGAAATTGATTTACCACACTTAACCGGGCTTGTCAGTGTGGTTTGGTGATCAGGACAGGTTCAGATATCACTTGCCACTCATGTTGACCATGATCAGGAATTGAACTCGGATGACTGGTTTCAAAGCACAACGTGCTAACCACTGTACAAGCACTCTCCCCTCTAATATATACACATACCCATACAAACTTTGCAATATATAATTGATGTAAATGTGTATATAGTACTGTACCTATTCAATGAAGGCATAAGTGTAACCATAATTATTGACTGACATTCAAATTATTCCTTTAATACACTTCATTGAGCTGAATAAAGTTCACTAACTTCATATGAGACCCTTCACACTGTATTCTAGGTTTACTCACTGTGAATTCTACCTTCATTCAATTTCTTCCGATTCATATTTGTAGATCCCAACACAAAACAGACTCGTTCTGAATGTTTACTTAAAATATTTACGACCAAATACCATTATATTTAATATATTATCTTACAGCAATCATGACGTCGACACGTCTTGCCAATTCTGCCTTGCGCACCTCTTAATTTGGTTGGGCTGTGTTGTTCAGAGCAACCAAGATACAAACACTGTGCAACAAGTTGATCTCACCCCTGAAATCAATGTTCACACATTTCTCTCTACAGCAGCCTCCGTTTGGTCTGCCGTGGGCCATATCGTGACCCACAGGGGTGCTTTTCGTAGTATCTATCGCCTGACTCCCATCGTCCCACCGCTGCTACGTGTGGATCAGCCGTTCCCTCAATTGGTGTTGTTTTGCAATGTTTACTGTGGCCTCCCACACAACCACAGACGCTAATTGCACACAGGTAGGCTGCATGGGTCCTGCACGGAGTACGGAGGAGGAAGCTTTGGCGTGGCTGGTGTTGTCGGAGAGACGTGCGCTGTGGAGAACGGCAGCGTGGGCAGTTCCAGCTGGTCGCTGATGGTGAAGATGCTCATGCGCTGAAGGCTGCTCCTTTGGGAGATGTCTTCGATTGAGATGTGCCTTCCCTGCTCTCTTCTCCATGTCACCTCTCTCCCCCAACCCATTTCTCTCTGGGCTCTCTGCATGCCTGATTCCACTTGGTACCTATGAACAATCGAGGACGGTCACAAGCAAGCATTAGAGCCAGATGTTATTAAAGTTGAAGTTTGCTGAGTGATCCATTGTATGAGTGTTTTTTATTTCTCCACATTGCTGGCTGCTACTGCAATGAATACGAGTTTGTTGGTGGTTGTTCTTTGTATTTAGTCATTAATTGAAGAAGTAAGAACAACTTGGCATTAGGTATCTAAAACACATTTCGGACTTCAAATTACACGTGGAGTTCTTATTGACGCATCACAACACTATTCAATGAGTACCATTCAACCATTTAAATTACAACACTTTTTAAAGTGGGCCGATAATCGTGTGCATTGAATACAAATCTGTGATCATGAAAAACTGCTTTTTAAGCTTTTAAATTCTATACTTGCTGGTTGCAGAGGAGGTAGTGGCCACAGTGGAGATATTTTTTTACGAGCATAGCTCAGTTTATACACAAGTGAGGATCCACTTTATTAAAATAATAGCGACATTCCTCCAATGTGCGTCGATCAATCACACATGGGACTGCGTGGGTGACTGTTGTGTCTGCTTTGTGCGCATAAGCCGGGTTGAAATGTTCACTCGGTGTGTACCTGTTTTATTTGCTGAAGCTAACTTAGTGCAGTACATTGCACAATGATTAATTCTATTAAGTCATAATTACAGTGAGCTTCAAACAACAAAACAACGTGTGCATTGTGCAAAACAAATAAGCGAATTCCTGAATAATTACATTGTGGTTCTCACAACGACAACTAATTATGCTATTTGTATGATGGGATCGCAACATTTGGGAAAATAAATACCGCATAGTAAACAATGACAGACCTTGTTTAAACTTGCATGCTATTTATGTGAAAATTACGCAATGCAAAAGAAAAATAAGGGAAATATCAATTTCCTTCTTTGACATGTGTGGCCGTCAAAGATTACCAAAATGACGAAGGGAAAACTGGTACGTGAATGAACCAACATATTTACCCCACGATCCAAATTGAAATGCCATTTCGTCTTATTCCCCCTATGAGTCACGGGGGGTGGGGGGGGGGGGAAGACGGCTCTCGTGTTGTCACTCACGGTGGTGGCGGAGGGTTGAGCAGTGGAGACGGAGGAATCGGTTCGCAGTGAATCGACGCGAAGTCAGGAGAGGATCGTCCAAACCCTGAGTTGTTATTAATACGGACAGAGAACGAGGTTAGGGGCCGACCATAAATGACGTCACGCACCTAGGGGGCGGCGGGTCAGACATTTGTGACGATGTGTGACGAGGGAGGAGGGGTGTGTGTTTGAGAAATGTGACGTCACATCAAAATGCGCAACTTTAAATAAATATAAACAACACGTTCTACTTAATTAAATAGACTTTTAAAATAAATGTTTTCTCCTACAACATCAGAGTGCAGCGCCACATTAAATACGCACTACAATGACAATAGTTTAAAGCGATTTGAAGCATGTTTTATATTTTTTGGAGGGGGAGGGGGGGCAGAGCTTTGTGACGTCATATTTGAGGGGGACTTTTTGTGACGCCGTGTGACGAGGGGGGGAGGTCAAAGATCGTCAAAAATCGCGTGACGTCATTTATGGATGGCCCCTTAGATGCGGTTTAAAGTTACATTCGAAGTGAATCCCAAATGGGGTTTAAAGCGTGATCTCCACGATTATGTGCGGTTTTCATTGTTTAAATATACACATACAGTCCCCCCTGCTGTGGAAGAACACGACTTACGGAAATCCGACCTTACGGAAATGCTTCCGTAAATCGCGTAAAAAACTCAACACCCGGAAATGTTTGCGTTAGTTACGCGAGCGCAAATAGTACAGCGAGGTGAGGTTGCGGATGAATAACCGTGGAGCGAGGCGTAAGGTGTGGCACTAGGGTTAAGGTGAATGGAATTTATCGTTGAGTTTAGGGGGAAATTGTTCAGTTTCCGACATACGGAAAATTCGAGTTACGGATCGTTCTCGGGAACATAACCCTTCTGTAACCCGGGGACTGTATTACAGTGTGATGGTTGTCATTGTTACAGTTTAGTTGTCTGTATTATAGTGTGATGATTGTCATTGTTACAGTTTAGCTGTTATTTTAAGCCACATGCAGATTTACCAAACGTAGCATACAGTGCAACAATTTGGCCTTGTTTTTATGTTCACAAATTTGACGTACAGATTGACGCAAAGTTCTTGCAAAACATGTCTTATTGACACACAACACAGGTGTATACGTTACTCATGGGCAATATGTCACTTATTTTACCATGAATTTTGCTTATGGAAAGTGGTGATCGAATAGGACTACAGACAGACCTTTTCCACTCATGATAGAATTGATGCTGATGATACAGATACTGCTGGTAATGATGATGAAGATGGTACTTTAGACGATCACGAATATGTTGATACAACGAGTATTTATAAGCAAACGCATCTCAAGATGCTGTACAAAGAAGGCACGTACATGTTGTTGGGGCTATCGCTGTAAATGACAATTGAATAGTTTCACTCCGAACTCCTTGCAAAAGACATGAGCCATTTTGTTTGAGAGACGATGCGAGTTCAACCCCAATTAAGCATGGCGAGCTGAACGGCGTTCAAAAGAACTCACAATAAAGCCCCTTGTGAAAGACCCAATGCAGAAGATCCCTGGTTTTGATCTTTCATGAAGCTCATGATCCACCCTAAAATCGCATCCGTAGAAATGATGGCAGATGAAGATAACTGATGCACAAATGTAAAATAAAAATAAAACTCTCCAATTTGCAACTGTGGTCATCCAGAACAGGCCGTGCAAACATATAACGATGCAATGCCCGATCCACAAATACAAAGGAGACATCACGGCGATACACTCTGCTGCTCCTGACGCGGTTAAATGGCTTGACCACCTCATTGTGAAATTGTAGTTGTCGCTGCTGCACCTACAACAGCCGTATTAAAGAAGAAGAAGTGAGTGGCTTACGCACCATGTGGCCCCTGATGGGGCATGCCCTCCACCTGCTGCTGCAGGAGCCTCTGGTCCTTGCCCACACCTCCCGCAATCTTGATGGCGCACGACAGGGCGAGCAGCAGCAACAGCACCAGCGTCACCACGGCGATGGCGATGGGCCCGCTCTGCCCACTGCCCTTGCTCGTCTGCCCCTCGTCCCCGGTAATCGGCCCGCGTGGGGTCCAGCTCGGAACTGTGGCCGTGTCGGCCGCGTCTGCGTGTGCACAGGTCGGCAAGATCAAATCAGAATCTGTATTTATGATTCTGAAATCCGATGAGCTGCGAAGCTTTTTTTCACAGATGTCCAATAGGGGCGGGTCAGAAAGTTACAACAGCAGACAATACAAGAAATTGTGGAGACATGGACGCAAGTGGCTTCAACGGCCATGGGTTCAGGGCTTTAGAAGTAAATTTTTGGAGTTACCCAGGTAAATTTCACTGTTTTCAATTATATAGATCTGCTATTCGTATCAGTATTACTTTTTTTGTTTTACATGAAATGAATAAATCGTGCGTGATTAACACGCATAAGTTCAGTATGTTAAGCACTGGGCCACTACTCAACCATTTAAATAATATATACACACCATACATAAAAAAGAAAATGTCTTACCTGCTTTAGGGAAAGGCAGTTCATTTGATAGAGATGGGAAGCATAGCAGAGCTGCAGCAACACAATGCATAGTTTGATAGTTAGTAGTTGAACAGCAAACAATTTAACGTTGAGTAAACACGAACACACTTTAAAAATTGAACTTCATGGCACCTGTTATGAAAGGTAATTCAGTCAGAGCTAACATACGGTGAAAAATGTGTAATACTACATACCGTACAAAGTGTCGAAAATGAATAATAGACGGAAAGTTGCCATGCTCTTGGCAATTTCTAATTTCAGCGGTCAGATTTTACCATAAACCTGCATCCAGAATATGACGAGCAAGCGTCAGTGTCCTTACATAATACTCTGCATGCCCATCTATCTATACACAATTATTAGACACGCAAAACAAAAACAAAGACAGCTCTGGTGAGGAACGAGATTACTGCAGCAGTAAGACACCTGCCTATGACGATTTCAACTAAGATATGTTCACATGATTCCTTAGTTGCTGTGAGATGCGAGATTCAGTGTCACCGCCCATTATATATAACCTATTAGACCACGTGTCAAACTTGATACGCGAGCAAGATTAATTATTTCTGGAAATAGGCAGCCAAACGCGTAAACAGGTCCACATCCCCAACTCTCAATCCAGGAATTTATTTTTTATGCAAGCATTTCTGTTAACTTGTTATGACGTGAACATGCCTGTGCCTTAATCTGGTCCGTATACACTTCTTATCAGGAACTCAGCCTATCATCATTCTTGGGAGTGGGTAAAATGAGTACTGTATATCCTTGCAAGAATGTCCGCGCAGGAACATTCCAAACTCGTCTTCCCATTTCCACTGCAGTCATCTTCAATGAATGACAATTAGATTTGTATCTAAATATTTGAAAAAGCAAAGGGTCACGTCATATACATGCAGATGACTGTGATTGAATGACTGATGTATATTATAATGATATTATACAATTAATGGGTGATTTGCATAAAACTAGAAAATCTTCAAAGCAAGTTTTTAAAATGTTGACTCCAAAAATTACAACCCAATGTTTTACTGGTTCTACCCATGGGCACAGTCCGCTTAAAAGCCTACTTTGCTCTGAGATGTATGTTTAACACTTCATAAAACATACTCCCCATCTTATTGGTTCTTTCGGTAAAGTCGCGAAGAAGGGAAACAATAAAATAATAAAAATATAAAACAATAAAATTCTCACGACGTTTCGACTGCAACACAAGCAATCATCATCAGGTGTGAAAACCACAGCAAGAAAATTTGAAAAAAGTGGCGTTTTTTAACGTTAAAAATAACCGCCACGTTAGCACCACCGTGGTGCTAACGTTAAAAATAACCGCCACTTTTTTCAAATTTTCTTGCTGTGGTTTTCATACCTGATGATGATTGCTTGTGTTGCAGTCGAAACGTCGTGAGAATTTTATTGTTTTATATTTGTATTATTTTATTGTTTCCCTTCTACGTAACTTTACCGAAAGAACCAAGAATATGAATCCCTGCAGTCACGAAAGCTTTAAATAAAAATACTTCCCATCATCAGTAAACCAATTCACCTCCTGTGGAGTGCGATGGTAAAAGCTGATAGCAAACAGAATGCGCTTCCGCGTTACTTATAGAGTATACAATATCGATCCCCTTTCCACATTTCAGAATCTGTATTTAGACGGGAGGAATCAGATGAGCTATGAAGTTCTTTTTCCACAGATGGACCAGTATGTCTATGAAGCACTGAGCCAAATAGCCGCTGGGATAATGATTTAAGCCACCTGACGCCCTACTCTGTAACAAATAACAGTGCACGCAGGGGGTGTGTCGTTCTAAAGTACAAAGTCTCAAGTTTTGTTTTAATCTTGGCTTTTCCAACGCCCCCCCCCCCCCCCCATCAAAGTGGCTTTCCACGCAATGGAGTCTCGCAAGGTCACACACCGTAAACGAGTCACGTATATTCCACATTCCTGTGACGGTGGAAAGTCTTCCCCTAGTGGCACTCGTTATTATAATGCCAGGATGGATGAGGGCTGAAGGGACCCCAAACGGCATGTGAATCTGGAACATTAATCTTGCGTGACGGTGCTTCTACAAATTGCGCCGCCCAGCCAGAATACAAGGTTCATCCTTACCAAAGTGTAACATTGAACAGCGTAAAGTGACTTAAAACTAAACATGACAAATTGTAACTTCGAATGTGTCTCAGCTGCTGCCCACATTGAAACAGACCAGAAGCTCATGTTTCTATACACTGTATGTATGTAAAATTGCTCAGTCACAGAAATAGAAATAACAATACAGGCATATGTACATATCACAAAGGGTTATGACATTGGTTTTTTGTTGTGCCTGTTAACACCACAAGTGATGTTGGTGTCAAGATTTGTGATCTCTGTGATATTCCATCCTTGTTACCTGACACTACGATTATCTCCATCCCCAAACTGATCTGCCATTCGTGCGCCGATTAATATTTTCCATTATCCACACTTATCTACGGAGAAGATAAATAATTTTGAAGCGGTGGAACATTCTTACTATTAGCATTTAAAGAGTATCTGTGGATGACAGAACAGTAGATGCTTATCCACAGATAAGACTCGCCACCCAAAAGTAGTGAAACATTCCTCCAATTAAACTATTTTTTTTGTATTTTACCAGGTAAAGCCCACTGAGCTATTTTATAAATGTTGAGGGGAAAACCCGGAGAATAAGCCACGCGACCACGGGGAGAGTGACAGAGAAACACGCGAACTCCAAATATACAACAGGCGTCAGGGTCGGGATCTAATAGCTGTCAACCCATGCGGTTTACCGATATTCTTGTACAGGGACATTGAGTTTTCAGTTCCATACGGGCAAAGAAAATGTGTTTTGTGTTTCTCCCTTGTGATGGGATTGTGTAGAATGAACGTTGCGATTTACAAGTGCACGGGGTGACCAATAAGGTCTGAACTGGTATATAATAAGGTAGGGCACTGATAAGGGGTTGGCAGATACGGGGGATGGCACCGCGCGACCTCCTGCACACGGGGCGAGGGAGTTAACATCTCGCTCGGGTGCCGTCAACATTCACACGTTTCCACGGGTCGATTACGGACTTCTCATTATCGTCGGTCGAGTTCACAGCCGTCATTTAATTAAGGTAATCGATTGGAGTATTCATCGGAAAGGTATGTTTTTTGGAGTTAAAAAGCTAATAAATTTTGCCGAAGTTTCCCGGGTGTTTTCTTTTTTGGCGGGCCCCGTGCGTGGCGCGATGCGGAGTTGTCAAGATTAACTTGGACCGCTGACGTTGATATGATAAAATAAGCGTGATGCAAAAGTATGTTAAGGAATCTATAACGTCCATTGAACGACGTGGGTCGCTTAAAAGCCAACAACGGGAGTTGTAATACTATTTATAAATAGTTTAATGTTTATTGGTATTTACCTCAGCGGCAATTGAGGCCTGTGTTGATGTTACCCGCGCGGTCGCTCCGCTTTAAACGTGGTCACACTTTTCTTGCGGAAATAAACCAAAAAATATTATTGAATAATTAATATAGACGATCATACCCTGTTCATCTTAAAATTGTACTTAAATGTAACATAATTACTGTACAGTAGGTTCCTTCGCGGCTACAGTATTGCTGAGACTTTGGATTCTTATACGATCTGCAAAATGTATATATATCCCTCCGTAATTTAATATTAATAGTCTACATTTCATCCGAAGTGAATTTAGTGTTAGCAAATGAACTACAATGTTGTAAAAAAAAATGTTGGATGTAACAGTAGCCTATGACGTACTGTACCAAACGTGCACTATCGTACGCATTTGTTTTTGTTGTGTAATGTTACCACAGTACAGTAATGTTATTAAAGTCAGTCACTTTAAAAAATACATTTAAAAGTATCCCCCTTTACGATCAATTTCGTCGGGTGATCGTCACGTCCAACAGTGTTATGAGTGGACACTCCACAAGACGGGCCGAGTTAACCATCGATTATCTTCCTTAAACTACAACTATCGCGACTTTGAACGTGGTGTGTGCCATTCTGTGTAACCTTTCTCGTGAGGTTTATTATCACGATGTGTAACGAGGAATGAATGTATTGAAATCTTCAGGATTTGGGAACCAAAAGCCCGCCACCTGGACATGGATAAACGCGGCGTGACGTACGCTGAAGATACCATAAGCAGTGGTGAAAATGTCATTTTACACCACAAAGCTTGACATTTAAGCGTTTGTTTTTTAAATATTTCATAATGCAGTATACGTAGTGTTGAAGCTGTTTGCAATACCGCGGTCATAAATGATCGCGGAATGATTATCTGCACCGTCTTTGTGAATTGCTTGAATTCTGAAATGTATCGCTGATTTTTTTTCCCCATAGAGGAGTATCTGTTTATACGTCGGCGTATGCCATTGCACGCTTGCGTCTTTGTAATGTTGTGCAACATTTATATAGTGCAGTGTTAGAGGGTTTTAAATGTGCAAGGAATTTTAACTGCGAAAAAAAGTTCGCAAATTGTTTATGCAATCCCTCCCCCCTATTTTTTTCAACATTTGAACCATTACAGAATGGATGTATCGTGTAATGCCATCATGTACTTGTATCGCAGTACTTGACAAGTGTCCCCATTTTTCTACTAATTCTCAGAGGTAAAGACAGATCTTGACCTTTTGTTGGAGTGTCTCAAGTTTCAGAATGAGGACTCGTCCACCCATAAGCAGGCGGTGATCACTCTTTCTTCCATCTGCTCATACAACGGTTGGTCCTATGATTATCTTCATTTACTTTAGCACATGTTTGAATTATATTAGAAAGGAATAACAAAAAAGGGTTATTCCACCTTTTGTTTCACTACTGGACATCTGTGACAAAGAGCTTTGTAGCTCATCGGATTCCTCCACTATAAATACATATTCTGAGTCTGAAAAACAATGTTTAAACACAGTACAATATTTTATACATTTTAACTGTAGCAGAAGTCCAATAATTACCGATACATTAATCCACGAATCTCTCTGTACGGTTATTGGCGGATTATTGGCAGTTCGCGACTGCTCCCCGTAATTCACAGAAGATTCGCGGAAGATTGAAAAATCCTTTGCGGATCGCAAACCGCGATCTCTGTTAGGTGGGCGAGGGCTGGAAAGCAGATCTGCACGGGAACAATACGGAGTAAGATGTATTTTATTTTGCTCACAATTTTGTTTTTATTGTGCACGCCACAGACTGCCTCAACTGACGTGATTATGCATTTTGTAGACTTGGATATCAAGTATATATAAAAAATGCAAATATTATAACATATACGCATATCTTAGAAAAAGTTGTAACCTTATAAATCCCCAGATTTATTGTGGATTTCATCACGAGTCATATGCTGCAATTCCCTTATAATTTGATATTTTTTCACGCATTAATGGATACACGCAACCATTTGTTTCCACAATCTGCAGCACACACACATCAGTCCAAACATTTTTTCACCGATTACAAGTCCAACCTACGTGGTGCGCCACAGATTATAGGATCCGCAATATGGGCCCCCCCCATATCGACGCGGATTATTGGATTTCTGCTATGCTGTTTGGTGTCACAGTTCCTATGATTACTGTTGTTACATTGTTTTTATAACTTTATTTTGGTGATTTCGAAAACATATGGTTAAGCCATGTTTCTTGCAGAAGTGCGGAGTTGGCTTGATAGCTTGAATCTAAGTTGTCTTATGGTTGTTATTGTTTGACTTGCATCACACTGGGATTTTTGCACACAGCGTGGCAATACGGTGTTTTGTTTTTTTTCTGGAAGATTTGCTGGCTTATCCAGGATGTTTCTGTTGCGCGTCGTCGCTTTAAGATGTTTCTCTGTTCATATTTTGTTTGTTGCTGTTGCACCCGACTGAAGAGCTCACAGGGCTATACCTAATAAATGAAAACTTGTGTTACAATATGCATATTCATAGCATATGGGATACTTAATCGGAGTTGTACTTATTTAGTTTGGATTCTCTGTTTTCCATTGTTGTTTATTATGGATGATTGTCAGTATTGCAGTTTGTTTCATATATTTTTTTAAATATTAGTCGGTTGTTGTAGCCAACCTATTTCGACGTCCAAATTTGAGAATCAGAATAAGTTGCGTAACAGTAGTGTATACACTAGAAGGGAAAATAAATTATTGAAATGTAACCCACTTAAGATTAACAGTATTTTTGTAATATCCACTTTTTCAGTATTTCACATGAATCCTGCACAGCCAATTTATGAAACTACATTTCAATGTAAAATGTTTTTACAATATTTGAGGATGACTTTACCAGCTGTGGAACTGTTAGTTAAAAGTGCTATCTTTGGTAATCTGTAAATAATTACACAGGTGTATTTACTTGTGCAGCTGCAGCATGCAAGTACCTAAAGGAGTGTGGTGGATTATACTTCATACAGCAGCTTGCCTGGTCTAACCCTCACCAAGATGTCACAGAAGTCATCTTGTTTTTTCTGGGGAGGCTGGTGGAGAACAACGGTATGTGTAGAAGTTGATTCGGTCTGATACAACGGGCCTTATGGCACAAAGTATTGACAAATGCATCAACTAGGCATTTGCTGTATTTGTAACACTGAGAGTTGGAGGCGTGAAACCTCAGGAAAGTTGTCTGAATACTCCATGGGCTCATGACCTTTGCATAGTTCTTGTTTTTAGAGTAATTTGGTTTATGGTCTGTGCATATGCCCTTTCAGCATCCGCTTTTGTACATATCCTCTAATGCGTAAATATAGAAAATGTTTCAGTTCTCAGTTTAACACGTAGGCTTTCGCGACCAATATTATTCATAATAAAGGTCAGTTCTCGTTTATTTTCACGCCTAAGCCACAGGTACTGAAAACACAACTTTTGATGCTCGCATTTTAATAATGTACCCCTACCATAGATACGTTGTCGCGATATGACATAGCCATTAAGACAATGTGGCATTGAAAAACACTTATTTAGTGCTGCTGAAATGTGTAAAAAAGTTTTTGTATTACTTAAAGTTTAATATTCGTGTTTCTTTCTCCTTCCAGTGTTCTGTAAGCAGTGGCTCTGCACATCTTCCCTGCTCAATCGAGCTAGCTCACTTTTAAAAGACTTGCAATCTTCGGGAATTCTTAAAAAAAGTGCCTCCTATCTACTCCTTGCACTACTTACAAATAATAGTAAGATTACAGGTTTGCTTGTGAGCTCGTTGGTGGCACATCTTTTCATATCTAGTATTTAAGTGGTCATTAATAATTGTGAAAATATGGAGGCTTTCTTTGTGACTTTTTGTTTTTACATTTACATGCTCTTTTTGGAACTTGGTTCCAAAATTAACCAATATGCCAATATGGAGGGCGAAAGCTTGTTATTTCATGATGTGACCTAAACATTAGATTGTTTTTACTTGTTTAATTTGAGGTGTGTATACAACATTTCCTGTATAATGTTTACCTGATAAAATATTAGTTAAATAAAGTAGTAAACATTAAACGGGAGTGTATGTTATTATATGTGGCATAATAAATATTAATGAAAGCCCACATATTATTGAAAATATGCTGAAAGCAAATTCACTGGTGCACTTTTTTTTCATGTGTATATCACCTAGGTCTATTTAGTAATGCCATTAATAGGCTCATTGTAAATACGCTAATACTCGTTGATTTGTACAAGCATTTGAATGGAGATATTTGATACAACGCAGAGTGGATATCTTTGGCAATTACATTTTTTATTGAAAACAAAGCATGCTTGTTTGGTGTTCACAGACCGAGGGCAGACCCTTGCTCGGACATCTAACTGTCTAAACACAATGCTTAGTGTTTTCAGGTAAATGATTAACTACATTTTAATTATGCTGCACTCACTTAATTTTACCACCTATTTGGTGTACCGTATATGGTAAGAAGCTAAAATATTACACAAATATGATGAACTTGATCAAAAGTACAACTCTTAAATGGAACTTTGGGATATAATTTAGCACTTAAGATATTGTCCCTGAACATCACTGAGGAACTTTAAATGGGGAATTCAGCATTTTTAAATTCCGAGATGAAATGTGTATAAATGTACCTACAATGTTGCCTTCTTTCTGCTGGTAAAAGAAGTGGTCTCCCAAGTGAACTTTTGAGACATGGCAACAGGGATTCTGAAGAGGAACTCTCACACTGGTCTGATCTTGCCAGGGCCCTATGCGCAAGTGTAAACAATCCTCAGCATGGTATTGACAATCTTTTACGAAAAAAATATTTTTTTATTGAGTCGGGGTTGCACATTTTTGCAAACACTTGAAGCAGTGTTACAGATTAAAAAAAAACCACATAGGAGGTATATAATTTTGGTCAAAATAATTTGAATATTGGAATCATTTTTATATTCAACTGGTATTTTTTTTTTTACTTATGTGAAAAGGTTGAAACGTCACGTAAATCCCAAGTTCTATACATACATTCACGTAAATGATGTACAATAACTTACATTTTTAAAAGCTACAGGAAGTAATAAAAATTAGTTTCTTGAGTAGTCATGAGAATGTTCTCTGTTACAGAGGAAAATCAAAATATGTGTGCATCAGTCTTGCCGAGTGTAGCTGAGAGTCTCACTCTAAGCTCATCACCTGGTATCATCGCCTCCCAATGTTCATTTATCACTGGAGTGGTTTCCAACAATGGTAAGCTTACATTTTTCTTGTAAATTTCAATGCAACCGCATTCTTACACGTGTGGTACTGTGAACTTAAAAGCGGCCATTTCAAATTATTTCTGCTTTTTTTATTTACCATGTGTGGTGGAGTAGACAAACACGATCTGGTACATTTCATAAGCCACTCTTGCCATGTTGAAAGTAACATGTCCACTGGTAGATTGTTTTCAAGCCAGTCTCACATTTCAGTTTAGTTGGTAATTTATATGCGCACAGAAATATTCTGACAAGTAAGTGAGTCAGCTAATAGGTAACAACAATTTAACAAAACTGAAAAATGTTTTACAGTATTAAACTATTATGTCACTGTTGAGTTGCTGACATCACATGATTTGTGTACAAGGTTCTTTTTTAGTGGTCACATTTGGTTAGACTGGCACCAGGAACATTTAAATTGAATTTCTAGTTGAGGAAAGTACTGTATGCTGTTTATATACAATATATTTGGGAGCAGTCTGATATGGCCGTAGATATAGAGAACATTTATTTTGATTAATCACATTTTACTTGTAACAGTTAACCATCAATTGTGATTTTGGGCCATTTGGTTATCATTTCCCGATTTAGGCTACAACCTGTTAATAAAAATATCATTTTTATTATAACACTGATGTCATGTACAGTATTGATGAACGTGTGGAGAAACTGAACATAGAAGTGGTGGCTATCTTGTTAAATTATGTTCAGTGGTATGGCCCAGTGGGTCCTGTTAATTTAACCCATGGGTGGGCTGCTGTGTTGAGTGGTGAATGATTAACGGTTAATTGTATGCACATTTGCAATTGCAAAGTCATGTTCGGTTCGCAAAAATGTAAAGGTAAAGTTCGGTTACATTTTTTAAGTAAACTCATGCATGGTCGTGATGGTACACATGGAATGTGTCCTTTGTTTTATTTAGCACAAAGCCATCCTTTTTTAAAAGCAGTTTTAGGCTGAGTGATCTCAGGATTGCTGCCCAGGTTCTCAATAAAACTGTTGTAGATGTTCTTTGTAATTTTTTTACGTGTGCCAGTGATCTGCTCAGATTGTGTTGTGTGTGTGTGCACTTTGCTGAGTGTGCAGCATTTTGCCAAGAGCAATTTGCACGGAGTGGAGGCCTCAGTGCTCTGGCCCAAGTTCTCTCCAGATTTACACTGGAAAACAACTTGGGCCCCACTAACTTTCCATTGGCAGTGACCATCACGAAGACTATTGACGTTTGTGTTACCGACCAAAGTAAGACTTTGGTCATCCATTGTTTTGGGTCAACTACTTTTTATCATACCAAATAACTTATGATAACCTTCAAGTGTACGCATATATGTGAAGTTCAAAACAGAGACTATATTAGAGAGAGAGGTGGTGAAGTGGTTAGTGCACTGCACTTTGTACCAGGCAATATGAATTATATTTTCGACCATGGCAAACATCAATGGCAAGTGATATCTGAACTAGTCCTGGTGCCTCTCCTTCAACAACCTACAATGACCAGCATGGAGAGATATGTGTATAATCTCAATGACGGACATATCGTGAGGAGGCCTTCATGCATTGGATTAATAAAGGGATGTGAATTATATTTTATATGATGGGCAATGGCCAGGGGCAATTATACTTTAAAAACTGTGTTCTATAATAGACTTGTCCACCAAGACAGACATTCATACGGGTAACATTACTGGATGATTAGTAACAACTGCATAGTGGTGGTTATAATAGACTGAACTACACATAACCGACCAAGTGTCTCTGCCTTTGTTTACTGCAATTTTAACATTACATTTTCACAAAATATATTACGGTGCAGAGAATATGTACATTAAACTAGTTAACCTTCACACTGTGGTGACGATTCTTTTTCATGCATTTTTCTAGCCAAGTTGGCATTTCAGCTGTCAAAGCACTGCGTGGTGCCCCACATGGTCTCACTGTTGCTGAAGAACCCCCACGATGTAAACAGCAAATTGGCAATCCTGATAACCATTGGGCATGCCACTGAAGACTGTGGTCAGTAGAAATGTTGGTTTATAGCACAGTGCATTTCTATTAGCTTGTTTATTCAAAATAAAAAGTACTTTTTTTAAATATTTTAAGTTAAAAGCTGCTTTTAATATTTAAACTGTAGAATTTAATTTACTTAATAGGAGCACAACCAAACTTCGAAAAATGCCAGTCAAATTAAATGCACATCTTTTTTTTGTTACGAGGCGACAACAGTTCATTGAGGGCTGTTTTGCCTTTACATTTCGAGAACAAAACAATGGTCGCATTATTTTTGTGATGTGTTACTTCTTTGAAGTTACCTTTGTTATTGTCCTTGTAATGGGCAACTGACTGTGAAAGGAACTGTTGCAGTCGTCTTAGTGTCTTCTCAGAAACATGGTAATGTTTGGTGTTTTTCACTCCCTGGGAATCTCATATAAATAGTCTCCATGCAAGCTTTGGGTTTTTACCTTTGTCCTCACAGTGGAGAACCAGAGGCAGCTCCTTGAGAGCCATGGCCTTCCCTTGCTGGTGCAGTTGATGGTTGAGGCACAGGATGAAGAGATAAGCAAGGCCGCCACGTTCATCCTGCAGAGCTGCATTAAACTGAGTGAGCATCGGTACATACGAAACGGGATCATGTGAGAGTCAGCAATTTTAGTGGAGTTCTTACTTTGCCGATATTTTTCATACAGTACTGACATTCTGTTTACATTTTTATGGCATTTGAGCATTTGGGAATTTTTATTAAAAATAATTCTGCTTTTTAATGTTTATTTAAAATTATAATGTAATGTGCATTTTTTTGCTTTATGATGGATAGACTATGTGATTACTGCAGATATACAACATTAAAAAAATGTTGCAGTAGAATTTGTTCTGATTTAAAGCTTTCGTGACTGCAGTAATTCATATTCTTAGACTTTACCGAAAGAGCTAAGAATATAGTAGAATTTGTTCTTGAGTGTTGCCTGTTGGTGTTCCCACCCAATGGTGGTCTTTTTCTTTAAAAAAAATGCATGTTCGCTTGTGTTTGGATAAAATGTCCACTTCAAATGTGTTCATGTTGTGCCACTGTTTTCAGCAAACACCTATGTGAAGAGTGCCATGAACGAGTTGGTTGAATGTAATGACGCTGGAAATTCACAGCTCACGACCCATAATATGCCCCATTACATGGTGAACATGCTGAAGGAGATGAAAACGAGGAAAGATCAAATGTATCAAGAACAGGTGCAGTATATAGCCTAACTTTTTTAATTGTTGCAAGTATTAGTAAGGCAAAGCAATTAACGTGTTTGATGTTATTCTCAGGCCCAATATGTTACTACTTTCTGTACTTTATGTAAAGTGTTATTAAATGCAAGCATTTTTTAATTTTGATTGCTTTTTGATAAATGTCTAAGCTTAATGAGTAACTAAGACTCGTTTTAGAAAACTCGTTTTAGTTACTAGACCAAAATATAATGGAACCAATATGTAATGAATATGTAGCATGACTTAACCAAAGATAACAGACTTTGGGATAGTTTTCAACATAGTTATGCAGGTGCTATGACCCATGAGATGTATTCTGAAAGAGGCACTGTGGATTATTTTAAGTTGTATATTCTATTAACTCTTTTGTAACTAGTTTTGACAATTATTACAAAGATGCAAGTATAGCGTACAAAGGATAATTATCGATACCACATTATAACATCTTAATTTATTTTATTTGAACAACAATACAAATGCACATACAGTGAAGTTGTCTCTTAGGCATCTAATCATATTTCAGGGTTCCAGTGAGGGAGACTTGGCTTCATTGCAAATGGTGAAGGATATCATTGACTCGAAGTTGCTGCAATGGCGATCCACTCTCACCACAAAGCAGTCACCAACCAGGAACAACATGGAAAATGTATTGCTATCCTTCAAGCAAATGTCAAATCAACAAGAGCAAAATAAAAATATTGTGTCTTTATTAAGCCAGCAACAAACATGCCAAAGCGAAGAATCGTCTGCGAAAGTTAACCAAATTGCATATATTGGACCGCCCAATAGTATCGCAGAGCAGCGAGGAGCAGTCTTGTTGACTCCGGGGGAAGAGCCCTGCATGGAAGCCCAGCATAAAATACCGGTCGATGGCGTAAAGGCAGCGCTGCCTTTACAAGACACTGGTGGGTGTGTGAAGCCCATGCCCTTGAGATATGTTGGGCAGGGGGCTGAGAGGGAGACGCCTCGTACGTTACCCCAAAGTGCCTCTTTTAAAAGGAAACTTCAATTTGACAAACAACACGTGGATGAAGAGAATGTACCTCTTCCTGCGAAGAAACAGAGGTTTGTGCTATTTGTTGGGCTTTGTGGTTAAGCTAAGTGGAAGTTTGTCGTTCCTGTTGAACCAAGGATTTAATAATCATTTCGATATTTCACGAAGAAAACGTATTATATCTTGTACAATTTCACGTACACACCTGGTATGTACTCATTAATAAAAAAACAACATTTGCTTACAGAGTTGAACAGCACCAAGAGAAAGAAGATAACAACTTAAGGGAATACTCTGAAGGCTCAAGGAATTACGAGAATGATGTTGGGCGTTCAAACTCACAACTTGGTAATTTGACAACGTAGACTTTCTCTGTAAACTGTTTGCACATGCCTTGTAGAGATGACACACTTGTTGAAATGAATAGGATTTTTGAATAGTTTTTTGTAAAAGTGCTAGATATGTACCACTAAAAGTAGTAACATTTGTAATCAGTATATTAACAGGCATAACAATTTAGCTTCGTAGTTAAATCCATGCATTGTTATTTCACATGTAAACTAAAATGCTAAATGTGATGATTGTTTTTACTTTAACCTGGTAAAAGCTTTGTTTTGCACAATGTAGATGCACTTGCAACCCTTTGTTTGTCTTGTTATAGACCTTATGGCAATTTGTAAGGAAGCCTTTGATGAGGAGATTTCAAGCAAAAATGGAAGCCCCACTATGTCTTCTGCTTTGAGTTGTAGTCAGCGTTGTGCAGGTTTGTATTAACACAATATGAAGGAGATTGCCAGAATGGTTTTTAATTCAAAGCATATAAAAAATCCACGTGAAATGTTTACGTCAATATTGGTAGCGTATAGACTCAGAACATCAGTGCACTTATATTCTTAGCTCTTTCGGTAAAGTCACGTTGAAGGTAAACAATAAAATAATAAAATATATATTTTATTTCGATTTAAAGCTTTCGTGACTGCAAGGATTCATTTTCTTTGGTTCTTTTGACTTTACCGAAAGAACCATAGAAGATATATTTTATTGACTTTACCGAAAGAGCTAAGAATCAGTGCACTTGTTCATGTTTTTACAAACAGGAAAGATTGACATTTAAAAACAAAATTTTGCCACTTTTATATAATTTCAGTTTTTTTTTACTAACTCGATCTGCTCACATTACTACATGACCAGAGTATTTCCTGCCACGCAGTATGATATTATCAGATGTCGTAAGTTAAGCTGGCTTGAGCTTGGTAAAGCTGATCACTGTGCCTAACTGGTGTTACAGGGTAGCAGAGGTCAGTGCAACAAACTACATTTACAGTATATTCTTAGCTCTTTCGGTAAAGTCACGTTGAAGGGAAACAATAAAATAATAAAATATATATAAAACAATAAAACAATGGTCTTGTTTTATATATATTTTATTGTTTCCCTTCAACGTGACTTTACCGAAAGAGCTAAGAATATAATATACATTTACAGTGTTTTTATGCATGCGTGTTTGTGCTCCTTTTGCCTACACCAACCCACATTGACCAGTGTTGTGAAGTATGGTCAAATAACCCAGCTAGTGTGTGGAGGCCTTAACGGTAATTAAGTGGCTGTTTTGGACTTCCCAATGTTCAGTGAGGGAAAAAAAGTATTTGATCCCCTGCTGATTTTGTACGTTTGCCCACTGATAAAGAAATGATCAGTCTATAATTTTAATGGTAGGTTTATTTGAACAGTGAGAGACAGAATAACAATAAAAATTCCAGAAAAACGCATGTCAAAAATGTTATAAATTGATTTGCATTTTAATGAGGGAAATAAGTATTTGACCCCCTCTCAACCGGAAAGATTTCTGGCTCCCAGGTGTCTTTTATACAGGTAACGAGCTGAGATTAGGAGCACACTCTTAAAGGGAGTGCTCCTAATCTCAGCTTGTTACCTGTATAAAAGACACCTGTCCACAGAAGCAATCAATCAATCAGATTCCAAATTCTCCACCATGGCCAAGACCAAAGAGCTCTCCAAGGATGTCAGGGACACGATTGTAGACCTACACAAGGCTGGAATGGGCTACAAGACCATTGCCAAGCAGCTGGTGAGAAGGTGACAACAGTTGGTGCGATTATTCACAAATGGAAGAAACACAAAAGAACTGTCAATCTCCCTCGGCCTGGGGCTCCATGCAAGATCTCACCTCGTGGAGTTGCAATGATCATGAGAACGGTGAGGAATCAGCCCAGAACTACACGGGAGAATCTTGTCAATGGTCTCAAGGCAGCTGGGACCATAGTCACCAAGAAAACAATTGAAAACACACTACGCCGTGAAGGACTGAAATCCTGCAGCGCCCGCAAGGTCCCCCTGCTCAAGAAAGCACATATACATGCCCGTCTGAAGTGTGCCAATGAACATCTGAATGATTCAGAGGACAACTGGGTGAAAGTGTTGTGGTCAGATGAGACCAAAATGGAGCTCTTTGGCATCAACTTAACTCGCCGTGTTTGGAGGAGGAGGATTGCTGCCTATGACCCCAAGAACACCATCCCCACCGTCAAACATGGAGGTGGAAACATGCTTTGGGGGTGTTTTTCTGCTAAGAGGACAGGACAACTTCACCGCATCAAAGGGACGATGGACGGGGCCATGTACCGTCAAATCTTGGGTGAGAACCTCCTTCCCTCAGCCAGGGCATTGAAAATGGGTCGTGGATGGGTATTCCAGCATTGCAATGACCCAAAACACACGGCCAAGGCAACAAAGGAGTGGCTCAAGAAGAAGCACATTAAGGTCCTGGAGTGGCCTAGCCATTCTCCAGACCATAATCCCATAGAAAATCTGTGGAGGGAGCTGAAGGTTCGAGTTGCCAAACGTCAGCCTCGAAACCTTAATGACTTGGAGAAGATCTGCAAAGAGGAGTGGGACAAAATACCTCCTGAGATGTGTGCAAACCTGGTGGCCAACTACAAGAAACGTCTGACCTCTGTGATTGCCAACAAGGGTTTTGCCACCAAGTACTAAGTCATGTTTTTCAGAGGGGTCAAATACTTATTTCTCTCATTAAAATGCAAATCAATTCATAATATTTTTGACATGAGTTTTTTTCTGGATTTTTTTGTTGTTATTCTGTCTCTCACTGTTCAAATAAACCTACCATTAAAATTATAGATTGATCATTTCTTTGTCAGTGGGCAAACATACACAATCAGCAGGGGATCAAATACTTTTTTCCCTCACTGTATGTGACGATAGAATACCTGCACTGGCATATTCAGCCAGATGGAATGGTGGTACACAATGTTTATACCACCATTACAGAGCATTTACAAGTACAGTATTTCACAAGTTCCAGGCGGTTTAATTATTGTGTAGTTGAAAACTTAGTTGGCTCGGCAGATTGTGGTTTAAGTGACTTTGTTGCATAGGAGTGTTTATGGTTGTTTGTGTCAGGGTATGTCGGAGTATCACCCGATATATAGTTACGTTTAAACGTTGTGGTATGTTCACCAGCGTATATCTGTGGGCACATTGTGCAATGTGCATGCATGTTTTCCGATGCACGTGTGGATCCAGGGTGCATCACTGACTCCTCTTTGAATAGCAAAAGCTACCATTCAATTGTGCAGAAATGCGTGAGCTTATGCACACGCCATCACATCACCATGGAGTTGGAGAAGGCATACAAACTGAACCACAGCAAGGCCTGTGTTATGCATCGATCCAGGCCCTACAACAGTGAGCCTCACAGTAGCCTCACAGTAGACTGACACCAGGATGTGGCAGGTTAAGTGGCAGACTAGTGACTTAGCTTAAATCGTACATCTTCGGTTATTGTGTTCCTTTTCTTGTCTGTCATGTTCTCTGCACTGCTGGATGAATGTCGATTTAATCATCAGCTCACATGCTTGAACATTGCAACAATCCATCTCGCTCCTGCACACGGGTGATTGTATTACTCATTATTCCTTGGTAAATGTCCTTTTAGCCATGTTCCTTGCTTTCGTTGCCATTTAATTATCGTTCGTGATCACCGACCATCCTTTATAGTGACGCGTTCTGCCCAAGCCCACTTATCTTAACAATGTATAAGCTGTAACTTGCATCTACAGTATTATACGATCGTTGTGTTTCTCTTTATGGCTTTCATTGTAATTCCAAGCATCCACTTCTACATCCTTTTTGTGCACTTTCAGCTTTTACATGTTCTTTACCAATGTTCATGTTTCTGATCCATAGCAGGTAATATCCATAATTTTACACTTTTTATGCATATTGGTATACAGGCTGCAAAGTCAGGCTGGAATTTTTTTTATTCATGTTTGCAAAAAATATTACGTTTTTTGTTGGAGGAACACAGTCTGGAAAACACTCCAGAGTATGTATACAGTAATTAATTATACAGAGTGGGATTCTTTTGTAAACTGTACATTTCCCCCCAAATGTATCCTTGTGCTGCCGGTGCCGTTATATGAGATGAAGTATGCATTTAAATCTCTCCAAAGTAGTGCAAACCTTCGTGTTAAAGAATGGCCCATCGTAGTAGATATAACAGAGCTAATTCTGTGATCATTTCAGGTGACCTGGTCCACAAAGTAGAAGGCAGAACTTTCCCAGTCACTCAGCCATATGAGAGTAATTGTGTTGGAAATTATCGTTTTTTGTCACCAATTGATTAAATTTAATGTAATTATTTTTGCGTGCAGTCATTGATGAATACACTTGGGAACCGATTGTATTCACAGGGTGGCTGCCTAAATAATAAAAACCTTAAGAAAATTACTTAAGCTAGTTAATTGTATAAAGTAAAAAAAAACTACTTTTAAGGAATTAAGATATTTTTTTAAGTTAATATTTCGGTAGAGTGCCACCCAAACGCCCCATACAGACCAGGTACAACTGGGTGGCATTAACATTTTACGGACTATGCAACCCCCCATGCCAGATACTGCCTCTACCATCATCACAGTCCTCTTCACTCGATCAGTACTCCTTACTTATCCCCCGTGCAGAAAAATGCAATGAACCCTCATCTTTAAAGTGTGGTTTAATTTAAGTTTGAAACCAAAAGGGATTCATGGCCGTGCTTTCTATGTTCACAGATATCACATTGACCCCACGCATAAAACGGCCAGAACGATCGGACCTGATAGTCATACCTCCGAAAACGATTCAAACTGAGAGCAGCTTCCGCCAAGTCAAAGCCATGACTGAAGGTATTCTAGAGACTCAATATGCAGGAGCACTTAATTTAATGTTTAATTCACTGCATTATAGAGTTCCATAGTTGCACGTTCATTTGTTCGTTTCTCAATCCGCTTGTCCTGGTGAGGGTCACGGCAGCATATTGAGTAGGGCGGTCCAGACCTCCCACGTATCAATCGAATTTGCATTCATGTACAGTACTGTTTTTGAAAATACATAATTTGAAGAACTGTTGATCAGAGACATTTACTGTTGTCAGCATTACAATTGATGTAGTTTTGATGCAGCTCAGAATTATATAATTGGCATGCGCATATTTTTCTTGAATGTGTATTTTTCCAGTGTAATAGAAAATTCACGGATGCATTTAAATAAATACAATTTTTATATACCGTAGCATCACTCTAAATTCCTGTACTGTAGGTGGTGTGAAACGGTCACCGAACAAACACAACATGGATACATATTACTTCAGCTCCAGTGACTCTGTAAGTAGACATGAAGCTGATGAAACGTTACCATACCCTTACACAGAGTGTGGAACAAGTAGAAAATGTATAAAATACAATGCGCATGCTTTCAAATTTCAAACATGTCACAACTGTATTGTTCCACCATTGACCGAGTTTCATTGTATAAAAGCTCATGCTCAAGTGCCGAGTTTTGATGGTACCCAATGATGGTACTCGTATTTCATGAAATTTCACCAAATGTTGGCTAAGATTTTTTATTTACAATTCTGCTTTGTTGCAATATATCTAAAAAATACATCAGTTGCGGTAGGAACATACGTTTTTGTAGAAGTTGCCAACAAGATGCAGTTTAGTCAGTTTTTACAGGAAATGAAAGAGTTGTGCAACTTTTTAAAAGCTTCCAGTCTGCTTTGTGGTAATCGACAGCTACATTGATTTGACAAAGATTTGTGTAGCACGCATTCTGGCGCACAGCACCATCTGCTGGTGATACTGCTAAGCTACAATTGTGGATTTGGGGAGGTGGTCAACACTACAGCAACCCTATCAACTGGATTAATTTATAGTGAAATGCATTAGTAATGGATTTTTTTTACCTGCCATGCTCATTTAGAACCAGTAAAAAATAAATCAATTATAATATTGTTTATGGTAATATGTTCAGGAGCTGAATGGCAACGTCGATGTCTGGTAGCCACGAGGGCTTCAGGAGAGAGTTTGTGTGATTTTGCTATTTCTCTGTGAAAGGAGCACAGACTTCAGTAGTTTACTATATGGTCCATAGTTTGGGTTGCATGCCCAGTCGCATTGGATCGTCTTTAGTTTTCCATTTATAAAGGATATGTGCGCATTATCCTGTTGATGGTTGATAGCACACCAGTGTCTTCGAGGAATGTCAAGGCCAGCAGGTGTGATGTTTGGATCTCGAATGAGGAGGCTGTATAGAGGAAACTGGGAAGATTTAGACACTAGCAATCCTCCAACCACACGTTGTGGGACGAACGCACCACACATTACATGGATTTGTTCAGGGACCCTGTTTTGATTACCTTGTGGGTGGGTTTCTCATTACAGGCTTCTTGAGTTTGCCCCCATTGTTAGGTAACAGCAGAAGCCTGGACATTATGGCGTGGCTGAGGACCAAGGGTTAAGCTTGCCTGGTCTATGTCTCACTGCCCCGGTCTATGTCTCAGTGCCCCTTTGTATGCTGTGCCGACCTTAAGTGCTAAATAATGTGACTTACATTAGATGTTCACACCAAGCTAGTAAGCTGACCTTTTGCGTGAGGATGTGTGTACATGTTTGTTTAAACATTCAAAACAGGACATCGACTTCAGCTATGTACTTGACGATTCAGAAGATAAGAAACACAACAAAAGGTCCAACTTTACAAATGATGAAGTGAAGTACCTGCAGCAAGGCGTCAATAAGTTTGGACACTGCTGGAACCAGATCCTTTGGACCTACCCCTTCCAGAAAGGGCGAACCAATGTTCAAATAGCAAAAAAATATAAGCAGCTGAAGGTAAGAACATCTTTTTCTTACTATCATATTAATGGGTGCAGCAAAAAAGTGAAATATTACAATTATTACAATAGAATGTGTTCCATTTTGTTGAAGGCAAGGTTTTTTTTGTGGGAATTTACATTGGATTTATTTTGCAGCGTAATATTTAACATTTTTACATTGTCAGTGGGATGTTTTAAAGTTTCAACTTTAGTGATGTACGGGATGAGACTTTTTAATTATCGACCACCCTGGAACCTGCTGCCTCTGCATGTTCAAGACTCTTCACATACATTTCACTCGTTCAGTAGAGAATTCAAGACAGAACTGTTTAATAGAGCTTGCAATGTATGAATAATGCACACTCGTGATAACCTAGGTTATAAGAGTTGCGCGTTCATCAACGTAATTACTTAAAATGTACTTTCCTTCCGTCCTTACTCATTTATTTTGTACAGTAACATGTTTGTGGATGTCAGCCCACATCGCATGCCTGCATGGTTATCACAATTTCAACAAGTACTGTATTGTTGAAGGCCGTAATGGCAGTCACCTTGTCCACGCATTGGCACTTCAAATGCATTTGTGGTAAATTACAGGTTTAGATTTCTTTCTCAGGCTAATTGCCTCCAGTAATCAGCATTTTTGTTAATTATGAGGGTATAATAGCTGACCAGGTGGCACAGTGGTTAGCGTACTTCTCTATAAACCACAGTTCGATTCCTAGCCATAGACGATTATATCTCGGTCTCCCCCCCCCCGCACCCCCGTCTAACGGCATGGAAAGCCTTCAACAATGGATTATAATACCTTTTTCAGCAATGTTGCATGTGGTAAATTTTTAATATACAAAACATAATTTATTTTACAATTATAATTAAATCGAAAATAATCTCAGAGAAGTATAAACAAAAGCCATTTTTCACTCCACACTTTGCTTTTTTTGCCACAGTTAACGAAGAAGTTCTAAATGTTGACTTAGAACTTTTGTGACTGCAGAAAAAAAAGTTCTGACTTCAGCAGTGCACAGTCAGAACCCATGTGCACTTTACAGACACGCAGATGGATGACTTTTGACGAAAGTTTTCTTTCATTGGATTTTTCAAGAATTAAATGCCATGCAAGAAGGAAAAACGTTTTGGCCACAACTAACTTCGTTGACCTCACACATTTTGCATTTCTATCTTGGCAGTTTAATGATTATGAAATGTGTTGACGAGAAATGCCATGTCAAAAATGTGATGACCATTGCAGTCCTGTCTGCGAACCACAAGTTTATTTAAGATATGTATACAATGGAATGTGCAGTCACATATTGGGGACTAAAAAATGTGTTTACAAAGCAGTTTTACAAGTGAAAATATGTTAAACCCTCTGTAAGTGTTCTATGGATGCATTGAAATAGTTACGTGGTGAAAACAAGTGTTTGTGTCCGAAGTGAGGTTTATACAGAAGGGATAGTGCTTAAATTAGACTTGCTTTGTGTTTTGCTTGTCTCAACTGACCTCTTATATTTATATTCAAAATTAAAATATACTCCACTAACGTCACAATTATCAGCCATTGTCTATCCACATTGATATGAAAATGTCCCCATGTCATCTCTCCTGTCTTGCGATGCCATGATCCATCTCACTACTGCCCATGAATTTAACTTATCACTCCATTTCCAATGTTATCATCCCTCTGTCGTGTTTATCTTTGGCTTTTTTAATATTATAGAACCTTGATTTAAAGCTTTCGTGACTGCAGGGATTCATATTATTGGTTCTTTCGGTAAAGTCACGTAGAAGGGAAACAATAAAATAATACCAATATAAAACAATACAATTCTCACGACGTTTCGACTGCAACACAAGCAATCATCATCAGGTGTGAAAACCACAGCAAAAAAATATATTATTTTATTGCTTCCCTTCTACGTGGTGACTTTACCGAAAGAACCAAGAATATTATAGAACCTCTTTAAGGAAACTTTTCATTTAATAATAATTGCTTCAGAAGGCAGGCCAGTTTTACAACAACGGTATTCATTCCCTTTAGTGACGGTACACTGTTCATTTTAATGATTCCAACCTGTTCAATTAAATGTGTTTTTTCCCCACCTGAAATAAACGTGTACTTTCAATTAGCCGTGTTTGTCTCCATCACCAACTGCATAAAGCCAGAACCCACGTGCAGTTTACGCAGACAGCTGACCGGCAAAAGACTTAGTTCATTGAGTTTTTGACGAAACAAATGCCACGGTCTTACAACATCGCCCAAAACTGCACGCTCACACCACCCGCAACGGTTCCAGTAAGGAAAAAAAACATCAGTTTCCGTCAGTTGGCCATTCAGTTGACCCGCGTTGACAATCAGTGCGTCGTGACGACATCCCGTACGGATCGCGACCCGACGATCATTGTATGCGATGACGCATTCCACCTTCGGCTCCGTTCCGCATATGTCAAGAGTTGGGGTGGGGGCGTGAGCAAGGCGGAGGCAATCGAAAAGCACGAGAGGCTCCCTCCCGCACCCGTGCACCACACATTAAGCTGCGCGTGCAGTCGGCGCACGCGGAAACAATTTGAGCGATGTCGGCGGGAAGCGGAAGAGAGGAGGAGGCTTCGAGGTTGGTGTCCCTCGATGAGGTGCGGAAGCACTGCACCAGCGAAAGCACGTGGATCGTCTTGCACGACAAAGTCTACGACGTGACCAGTTTCCTGGACAAGGTCTGTTGCGCGCGGAGCTCCCAGCTGTGTGTGCGGGCGTCCCCTAGGCGGGCACAGCCTTAAGCGCTTGTAAAACTACTGCACTGGGGGGAGACAAAGGTGGCATGGCGTGGTGCTGTCCTCCCAACACCACTGGCCTCGGCCGTAGAAGATGTTGGCGAACAGCACTTGTCCCAGCAATGTCTTTTTACTACCGTGTCAATGTCTCTTGAACCGCATCACCACATGTGGTGGAAACGATTTGTGATGTTGCAGCGGCTTTGTGCAGTCTGTAATCATATAAAGCAAATTGTATCGTTTTCTTGGATGCAAGAAGGAATGTTGTTATCGTCTGTGCTGTAACAATGTTTGGAATGTGATCGAGTTATTCATTTAAAACATTCCGTCCGGTAACTGCCCTGAGTAGCTTACTTAAACGTGTTGTACTGTGATGCGTGTTTGCATTTCACAATTGATGAAAATGTATATGCATTGTGTACGGTATATTGCTTACATTGACATAGATGTCAACCCATGCGGTTTACCCGTATTCTTGTACAGGGAGATTGAGTTTTCAGTTCCATACGGCATACAGCCGTTTCAATACGGGCAAAGAAAATGTGTCTTGTGTTTCTCCCTTGTGATGGGACTTTGTAGGATGAACGTTGCGATTTATAAGGGCACGGGGTCTGAATTGGTCTGTAATAAGAAGGCGCTGATAAGGGGTTGACAGGTATGAATTCAGCCAGTTTCAATCCACTGCTGAATTAAGCTATATCTTTGTTGACAATTGTAATATAGTTGTAAGACTCCATATCTTGTTAGATCATCCCTGCTTATGAATATCAACCATATATGATAATAGGTTTTACCCTTTTATCTGGAAACAACCATATATATACGCCACAAATTACTGTGTGCACTTTCTGCATTTACCCCATTACAGTACATTGCTGGCCAGCGGTTGTGAAGTATGGTAAATTTATATTCTTGGTTATTATTTTATTGTTTCCCTTCTACGTGACTTTACCGAAAGAATCAATAATATGGATCCCTGCAGTCAAGATAGCTTTAAATAAAAACTTATGGTAAATTTATTTAGAAAGTGTTGTAAATGTATTAGTGTGCTTATCACGATAATTGTATGATGTGCCATTCAAAGTTAGTTTGCTAAACAGGTTCGGCAGGTCTGGTTGATTAAACTGGCCGAGTTCCGTAATTTAGATTATTTTGCTGCTATAAATGTCCACATGATCATTAGCAACTCTGTTGAGCTATCATTTGTGGCCAGGTCGCTTCTGAAAAGCATATATTCATTGTATCAATTCGTGTGCAATTTGTAAGGGCGCGGTGGCTAAAGGTTATAATCCCTTGTTCATCGTGACGCCCTTTTTACTTTGATGTCTCAAAGCGTCACGGAGATCACGTGATGACGTGAGGGTTCTGCCTTTGTAGTGAGGGTTGTGAGTTGACGCCGAGGAGGGGGGAGGAGGCGCCTCGGCCCCCCATGTGGAGTGACGTCACCCGCTAATTATTATGAATGGACGTGGGGGGGTGTCCATTTGGAGGACGTCACCTGCTCATGAATATTAATGAGGGGCTGGTCGATGTGGAGTGACGTCACGAGCGTTAAGGACAGACACTCCTGGGTGATTATAGTAGGTATAGGTTAATAGCTCGGTGAGGTTTACCTGGTAAGTAAAACATTGTTTCATTTTATTTGTATACTGTTATAAAGTGTTTTAAAGTGATTTGTTTACCTCTCTACTTTGCACTCCTTTCGTGTCTGTGGATTGTTTGTTGTTGTAACGTTCTGACCTGCCCCTACTGGACATCTGTGAAAAAGAGCTTTATAGCTCATCGGATTTCTCCAATGTAAATACATATTTTAAGTTTGGATCGTAACCTCTAAGTATCACTTTCCTGCCACTCTCGCTGGCCACACTGATAACATCACACCGCGTATTTAAGGCCTAAGACGGGAGGATATTTTCACAATTCTGGCAACTGCCTGATGATGCTGGTTGTAGCTGTCGGTGAAACAGAATCAGAATGTGTATTTATACTGGAGGCATCCGATGAGCTATCAAGCTCTTTTTCACAGATGTCCAGTTAGGGGCGGGTCGGAACGTTACAGCAACAACCAACAATACAAAACACGGCAGCAGTGAAAAGTCTAGAAAAGTTCAGCAACTCACTCGCATGTGGAGGGATAAACCGGAGGACCTGAAGACAAATTCACGCAATCACGGGGAGAACGCGCAAACTCCAAAATAGAGAGTAGGCGTCAGGGTCGGGATCAAACCCAAGACCTCCTGTACACCAGGCAAGGTAGTCAGCATCTCGCCACTGTGGCGCGCCTCATTCATTAGGCATTGTCTCTCTCCGCAACTAGGCAATCGCATGCCACTCGATGACCCCTCTCGTGCGTTAGCCCTCTTCCAACTTGAGAGGCAGTGTTTGGAGGGCCGCGTGAAGGTGCGTGTTATTTCCTGTAATGCGCGTGTACGTGTTGGGTGGTGGTGACAGTGGCCTTGGTGATCTGCAGCAGTTGGCCCTCAGATGCCAGCCTCTACATCCAGTATTTGCTATCGCTTCCAAGGCTGCTGTCTGCCCTTGGGGTGAGATTCTGTTCCAACGGGCAAGGTCTTTTTTTTCCTTGTCATTGCTTGGACAGTGTGTTCCGTGTTGCATGAGAAATTGCATTTTTTGTGTTTTTCATATCCACCATCCAGTCATCATCATCATCGGCAACGATCTATCCACAACTGGATTGAAGACCTCCTCCCTAAGTCGCCACCATCCCTCGCGGTCTCGCGAAGCAACAATTGGGCTAGCGCAGGGGTCGGCTAGCTGCGCCTCCGTAGCCTCATGCGGCTCTTTAATTACTACTTTGTGACAGTAATTTATTAAGTTCAACCACCGTATCATGGAACCTTTTTGCCAGTAAACCTATTCCTATTATGAAAATAATAGGAATAGGTTTCACCCTTTCTGGCAATGAAGGAGGAGGTGTTAAGATGTTCAAACACCAAATATATACCTTTGCCAGGGAATCAAGTCTGCATTGACCACACACAGTGATTGTGGTGAACAAACATGCTCTGATAATTACGGATGCATTGTCTTTGAAACTGATTGGCCTACAGCAGAGACGGTCTTCTTTATGGTCTTGACTCACCGCCAGTGTCAAATCAGAGAACAACACTAAAAGGCGAACAGTTCAAAGACAATGGACGTATCAGTGCACTTATAGCTCGGGGCGAGCCGCTATATCATGTGACCCTTTTTAGCAGTATCAAAATATGAAAAAAATAAGAAGAGGTTTTACCCTTTTCTGGCAATAAAAAAAACACACAGGCGTTAAGATGTTAACCACCGTCTCATATTCACATGCTCTTGGAGTACGGTATTGAGTTGTTTGACTGAATTCTGATCTAACGGCGTGCACATGAGTTGATCCCGTTGCGCAATCTCCGCTGGGTGGGGGGGGGCACGTTCACCCCGGGGGCTGCCGTCTCGTCATCAGTCTTGACCACCGGCCATCGTCCCTTCCAGCTGCACCTCCTGCCGGAGCCAAATTGCTTTTCCCGTTCACTTTGAACGTCTTCCATTTGATGTTAGTTTTTTTTTTATCCGCATTGTTTTAAGTGCGAGATATCAAGATGCTATACAGGAGAGTGGGGACGGGGGGGGGGGGAACAAACTGAAAAAGAACTTTGATGGGAGAGTAGGGGTAGCTTTGTGACGAAGATGATGATGACAAGCAGGGGCGGAGCCAGGGGGGGTGACAGGGGTGACATTCTGCGTATAAGTGTACGACACTCGGTCTGGCGGACTCCGTGCAACTGCAATGTCAGAGTGTGTCGCCAACCGATGGCGTCTAGTTCAACAGCCTGACTCTCTAAATCATTCTTGAAATTAACATTTGTTGAATGTCACCCCGGCCTGAAATCCTGGCTCCGCCCCTGACGACAAGGCTCCAGCAGAGTAAGAATAGGCGATACGGCTTTTGTTGGGAAGGGATTCTTAAGCGGAGGAGGAGGAGGTCTCGAAGAGAAGGACAACGTCGAAAACGCAGACACAGCGGCAGGAGTTGCAGACATCAAAGGCGGCAATGGGTGCAGGAGGTGCCTACATTAAGTGGAGGTTGCATGTTGACGAGCCGTGTAGTGATAGTGGTACACCGATTCACCATTTATCAGTTATTACTTCTACAATGCATGCATCGAATTGATGAAAATGAAATGCATACTCTTCGTTTCTTTCGGCAAAGTCACTTAGGTAGACAAAAAAATAGATCACGACGTTTCGATAGCAACACAAGCCATCGTCCTCAGGTGAAACAATACAGCAGGCGGACTGCTGAGGCAGGAGAGAATCTCCTCGACCGAGAGGAAGCCCAGGACCGGTTCAGATAACCGTTACTGGCGTCGGCCGTGAGCGGGAATCGAACTCGGGTCGCCAGGTTCGTAGCGCAGCGTGCTAACCGCTCCGCCACCGCTCCCCACGACACAGGCACACAGACACAACACAACTGGCCAAGGTCACGTGTGCACGGTTAAGCACAGCACCACATTAAACAATACCAACTGCAACGATTTACCGCCGCTGCCCCCCCACCTCACCCACTGATTTGGATGAATTGTCACCTCGTTGTTATTGTGAGAAGATTAAATGATTGAAAATTGCCTCGGCAGTCCGCCTGCTGTATTGTTTCACCTGAGGACGACATCGAAACGTCGCGATCTATTATTTTGTCTACATACGTGACTTTACCGAAAGAACCAAAGAGTATGGATTCCTGCAGTCACGAAAGCTTCAAATCAAGAATGAACTGTATGTCAAGTGCTTAAATACATACACATGCTATGTTCGTGCCACATTTCCAATGAGCGAAGATAAAAAAAAAAAACCGATAGCACAGATGAGACCGTTCAAATAAAACACAATTTTCAATCATTTAATCTTCTCACAATAACAATGAAGTGCACACGCGCGCGTGACCTTGGCCAGTTGTGTTGTGTCTGTGTGTCTGTGTAGTGGGGAGCGGTGGCGGAGCAGTTAGCACGCTGCGCTCTGAACCTGGCGACCCGAGTTCGATTCCCGCTCACGGCCGACACTAGTGACGATTATCTGAACCGGTCCTGGGCTTCCTCTAGGTCGACTCAACCTCAAATGAGTGCAATATGGGACCTATCAAATGAGTACCTGGTGCGGTGTGTAAACACAGCCACTGGGGAGACAAAGGCGGCCGGGCGTGTTGTTGGCCACCCACCCCCTCGTGTGCCGTGCCGGACTTCATAGTTGCTCACGAACAGCACTTGCCCCAACACCGTTTAGGCTATGTGGGGGATCTTTGTCTTTATGCGTGTTACGGTGGTGGCACGGCGCCCTCTCAGCACCCAGGGGGCACGGCCGTCCTGCTGGACCGCGGAGGCCAGGACGCCACCAACGTGTTTGAGGACGAGGGCCACACGCTGGACGCGCGCGAGCTCGCCAAGGGATTCGTCGTCGGCAAGGTTCACCCGGTGAGCGACTTGCGCGGGCGTCGATGAGCGGTAAAGCGTAAACAAAAATAAAATAAAATCGTTAGATCGAAAATAAAATCCACGCGCTCGCTCGTCGGTCTCGACGTGGTCTCGCCCAGCCTGTGCTTCCGTTAAGCTCCCAACGAATGCGCCTGCTACGTCCCAAACTGCGCCACAAATGAACCCGCAATACCTTGCTGATCCTGTCAAAGGAGCACAAACCATCACGCATACTCCGGTCATCTTCGCAGCCGCGCCTTTTGGCTGTCCATCGACGCTTCTGCGACCGTCTGGAACGCTCTTTCTTCCGACATTAGCATGCAAAAGTGCATTGGTTGATTGAAAACTTATTTCTTTACAACAGCTTTGTGTTTGGTTTGTTGCCCTTCCCCCGCACCTCCGATTAGCACGGTTGGCTACGTACGGTGCGAAATAAGTTCAACATACTTACAACTACAGCGCAGCGCTTAACATTCCATTTTATTTCATTAGAATGTACGCATCCCATTTGAATTCAATTTCCCCGGTAATTGTTTTGTGTACAGAAAGACCTAAAAATCCTGGAGAAGGACCGAGCCGTCGGTTTGAAAGAATTCAAGGTAAAACCAGCGAGCACCAATTCAGCATTATATATATCTACTGTATATAATAGATGACATTTCTGGCATTGGCCCTTCTTGATAGCAAATATTTTCATCAAAAGGCCATTGCCCCAAATACATGGCATATTATATATATTTAAAAATACTTTTAAGGCAGTGTTATTGACGAATGTGTTGAGTTTTTTTGTTATTTGTGCTTATGCACCGCTGCCAAAGCAGTGTCACAAAATACCTTATTTTATTCACGAATATAGTCTTCTTATTCATCTTCGTCAGGTCACCAATCAACCCCACATGTGATTAATGGAAGCACAAACCTGCCATTATTGCTTGCTGCGGTGTGCTCAACGTTCTCAGATGCCTTCACGTTTTGGTAGCAGATGAGGCGAATGTTGTCTCAGATTTCATACAATACACTTATGGGACTATTGATCGTCGTCATCGTTGAGTACATGCCACGGCCAGGGTGATCTCATTTGTTTTCACCTGCATCTGCCCCCCCCACCCACAGGCAGACAATGTTGTACAACAAGAGTCAAGGTATGAGTTTAAAAGACACTAAGTACTTTTGTTGCCATGTGCGTGACGTGTCAGGCTATTAAAAAAAACCCTTCAGTGTTCTTAGCCAGTGTGTGGTAATAGCGCCATTTCATTTACATCACGTGCTTTGTATCAAAATTAGCGCCCCACTCGCAAAGATTCTGACCATGCCTTTCATCTCGTGGGACAGCAACAAGGTTAAATAAAACAAAGTTTTTTAAAACCGTTTTGATTCCATTGCATGCTGGGACACTTTTTTGTTCAGAATACCCTACTTCGTGTCATCAGTAACTGTTGGTAATTTATAGACGGCGCACTATGGCCAGCTCCTGTCATATGATGTGATCTCTTAATGTCTGCAGGCAAAGACACACGCGCATGCTTTAGCTGTGAGTCTCCATCACGGTAGCGTACGGTATTGTGAAGCGTTATAAACTAACAACCTGAGATCGATTCCTGGCCATGGCTCACAGCAGTCGAAAGTTAAACCCTCAACCGGTCTTGGGCCCCTTCATGATTCCACACTGACCAACGTGGCGTGAGAAGGTCATCATCCAGCAGTGGATTAACACAGGGCTGTAAGATCAAGTTGCATTTTTGTATCCGTTTTGTACAATGCATGTGGTCGAACACTCGTCCGTTTTGTTTGTCATTTTATTCTTCGCCACAATTTGCAAAACTGCACACAATATATTTTGCACAATTCTGCTCTACGGTAAGGATACATGGTACAATAAGTGTCACTCCACTGCTGGATGAAGGCCCTTTGCGTCATTGGGATTGTGCCATGTGGGTGGGGGGTGGGGTTTGTCAGGATTTATGATTTAAGTATCTGAACCTGCTGTTAGTGACTTGCACTGTAATACCACCTAGTGGAATATTTCAGTAGTACAGTTGCTGTGTTTCTTTAGATAACTTGCTGATGAGATACCAAAGTTATTATTTTCTGCTAAGCTGGGTTTGCATTCGTTCAGATTAAGCTGTTGAAGGACGATACTTATCATATGGATAACCTATACGTGGTATTTAGGTTTATACATAAACAGGCTGTTAAAATATGACTCCAAAAAAGTAACGTATTTACTCTGTCGCCTTCGTACTTGGCAGAGTTAACAACATTTTTTTAAATTTTGCTCTTCCCCCCCCCATTTCAAACAACGTAACTTTGAGGAACCTCCTCGTGATCCCCACAGGCCTCAACGATCTTAATGGGAGTAAGGCAACCTCCTCTGAAAGACTTTGTGCTCTTAACATTTTACATTAATTCGTGTCTACATACACAGATACTACTACGCTATTGCTCGTGCGCATTTTTTGTACATGCATTTTGTTTCTTAGTTCATGCCTAGTTAGCCTAGTGTGGTCTTCCGAGTTAGGCCGCACTACTACAGGTGCCTTCCGCAGGCGTGTGACTGCAAACACCTTAGTGCCAAATGTGCTTGAATCTGCCAAACAGTTGAATTATTTCGATTTAAAGCTTTCGTGACTGCAAGGATTCATCTTCTTTGGTTCTTTCGGTAAAGTCACGTAGAATGAGAATAAAATAATAAAATAAAACAATAAAATTCTCACGACGTTTCGGCCACAACATTGTAGCTCTGTCGACCCAACAGGTTGTTCCTTTCACCTGAAGAAGGCCACTTGTGTTGTGGCCGAAACGTCGTGAAAATTTTATTGTTTTATTTTATTATTTTATTCTCATTCTACGTGACTTTACCGAAAGAACCAAAGAAGTTGAATTATTCGTACCTTCACCTACCAATCATTATATCCGCTGTCATGGAAATGTGGAATTTCCCACCACTCGCGTTGCCGGGGGTGGCAATGACTGGTTACTGATGAGCGAGGTGACGAACGGGTAGGGGAAGTTGGGCAGGGGGATGGTGGAGTTAATGATGGGGAAGGGAGGGGGAGTTGGGGTAAAGCGAGGGATAATCAGTGAGTGAGTTTTAAGGGAAGAACGAAAGATCGACGGTGAGGCTGATTGTTTGACATGTGGGAGGTAGTTTGTTCCAGTGTAAAGGGGTCGAAAGTGAGAAAGAACGGCATCGTGATTGGGCACAGGGAGGAGGAACAGAGACAGCTGGGCTGGGATTGTTGTGAACGAAGAGGGCGAGAAGGGGCATCGGGTGAAACAGGGTAATCGAGATAAGTTGGGGCGAGACCACGGGAGAGATTTGTAAACGAGGGGACCTGTCTGGTGTGACCCTCCCCGCCGCCCCCCACCCCCTCTCCGTGTGCGGTGCAGGGCGTTCCCTGGGTGGGTGATCCCCTCGCTGCTGGTGCTCTTCATCTCCATGCTGTTCCTGTGGCTGGTGCCGAATCTCTCCACTTCGGAGGCAGAGCCGGAGCAGTAGTGAATCCTGCATCGCTCGCTCCCCGTGCTCGGTGACCTCCCCAGATAGTGAAAATCCGCCGCCGTACCCAGTGCCGGATTAAGCTAGTGCGGGGCCTGTAGTATATGTTATAGAGGGGCCCTAAATTAAAAAAAATAAAAACACGTAAATATTAAAACGCATACATTTTTAACTTGCATAGTAAAGTAATTGTATTTTTTTAATTTGCTATACAGCCAGGTAATACGACAAATCGCTAACCTTAAACACCCAGTCGTTCATAAGAGTTGAAGGCAGTATAGTACTATAGTAATAGAGCGAGTGCAGAATCACTGAACCGGAATTAATAGCTTGAATGCATTTAGCGCGGGGCCCTTTAAAGTACGGGGCCCGTAGCCATTAGCTGATTTTGCTACTAGGATAATCCGGCACTGGCCATACCATGACCTCTGTCTCACGTGTGGAAACCAACGGCAGCCTCTTGTTACTGAAGCCGTGTGCTCAGAAATGGCCTTAACCATTGTCGAGGCTGTTGTGATGGGTTATTTTTATAAGGTGGTTGTGCCATACGGGTGGCAGGATGCCTTCATTAATATCGATTTTCATCATCAAGCGCACGACACATGCATTGAATTGCGTGTATCAAAATCTATATTTTTAGATGAGAATGTCGTATTTAATTTGTTCACATCTCGGCTGCTGCCACGAGAGGCACTATCATTCACTGCCAGATTAAACAATATAATGTAATCTATATACATTCTGAAGTAATTGGTGGCGAGATTAATTATACAACCCGTAGTGCTGTGTATACTAATAACTATTGGGTTGCGATTGTTCTATTGTTGTTCTTTGCTGTTAAGGTTTTCACTTATATCTGTTGTGACAGTTTGTCAATTTATAGTGTGGAACATTGCAGCGATGTTGTACGGTAAAAAATAAGTTGTACCAGAGAAATGTTTTGTGTATTAATCATGTTTATGGATGCTTCATGATGACAACAATGCACGATAAATCATTTTGCAATGGAACGTAAAATCAGAATGCGGATAAATTGATGTGTTAATTGTAAAGAAAACCATGCACCGAATAACAGCGTCTTGGTTTGAACAAATATTCAGTCTGAAGCCAATACGGTTTATTACAAATTGAATGAATGAACAGTGGGGGAGATGTATATGCGGATGGGATACTCGGTGACCTTGAACGTACGTCTTAATTTGTACTGTTACCATTTATAAAGGTGTAATGCGTGTCCAAGGAAACATGTTGAAGTAGAAAAAAAATCACTTTTGGAAAGCATTGGAATAAAAATGTCACAAACATCACGATATCAGTGTTATATATTTGTACCTATTTAAAAATCCTATACTCGGTTACCAGCTTAAATCCTATGATGTACTAATCACTAATCGGCCTACGTTATGACCGACTCTAGATCGGTTTATTTGCAAAAGTAACATGTTATTGCGATATAGGTCATGTAAAATAAGATAAGTAAAGGTGTAGGAATCGGAAAGTCAATCCACAGACCAAGCCAAGAAAGAAACCCCACTTTACTCTGGGATTTATGCTGGATGAGAGTACAGATTCAACTAGAGCAGACTAAATTAGGTTAAAACTACATCTGCATATTTCATAAAATGCGTGCCAAAATTCTGCAGTCCACAGGCAAAGTGACAGTAAATGTTTCCTTTTGCGAGAGATTGGAGCAAATGCATATCAGCCGACACAAAATTTGGGGCAATGTTGAACAATCTTTTGTGATGGTTTCAAGATCTCGGGGCCTGATTTACGTTAGCTATTTTGTCCACAAACTCTGCCACCTTTTTTGGTGGAATTGGTGGACGACTAATCGGAAGCTATGCCCAATTCGGCAGTTTGCAATTCACGGTGGAGGGGTGGCGGGCAAGGCGATTTCACATCAAAAAGAGCTTATTCTGATATTACTGTGGAAGGGGCCCGAAGTGGGTTAGGGTAAGATCGGAGTTAGGAAGGAGCCGAGTTAAGGTGGAAAATTTCCACCATCGTTGTGGCACTTGCGCTTTGTGGGGGGGGTGAGGTTTGTGGGGGGCCAGCAATGTGCAGGCGTGCGTGGTGAGCCATCTCGCCACATCATTCACGAGTGTGCTCTTCATCTCCATCCTGTGACAATTTTGTGGAATTTTGTTGCTCTTAAGACTGCGTGAGAAGTGGCAGAATGGAGGCAACGTACATGGGTGATTGTGACCGTCATCATGACGATGTTGATCATCAGCATGATAATGACGATGTTGCCAATGCTGCTAACGACGAAGACGAAGCGGAAGACGTCGTATCATCGGGAAAGCCTCACTTGAGTTTCACCTCGCCCCATGTACTGGACTGCCTCCGCCCTTCCAGCTCGAGAGTGAACCGCTACCTACGCCTGCCACACGGGGGCCCCCCACTCCCACCCAACAATTCCCCGATCCGTGCGCATCACACGTCGTACATGCACATGAAGAGGTGGCGCCCGTCGCACGAGCTGTCCCACCACGCGCCGTCGCCGATGGTGAAGCCCACGCAATTCTCGGCGCGCCCGCCGTTGGGCTGCAGCGCCGGCGGGCCGCGGTGCCAGGGAGCGTAGACGGCACGCGCCCCGTCGGCGACGTGCAGGTACACGCCCTCGAGTCGCTCGTCCGTCACGCCGATCCACACCAGCCAGTTGCCGGCGACGGCCGTCTGCGCGTAGCGAGCGAGCGCGTCGTTGGTGCCGGAGTCGCGGGCGGAGGCGAGCTGCCCGCCGCCGGCGCGGCACGCGGCCAGGGCCTCCGGGTGCGAGCGGTACTCGCGGAAGAGGAGGTAGCAGCGGCCGGCCAGGCGGCGTCCTCGCACGCAGCCTGGGGAGGGACGCGTTGGGAGCCGTGAGCGTGTGCGAGTGTAGCGGGGAGCGGTGGTGCAGCGGTTAGCGCCGCGCTGCGCTACGAACCCGGCGACCCGGGTTCGATTCCCGCTCACGGCCAACACCGGTGACGATTGTCTGAACCGGTACTGGGCCTACCCTAGGTCGACTCGGCCTAAAATGAGTACCCGGTGCGGTGTGTAAACATCGCCACTGGGGAGACAAAGGCGGTCAGGCGTGGTGCTGTCCACCCACCCCCTCGTGTACCGTTCCGGCCTTCGTAGGTGCTCGCTAACAGCACTTGCCCCTACAGTCTGTTAAGACTATATGGGGGATCTTTGTCTTTGTGTGCGCGTGGGAGCTGTAGTGCAGCAGGTAGTGCTACGTTGCGCTACGAACTCGCCGACCCCAGTTCGAGTCCTGCTCATGGCCACCACCATCCAGCCCAGAAGAATTCCCTCATCAAAACACTGCACCATAGGGCCCGTTGCATCTCCGACCAGCATCACCTAGCCAGTGAGCTGGAGCGCATACACCAAGCCCTCAGGATGAAGGGATATTCTGACCGTACAATCCGCAAAGCTGTCTCCCCAGTCATGGGGAGACAACCTTCTGAGGATCCAACCAATACCATCACTTTGCCATACATAGCAGAGGTTACCAAAAATATTTCCAAAATCTTAAAGAAACACAAGATCCAGGTTCGTTTCAACACAGTACACAAAATCCGTGATTTTATCCCATCTGTAAAGGATGTGATTCCTGATATGCAATACCCAGGTGTCTACAAGCTGAGTTGTGGCTGTGGCAGCAGTTACATTGGGGAAACGAAACGACATGTCTCGGACCGCGTTCGCGAACACATGAAGCCATCCAGATATATAAACACAGACAGTAACTTCAACCGAGAAGATGGGTACAAACTGAGCAATCATTGGAAGGACGTTATTAACCAAGTAAAGTCTTAACTGACTATGATGTTTCCATCCTACCTGCCTATGTCAGCTGTTAGTTCCGACTCTCTGTGTCTCTGCAGGGTCCCACTCTCTGCCCCGCCCCCTCTTCGCCCCTCCCCCCAGTGACTCGGGTGCTGCTGCGGGGTCCCACTCTCTGGCCCGCCCCCTCCCCTTCTCTCCCCCCCCCTACCGCCGAGGCCTACTATATAACCTCGTGCCACGGCAGTTCTCTCGCCCACTTCAGCAGTTTCTTCTTGCTGTGGTTGTCCCACCTGATGACGATTGCTTGTGTTGCGATCGAAACGTCGTGATCTATTATTTGTCTACCTACGTGACTTTACCGAAAGGACCAAAGAGTGTGCAACCAATCTCAATTATTATTATTTTAATATATACTGAGCACGCCTACCTACCGAAGCCTTTTGACAATTGAGGAGGAAGGGGAGGAGGAGAAAAAAACCAGAGAACCACCAAGAAAAAAAACCGATTGTAACCCGTCAAGGCAGTGACAAAGAACTGACCCACGAGACGTCCGATCTCGCGCTCGTGCCTGGCGGAGAGCGACGTGACGTTGGCGAGACCGCCGTCGAGCTCGCTCAGCTCGGCGCTGGCTCGCTTGGCGCGCCTCTCCGCGTCCTCCAGACGCGCCTCGAGGCGACGCACGACGGCGCTCAGCTTCGGCAGCTCTCGCTCCTGATGCTGCAGTCGCTGGTCTGCAAAGGCGGGGCGGGGAGGGGCAGCAACATCAAAGAATAAACTCCCTTCAAATAACGTAGAATGAGAGTCAAATAATTAATTGATAAAATAAAATAACACAATAATATTCTCACGACGTTTCGGCCACAACACAAGCGGCCTTCATCAGGTGAAGGGACGAGACTGTCTGGAGGACTCCAGCTTGTGTTGTGGCCGAAACGCCGTGAGAATATTATTGTGTTATTTTATTTTATCAATTAATTATTTTATTCTCATTCTACGTGACTTTACCGAAAGAACTAAAGAAGATGAATCCTTGCAGTCACGAAAGCTTTAAATCAAAATTCCCTTCAAATAAGTAAAAAAAAACAACGGATTTATTAACAACTTCGTTTAACTCACGGTCGAGAAGTAACGTCGATGATGCGGCGCCTGTTCCCACATCAACGCTTATCTTGAATTAGTTGATTACTTTATAAATTAATCTTCAATGTACAACTTTTGTTTGTGTTGGAGTGAGGGTGCCCGTAACTCGTTGACACGGAGCGTGCGCGCCTGAGACACGCGGCGCTTGCTTCTTGGGCGAGGTGATTCCAGAGTTTGGGGACTGCGGCGTTTTTGACTTACACGCAAATATATAAATAAATAACTAGCTTTCCTACCCGGCTCCGCCCGGGACTTGGATTCACCACGCCCAGCCGCCTTTGTCTCCCCAGTGGCGATGTTCTACACACCACACCAGTTACTCGTTTGAGGCTGAGTCGACCTAGGGGAGGCCCAGGACCGGTTCAAATAATCGCCACCGGTGGTGGCCGTGAAGCGGGAATCGAACCCGGGTCGCCAGGTTCATAGCGCGGCGCGCTAACCACTACACTATAATGCGTTACGCCTCCACGTGCGTGGGTCACGTGACAGATTTGACGTCACAGCTCACTTGCCGTGCAAAAAATCTATGCATAATTGAGCTCCCCACCCCCCCAAAAGTGTATTTTTATAATTTTCGCATGGTGTAAAGTATGGAAAGTACCCACGTGGTAAATTTCAAGTTTGTTGCATGTCGGGAAGTACGCTAAACATTTTGAACAGACACACATAATCACAACTTTGCCTTTTAAATATGGAGATAAGGCGTCCATAAAAAAAACATGTAATTTGCTTTAAAGTAGCGAATCAATTGATTAATTGAGGCAGATTTTGATACAGGCATGCATTGTCACCGGATCTGAGTATGTGTGCAAAATTTGGAATTGATTGGACAACGGGAAGTGGACGAAATGTAGATTACAAGATTTGACCACGACACAGGAATCAAGTTAAGTAAAACCGTTGAAAAATATCCGCACTACGCCCACGCCAGTCTTCCGGTTGGTCTCTTGTGTAAGCTCTTGCAATGGGTGTGATCTGCGTACGACAACTGTCCGGGATAAAACTGGGGTTTTTGTTCTTGTTGTTGTTGTTTCTTCTCTCGGGTGAGATGGCGTTAAGTATAAATGCGTCGTGGAACTCGCCCTCACCAGCCGACGCAGCCAACCAAGTAAGGTTTGTCACGGAAACGTAACGTGCCAACCACCAGTTACTACTTCAGCACACCGGTGCGTTGGAGAGTAAACCCCACGACATTTACAATTCGAGAACGATGTTTTGCTGGTGATTACAACCAGCTTCATCAGGCGATTAGCCAAAAAAAAACATTATGATGGATAATAGTGGTTGCCAAAGCCTACGTGGTAAATATACAACAACGAACTCACATCGACAACTTTTAATTATTTCTCTAAAACTGTATAGAAGTGTTATTATTTTTAATTTAATGTGATTGCTCTTTGGGTGGCAGATTTGTGCCTGGTAGGCGTCACCTGTTAATCAAATATACATTCAGTTTACTTTGACGAATTGAATAGAGAAATGCATGAGATGGCCAGGTAGTTTCAAGAAGTCCACTTCAAAGCGCTGAGCCAGTATAACTTTGACACTGAATTTGAGTTCAATACATTTTAGAGGTATACACAATCTTCACTTTAACTGAGTCATAAGGCGCCGTTCAAAGAGGAGCAAATACATTTCGTTTATGTATTTTTAAAAGATGGGACAATCATAGGCGGGGGAGAAGAGATCTTAAGGCTGGGCCTCATAAGGGGCAGGGGAAGTCAAGAGCACGGATGGCTGGGTCGAAAAATGAAAACAGATTCTCAGCTGCAATGCGTGCTGTGTGCCTTGTGGTTCATACGCGTGTGGCTTCGATAAGGGAAGAAAAAAATCACTCCACGTACTTCTACGATCCCCACCATAAACTCGCACTGACAAGCGTTGGTGAAGTACGGTCAAATACCCGCCGCGACTCGCACAGCGTGCGGAGGCCCTCGACCGGCAGGAGATTGACAAAAAGGGCTGTACGTCTCCCACTCGTGTTGCACGTGCCACAATCCACATGCCCGTGTTGTACATCCACCGCTAATTGAGCGCATTGGCACTGGACAGAGGAAAGTGGAAACAAATGACGAAATGTTCGGTCGACACCAGCCGGGCTTATCTGCCCATGGATCGTGATGACTTCCACCTGTGGCATTGTGTGGTTGGCCGTGGCTTAGAGTGCAAACAATGAAATGGGAGTTGTTAACCCCCCACTACCCCACCCCCCCCTATTAAGGGCCGTCCATAAATGACGTCACGCACCTAGGTGGGGGAGGGGGGGTCAGACATTTGTGACGATGTGTGACGGGGGGGGGGGGTTTGAGAAATGTGACGTCACATAAAAAATGCGCAACTTTAAATAAATATAGACAACACGTTCTACTTAATTAAATATACTTTTTAATAAATGTTTTCTCCTACATCAGAGTGCAGCGCCACATTAAATACGCACTACAATGACAATAGTTTAAAGCGATTTGAAGCATGTTTACTTTTTTTGGGGGGGGGGGGGCAGAGCTTTGTGACGTCATATTTGAGGGGGGTCTGACTTTTTGTGACGCCGTGTGACGGGGGTCAAAAATCGTCCAAAATCGCGTGACGTCATTTATGGACGGCCCCTTTTAAAATTTCACTATTTTCATAACTCGGCACCCGGACTTATCCGCAGTTGCTCCAACTTCGCACTCGACAAGCTACGCCACTGCCTTCCACAGGCAAAAGAAAAGACAAAGATCCCCCGTATAGCCTTCATAGACTATAGGGGCAAGTGCTGTTAGCGAGCAGCACCTATAAAGCCCGGCACGGCCACACACAAAGGGGTGTGGGTGGCCAACACCACGCCCGGCCGCCTTTGTCTCCCCAGCGGCGATGTTTTACACATCGCACCGGGTACTGATTTGAAGGCTGAGTCGACCTAGGGGAGGCCCAGGACCGGTTCAAATAATATAGTCGTCACCGGTGTTGTCCGTGGGCGGCGATGGAACCCACACGCATGTTGCAACACAAACCCATTTTGAGGATGAGTTCGTGCAGCCACTCCGGGACGTTGCCCTCCATAGCCAAGTCCTCGACGTCTCCAGATGCCTGCCCCAGCAGCAGCAGGAGGAGCAGCAGCAGCGCCGCTCTGTGCTGTGCCTGGCCCCACATCCTTGTCTGGCGAGAACCCGCGGGAACATGAGATTTTGGCATGAATTTGCAGGTCATGCTCACCCCGTCCATAAATGACGTCACGCGATTTTGGACGATTTTTGACCCCACCCCCCCTCCCCCCCTAGTCACACGGCGTCACAAAAAGTCAGACCCCCCCCTCAAATATGACGTCACAAAGCTCTGCCCCCCCCCCCAAATATATGCTTCAAATCGCTTTAAACTATTGTCATTATAGTGCGTATTTAATGTGGCGCTGCACTCTGATATTGTAGGAGAAAACATTTATTAAAAAGTCTATTTAATTAAGTAGAACGTGTTGTCTGTATTTATTTAAAGTTGCGCATTTTGATGTGACGTCACATTTCTCAACCGCCCCCCCCCCTCGTCACACATCGTCACAAATGTCTGACCCCCCCCCCCCTAGGTGCGTGACGTCATTTATGGACGGCCCCACAGTAGAAGCAGCGGCGGCCAAATGTCAAGCGTCGCTGGAAAGACGTGTGGCTCCACAGTGGCAGACTATTGATAATAATTCATTGTAAATGCGTATTAAAGCACCGTGTTTGCAAACAGCAGCAGCAATTGTTTCATGACCGCTGATGAGACCCAGCAGGTCGAAACTTTTGGGGCGGAACGATATTTGTTCTTAAGCTCGCGACACTTGCACACCTGTTGTATATGCAGGAATGAGTTTACGTGATAACAGCTGCCACTAAAGGAGCTGCCATTTACAGCATTCGGAGTATTCCACGCCGAGTTGAGTTAACAAAGAGCTCGCTTGTTGCAATATATTCTACTGGATAACATTATTTACAGTATGGTCGTCGAATATGCTGATGTACTAATATAGTGTAATTCTAACTGTATATAATTATGACGTGCAACAATGTAAGTATTGGTAAATTAATTTTAATACGCCATGGCTGGGTGTCAATTCTGGGAGAGTTTCATGGATTTCTTTAGCGAGGACATTTATTTTACATGCTCTGAAGATTCATTCAGTCTTTGCCGGACAAAAAAAACCCCAACGTACAACATTGGAAGGCTGTTGGGAGAAATATGGTTCCACTTACACCATTACTTGTGAAAGTAAAATCTTGGCATTTGACTGATACGCTGGGTACTTGGTGCGTGTGGAGTTGTTATTTGTGTATTCTACACTTGTGATAAACACATGTACCAAAACAACGTATTATTATACGCCGCAGTTATTGCCAAAAAATATTAAGACTTTGCATAAAATGACTTGCAGTGACTCATTTCCAGTACAGTATAAACGTGGCACTGTACTGTAGTTTTAAGCGACGCACGTGGATCTTAACATTGGTTGTAGATGTTGTTTTCTGACTTTGTACACTCGTTTAAAAGCACCAAATTATTGTTGTTGTGGCATTACAACTTAAATCTGATTTTCAAACCCTTTAGCATTTGTCTATTCCTGTAGAGCGTCTATCATTATTGAACGGTTATAGCCTACTCAGTCATTCACCGTCTTGCTAATAGAGAGACAGTATAGTCGACAGCATACTGGATATCTGTGAAAAAGAGCTTAATACCTTATCGGATTCGCCCAGTCTAAGTAAAGATTCTGGTATGCCTACATTATTGGGAATCCTATATCATTATCATCATCAGCATCAGTCTTTATGTGTCCACTTAATGTATCCACTGGATACATGAAGGCATTTTCACGTTGTCACCATCCCTCAGGGTCCGTTTTTGATCTGTTTGTCCTCTGAGGTGTATTCTCGCCTTAAGCTGCCACTCCAACACAAGTCTCATCCATTAGCTATCATCCCTTCGAGTAATGTTTCTCCGATTTTTTTTTATTCTACCAGGTAAGGCCCACTGAGCTATGTAGCTTTTTTTCAAAAGCGCTTTGGCCATAAATGGTAAGGTCAACGAAATGTCTTTTCACGTTGGACATTTACAGCAGCCTAAAATACTCGAAACGCATGTTTCAAAATGTGGAGGGAAAAAACCGGAGGACCTGGAGAAAAATCCACACGAGCATGGGGAGAATATGCAAACTCCAAATATAGAGGCGTCAGGGTGACAATCCAACCCACGACCTTCTGAATACCAGGCGAGGTAGCTAACATCTCCCCACCATGGGACCACAAAGCTTGCATATTTTTGTTAGACATTCAATGGTATGTCTATGATTTGTTTGTTCACCAATCTAGGTGTGTTTTTCTCTTTCCTTGGGCAAGAAGTTTAATTTTCGAGAAATGCATTACGTATAAAAACATAGGGTACGTGAATGATGCCACATTCTTACAGATTTATTATGCTGCAGGTTTACAGTCCTTGTAGTCTACTAAATGTTCACTTCACCCTTGAGGAGCCAACCAGGGGTGTAGAATGTGAAACACACACACACACATCTGTTTTCACTTGAATGCGCCTGTTTTCAGACATTCTGGAAAGTAAATTTAAGCATACCACGGTCGTTCAAAGAAACTCCACAGACATAAGTCACACTTTACAAAAGAACATGCAGGAGCGGTAACATTTACTCCGCTGTTTGAGCGTCTATCAAAACGCTTTCCTAAAATCAACACCATATATATATTGGAACGAATAGTGTACCCAGTTATGTATAAATATCCAGAGTAATTTAATATTTTTCATATGCCCTTTCCGTCATGTAATATGTGGACTCAGGAAATTGCGAGTGCTTGCATTAGGGTTGGATGAAGCATATGGTGCAGTGTTGACCCTGAATGTGTGTGATTCAGCTATGCGTGCTTCATGGAAAATGTCCCATTTCTGCGGCACAGTGGAGGTTTGTCTTGAGATGCCAGAATACACAGCACACTGATGGCTCACAGCGCTGATACATACTCAGATTCTGTACATTCATGCACCGTTACACCGCATGAACAATTCGATTGTGTAGGGTACAGTAGAAATAATTATTGTTTATAGCCCAAAACATCAAACACATCACCGGACGAGTTCGCCATCCACGCAAAACCCCGGCGGTATCGCTGCAAATCCATACATCCTCTACTGCCGCCTTGCATTGGTTGAAGGACCTTAACATTCAACTGTGACACCGATACTACAGGTTGCTTTCTGCTCTCATCCACCTCCCCATGCCTTACGAAAGAAGAAGAATAATTGTCAGCCCTTTGTCAAGGTGTGTAGGTCATGTGGCTTGTTTGACAGTGCTGTTGTGTTTGTTTTGTGACCCACGGAAGCAAACACCGGTTCGGACATCAATGGGCCAGCGATGTTAGCCAGGAATCCCGATGTTAGCCAGGAATCCCTGGTTCCGTACGCGTCCAATTCAAAGGACGGTACAGTATGTATAATTCAAACAGCGTTGCGTATTTTTTTCAAAAATATAGAGAATGCAACGTTGAATGACTTTTGCTTCACATATTGGCTTACTTTAACCGAGTTATGGAACCCTTAGTGATACTCTGCATATTGCAGGAAACATCTGGATAATTGAAAGCTACACTCCTTAGTCATGTATATTACAAATTCATGTACTCTTTAAGTTTAAATACTGCAACAAATATAACACATTACGGTAGAATGTTGCTTTGTTTACAGTAGCAAACAATTTCTGCATGCACAATTTGTAAACAGTCAATTACGTGATTATACGTGGATGTGTAAACATGCACTAATGAGTGCGTATATAAATGTAAACAAAAGAGTTCAAACAGGCAATAGACACATGCACATATAAACACTATGCGTGTCCAATAGCCATGCAATATAGTAGTAGTCGTTGCATGCATAAGTCACGTTGAGGGCATGCATAGTTCACCCAAGAAAAATCTTCCTTGACACTGCTGCTGCTGCTGTCTTGCTGATGTGAATCCTGCTATTCCTGTTGCTGTTATACTCGTGTTGCTGTTGTTGATAATGCTCCTCTGCTACTAATGTTTGCTCTTGCTGCTGCCGTCTGCTGCTGCTGCTTCCACTGCTGCTGAATGAATGAATGGGAAATGCTCCACCCAGCTGAGTAATCCCACGCCCAGCGAGTCTCCTCCCTAGCCAGAGGACAGCCAAACGTTGACCGCCCTCCAAGTGGCACCGCTTTCAGCAGGGGAAATGACGCCGAGAATAAACGATTATTAATACGGCGGGCGCGTTTTACGGAACGCTTGCTTCGGTCTGCTCGGTGTTGGGGGGTTTTCGACTTAAGGCACCACCACCACCATCATCACCACCACCATCATCACCACCACCACCATCATCACCACCACCAGCACCACGAGAGTGCACGGTGCTTTAGCATCAGTCGATATCAGGGGTCGGCAACCTGCGGAGCTGGGCCGAGTGACGCTCTTTCTTTGGCCCTTTTGGCTGTCCCCCTTTGCGGGCAGCCGTTCGAAACAACAACAACAAAACCTCTTAAACATAATTTAATGTATGGATAAAGTATTAAATATGGCAGGGAATGGGACACCGTGGAATGTCTTGGTGACAACAAAATGTACAGTCAACTGTATGGTTAAAGAGGAACTAAGGTGGGACAACACGAAATGGACCCAGTTTATTCAATGATAAAAACAAATGTCAAGTCACAATGTGTTTGTCAATCTGCTGTATTGCTGCTGTGTTTGCGTTTCCAAGTAGCTCTACGTGTGATTCGGCTCTCGAATTATTTTGGTCAAAGACAAAAAAATAGTTCTTCATCTTTGAAAGATTGCCAGGCTAGGCCTAGCCCCCTATCTGGTTATGTTCGATTACAAATTTCCTAGTTCTTCATCTTTGAAAGATTGCCAGGCTAGGCCTAGCCCCCTATCTGGTTATGTTCGATTACAAATTTCCTATGCAGGATACAGTAATCCTATGATGTAGGTGGCGTGGGCAAAATAATCCCTGGCATTATAAAGGGGCATTCGTATGTTACATATACACCACGCTATATAGTGTGTGTATGAAGTCAGAGCAACTGTGCATTTTCATATGGGGCCGTCCATAAATGACGTCACGCACCTAGGGGGGAGGGTTGAGAAATGTGACAACACGTTCTACTTAATTAAATAGACTTTTTCTTAATCAAATATACTTTTTCTTATGTTTCTCCTACATCATCAGAGTGCAGCGCCACATTAAATACGCACGACAATAACAATAGTTTAAAGCGATTTGAAACATGTTTTATTTGGGGGGGAGGGCAGAGCTTTGTGACGTCATATTTGAGGGGGGATCTGACTTTTTGTGACGCCGTGGTGTGACGAGGGGGGGGGGGGTCAAAAATCGTCCAAAATCGCGTGACGTCATTTATGGACGGCCCCAAACCCCCCTCTTGTTCAAACCAACAATGGTCGGGGATGGTTCTGAAAAATCGAAATTCTGACCACCCTTGACATCGCGTTCCATTTGCTGTTACACTGCGACAGACAGTCTCACTGTTTACTTCACAGGGGTGCTTCGTCACTGCGTGTGTAATAAAGTAGTTAATATCGGGAAGCCACTGGAGCCTTAGACTTTTAAATCTAGATTGAAAACTCATGTCGCTAGAACTGCCTTTTGTTTTTAGGGGCCGTCCATAAATGACGTCACACGATTTGGGACGATTTTTGACCCCCCCCCCCCCGCGTTACAAAAAGTAAAACCACCCTCAAATATGACGTCACAAAGCTCTGCCCCCCCCCCCACAATTTTTTTTTTTATAAAACATGCTCCAAATCGATTTAAACTATTGTCATTGTAGTGCGTATTTAATGTGCCGCTGCACTCTGATGATGTAGGAGAAAACATTTATTGAAAAGTCTTATTTAATTAAGTAAAACGTGTTGTCTATATTTATTAAAAGTTGTGCATTTTGATGTGACGTCATATTTCTCACCCCCCCCCCCCCCGCGTCACACATCGTCACAAATGTCTCACCCCCCCCCCACCCCCCAGGTGCGTGACGTCATTTATGGACGGCCCCTTAGTTTGTTGTCCTTCCCTCCCCACACCTCCGATTAGCACGGCTGGCTACGTACGGTGCGAAAGAAGTTCAACAATACATCCGTTAACACACGGGCGCCAAAGTTCTCACGAATGATGCAACCGCGTGTCAAGTGTCAATCAAGTGACGTCACGAGCCCCCCCACCACCCCCTCCACCACTAAGACAACTTTGTCCGGAATATTGACATTTCGGTGACGATCTTCGTGAAGCTAATTATTTTTTTTACAAAGAACCAATTAAACAACCAATTAGTTTTTTTTGTTTTGTTTAAAAAGGCGGCATCCCGTAACTACGCGGAAGCGGAAACTCCAAGTGAGGGGGTCAAAGGTCGCGAACAATGGCGGACGTGCACGAGAGTGGAGTGGCCTCTGCGGTGGCAGACGGAGAGAAACTCAGCAAAAAGTAAGGGCCTACCTACCACACCATCATACTCACCACACTCACCATACTCACTCACCACACTCACCATACTCACCACACTCACTCACCATACTCACTCACCACACTCACCACACCACCATACTCACCACACCACCATACTCACCACACTCACCATACTCACTCACCATACTCACCATATTCACCACACTCACTCACCATACTCACCACACTCACCATATTCACCATACACACTCACCATACTCACTCACCACACTCACTCACCATACTCACCATACTCACCACACTCACCATACTCACCACACCACCATACTCACCACCCCACCATACTCACCACACCACCATACTCACCACACTCACTCACCACTCTCACCACACTCACTCACCATACTCACCACACTCACCATACCACACTCACCATACTCAACACACCACTCACCACACTCACCACACCCACCACACCACCGTACTCACCACACTCACCGTCCCCACCACACCCACCGTCCCCACCACACCCACCATACTCACCATACTCACCACACTCACCATACCACTCACCACACTCACCATACCACACCACCGTACCCACCACACCACCGTGCCCACCACACCACCGTACCCACCACACTCACCGTACCCACCACACTCACCGTACCCACCACACTCACCATACCACTCACCACACTCACCATACCACACCACCGTACCCACCACACCACCGTGCCCACCACACCACCGTACCCACCACACTCACCGTACCCACCACACTCACCGTACCCACCACACCACCACACTCACCGTACCCACCACACCACCACACTCACCGTACCCACCACACCACCACACCACCCGGCCGAGACGCTTGAGTGACAGAAACCCCCGAAACGCGCGTGCAGCTCTCGCTGCATCGCGAGCGTGGCGAGTGTTTGCAACGCGCTGCGGGTTGCATCATTCGTCATTTCGATTTAAAGCTTTCGTGACTGAAGGGATTCATCTTCTTGGTTCTTTCGGTAAAGTCACGTAGAATGGAAATAAAATAATAAAAGTATAACAATAATTTTTATTTTATTATGTTTTATTTTTATTATTTTATTTTCATTCTACGTGATGACCAGTTCTAGTTTGGGGTGGGTGGGTTTTTTTCTTTTTTCACACAAAGACAAAGACTGTAGGGTCAAGTGCTGTTAGCGAGCACCAATGAAGGCCAGTACGGTACACGAGGGGGTGGGTGGTCAGCACCACGCCCGACCGCCTTTGTCTCCCCTAGTGGCTGTGTTTACACGCCGCACCAGGCACTCCATTCGAGGCTGAGTCGACCTCGGGGAGGCCCAGGAACGGTTCAGATAATCGTCACCGGTGTTGGCCGTGAGCGGGACTCGAACTCGGGTCGCCGGGTTCGTAGCGCAGCGTGGCGCTAACCGCTGCACCACCGCTCGAACACCGAACAAAGTGGCGGTGTCATTTAACGCCGTAAAACACGAGCGTGTGAGCGCCGGGTGAAGCCCAATTCGAGGGTGGTGCTAGTTAGATTTTACGGTTCCTCGTTGGGGGATGCGGCCATGGTAATGTGGAATCGACAACATAAGTTGTCTTTCGGGGGGGAAGCAGGGAGACACGTTGCTTTGGCCGGTGAATACGCAGTTTTTGCATTGTAGGCCATGTTCGTGATGCCCAGAAGCGCTGTCGTGCCAGAAATTGGCCCGTGAGTTGCGATTGAATGAAGTCGCGAATGGTTGTCTTATAGAAGACTTAACGCTCGCCATGGGAATGTGGAATTCCCACCCGCGCTACCTCAGGGTTGCCTGCGTAGTTGGTGCCACGACTATACACTGCCTTGAGCAGGGAGAGCAATGCCTTTGACTTGACCGCGCATATTTACGTCGAATGTCGGACGTCGTGGAGTACACACGCGTTCATGAATTCGCTCTTGCTTTGCATTGACCTGTGACACAACCACTTCGTTCGGAAGTCAATTATTGGTTCTATGGAAATATTAGCTCCCGCCCTGGGAATGTGGATTTTCCACCACTGGCTCAGATTTGAGCACCGCATTATCTGGATTTAAAAAGACAACTAAGGCAGATGCTCATTTGAGATTAGTCATGTGTTTTTTCTCTTGTTACTTCATTAACCAGGGTAATTCATCGGGACAATGGTATTCGTATTTTAAGAGTTTTAGTTTTATAGGTTTGGGCCATGACACTCGTAGTATCTAGATGGGCGCCACACTGGCGATATGTTAACTTCCTCGCTTGGTATGCAGGAGGTCGTGGCTTTGATCCCAACCCTGACGTCTGCTTATTTGGAGTTTGAATATTCTCCCCCGTGCTCGCGCGAATTGTTAATTGAAATTGGCCTCGCTTATCCCTCTCCTTTTCTTTGGTATTCGCGTCATGCTTTTTTAAAAGTTGCAAATGTCGCGTTGGTATCGTGAAGTTAAATCTTCCCAGAACATCAGTAATGGTACCCACGTATTGTGGTTTGCGAGGAACTGAAACCATTGCTCACAATTGACGAGAGACGCCATGTCATATAGCCTGACAGAAATGACTCCCCCCCCCCCCTCTCTCTCTCTTGTTTCTCCTTCACTGCTTTGGTTGATGCCCAGGTAGATAGGGCATCTGGGTAACGTGATCGCAATGCTGTCCCGGGCGGTGGGCGGCCTGTTTAGCGGGCGGTCTGGGGAGGCCGCCTGGGCGGTGTGGCGAGTGTGCGCCGGCCAGCGGTTGTCATGTACAATGGCCCCACACACGTCTGGAGGCATTAGTAAAACAAGGTGTGTGCGCCGTGCTGTATTTTCATTCTGTATGACCTTGTCACCAGAATTAAGTTCTGAATGTGGCCAGCTTCTATAAAGGAGCAGTAAATGCGCCCTATATATATTTTTTAGCAACGATACTGCTCGGGGCCCTACCTGTTCGCGAAGTAGCTAGGCGAGAGTTGCTGATAGGTATTTATTGTGTCTGGTTGTATATGACATCTTGAAAGGAATTTGTCAGTTTAAGCAATATCATTTTGGTCTACAGGTTTTTTTCCAGGTGACTATTTATTGACAACAAAATAAGCCGGTTAATGTAGATGTGGGAAATACTAAGTGATCTTTGGTGACATACATCCAATAATTTCCATCTTAATATTAAAGATTATTAATGAACGTGTTTTGTACTGGTACCAACAAACCCAAATGGATGTTGTCATTTTCGCCCTCGCAGTGAGCTGAAGAGGCGGCAAAAAGCAGCCCAGAAAGCGGCCGAGAAGGAAGCCAAGGCCCGCGAGGTGGCCGAAAAGCAGCCGGCGGAAGGTCATGGCAAGGCTGATGGGGCGGCCTCTTGTCTGCAGGAGGATGAGGAGATCCTGGACCCCAATGTAAGGTCATAGCGGTGACACCGCAAAAAAATACCAACCTTGAGTGCCCTCTTCAGTCTGCAATAGCTCTGCTTGTGCCCTCTTGGTTGAAAGATAACCCGCATTGGGTGTACTTGAAATAATTCTGTATTTAAGTTTTAATTTGTGTATTTGTAAACCAACATTACTCTCGCTTCCTGCGTGAATTCTGCTTACGTTAAACTTAAGTTTAATTTTTCTCTTTTTGGATTGTAAAATGTTTTCAACTTCCTTTTTGTGTTTGCTTTTTTTTTTTACGTGTGCAAAACACAATCAAGTCTCCTTTCCTTTTGTCCCTATTTCAACAACAACAACAACATGTTCCACTTCAAATAACAACAATTGAAATGATAATGAAAATAAATCTGTATTTTGTGCAAATCGCAACATCTCTATTGAGTTGCAGCTCGGGAATCTTGTGTATTCTCATTGGTGACTACGGTCATTGCCCGATGCGCCATCTCCACTGCAGCAATACTACAAGATCCGCACGCAGGCCGTTCAGAATATGCAGGCATCTGGAGATGACCCGTACCCACACAAGTTCCAGGTGGATCTGTCGCTCACGGAGTTTGTGGAACGCTACTCCAACCTGCAGCCTGGCGATCACCTTACAGACATCAGCCTGGCGGTCGCAGGTCAGTCGCCGCCCGCTGAGGTTTAATCACTTGCTGTGTAGACGTTGTTCTTGTGTCTAAATGTTTAGAATGAGTACGTAATGTTTAAAAAGGATAATCTTTATTTTTTTTATAAAGTGCCTTTGCATATTGAAATATCTAAAAAGTGCTGTGCATAAATAAAAATGTAAACTACACCCCCAAAGTTATACCTATGGGACCTGTTTTCCAGTGTCTAAGAAAATTAAGAATAGGTTTCACCCTTTCTGGCAATAAAACAGATGTTAAGATGTTCAAACACCAAATAGATATATTTTGCAAGGCATCAAGTCTGCATGAACCACACAGTACTTGTGGCAAAACATGCAAACAGGATCGGATGAAAATTACTCCTGAATTCCCAACTATGGGAATGGGTTTAATTACAGTACTGTCAATAAGTATGAAAACATTATTACATTCTTAATGCTGATATGAAGAATACATTAACATAATCTAAAGCTTTGTAAGATTTAACTTTCAGAAATTCAGTTTAATCTATTTTCATATGTTTATTCGGTAACAAAAAATAATAGATTACTCAACTTTATTTATGCTAAATGTGTTGTATTTTCAATAATTGTCCAGTCTACCCAAGTGCCTGGATGAATCTTCTTGGTTCTTTCGGTAAAGTCACGTAGAATGAGAATAAAACAATTAAACAAAATAAGACAATAAAGTAAAACCTAATATTCGATGCCTGAATATCATACCTTATCCCTGCTTTATTTGGCTTCTATAACATGAGCAGAAATCCGGCTGTAGTTTATCCACTGGCTGAACTTGGGAAGCATGGTCACATGAAGGTTTGGGCCTTTTGAGTTTCACGGGGAGTGACAATGTTTACGCTATTGGCCTGCAGGAAGACTCCATGCCAAGCGAGCGTCGGGGGCCAAGCTGCTGTTCTATGACCTCCGTGGCGAGGGGGTGAAACTTCAGGTCATGGCCAATGCCACGTAAGGCCCCCTCCCCTACTGCACTTCTGCCTGTATGTATGTTGAACTTATTTCGCACCATGCATAGCCAAGCGTGTTAATCAGAGGTGTGGGGGTAAGGGCAATGAATGAAACGCAAAAAGTAGTCTTAAAGAAATGAGTAAGACATTGTACTTGAGTGCTTGCGTGTACCATGCCTTGTGTAACGCTTTCAAATAGCTGGAATAATTAGATCGCTCAAACTGAAGAGTATTGGTGCTAATACATTTAATCAATAAGATATTTTAGATGTGCACCTTAAAATTTCTGGAATTTGTATATTTCACCTGAGTTAGCGTTGGTATGTTTTGCTATTTTGTTATGTCTTTTTAAGTTTAAAACAACTGCTGTGGAAATTAATTAAGTTATTTAATTGTTAGCATTCAAACAAAAAAAAATCCTGCGTCTCTTTTACTGAATATCATAGCCCTTAATGTATAAATCGTAGGCTCTCGGTTACATCAAAACTGAATGGCAGCGTTCGCTCGGACGCACTCAGATTCTACAAAACGGAAAAGGACTTCTTCCTCACCAACAACAAGCTACGGCGCGGCGACGTGGTGGGCGTGCGTGGAAATCCGGGCAAGACCAAGAAGGGGGAGCTGAGCATCGTGCCGTCCGAGATGGTGCTGCTGTCGCCCTGCCTGCACATGCTGCCACACCTGCACTTTGGCCTCAAGGACAAGGTGAGGGGGGGGGGAGGGAGGGACCCCCCCCTCCCCTGAGATATTCGAAGAAGTCTTTGAAACGTGTCCACGGTGATGGCGCTAAGCCTGGTTAAAATAACAACGGTAGTGATTTTAATCAAAGTGGCGTTTTAAGTGCAATAAGTATCATTCGACATTGTAGGAATGCACTTCACAAAACTGCATGCGTACGTTGAAAAGGTGAAACGTTTGCTGAAAAGAAAAATAATTGTTGGCTAGTGCGGCAGGAACGTGATTCTCCGTCCACGAGTCGTCGCAGCCGCCAGGTTTATAGTAATCGCAGCTCTAATTGAGAACAATATCTTGCCGCGATGGTCCACTACTTATTGCTGTCTTCACAGCTTGAAAATTGATCGGACAGTGTTATTGGTATAATGGGCCAGGACTTGCTATCCCCATCACAGCTGGCTTTGTACTGACAAAGCATTGCCTGATGAGATGAAATATTACATTTGCAGTTTAAACGTGTAGGATTTTTGCGATTAATAATATTACAATGTTGTGCCATTGGTTGCGCTTACACGTGAACGAATTGGTTAATAAAAAGCACGTGCACTCATGTCGTTGAGAATTTACAGTCGACTCGAATTAAACACATTCAATGCTTCCCCCACCACCCTCCGCAGGAGACCCGCTACCGCCAGAGATACCTTGATCTGATCCTCAACGACTACGTGCGGCAGAAATTCATCGTCCGTGCCAAGATCATCAACTACGTCCGTCACTTTCTGGACAGCCTCGGATTCCTGGAGGTGTTCAATCTACTGTCAGCTGTCATTTGAATAAACGTGACACATTTTAAGTTTTGCTTAGCTCACTTGGAGAACAGTGGTTATAGTGGCTGGTGAATGGCATTGCCATCTTGGTATTACCACCCCGATCAATTCCTGGACAGTTCCACATGCAAACATACATTAAACAAGTGCATGTGTTGTGGTTCACCCTCGGTTTTATTCAGCCTTAAAAGTAGTTCCAAATAACTTGGTGAGGCAGTGGCTGCTGAGACAAAGGCTGGCTCCACTGCTACCTCGTATGCCACTCGGACTCTCTCATAGGAGCTCGCTAACGGCAATTCCCTTATCCGCTGCAGGGGCAAGAGAGAATATTTCGCCGTTTTAATGCTGTGTGGGGGCGCATGGGGCAGGTGGAGACGCCCATGATGAACATCATTGCTGGAGGAGCAGCGGCCCGGCCATTCATCACGCACCACAACGATCTCAACATGGACCTGTACATGAGGATTGCTCCGGAGCTTTACCTCAAGGTGGATCCCACGAGGGCACGACATAGGGTTTGGAAAATTGACTCGGGCCAGCAAGTCAAAAACAATTAAAGTATTTGACTGCTAATATGATAAAGAAAAAAACAATGAGTGCTAATATGATGTTGTTGTAAAGCATTGCTCCTGAACGTGCTTGGGCTAATAAAGCTACAAAATCGTTTAATGTGCTGTAATTATTCCTGGTATACAATATACCTATACATAATGTATTCTCACACATGGAATCTAATGAGTGTCTCATGAGCAGAAACATTGTTTTTATGAAGTAGTCATTGTGTTGTAAAATGTCTACAATTTAGGAATCCAAAAAATTGCCATTAAATAAAACGAAATCCTAACCTGTCTCCTATCGTTCACCCAACCCACCACAGATGCTGGTTGTGGGTGGCATGGACCGCGTGTACGAGATCGGGCGGCAGTTCCGCAACGAGGGGATCGACCTTACGCACAACCCTGAGTTCACAACGTGCGAGTTTTACATGGCCTACGCCGACTACAACGACCTCATGGAGATCACCGAGAAGCTTCTGTCCGGTCAGCACATCACGAGCCCGGGCCCCGTACCCTCGCACGCCGCTCGCCGGCTTCACGCCTCCTCGACCTTGATCTTGCCACGTTAGTGTGTGCGCATGCGCGTGCGTAACCGTGTGCTCACATTCTCTGTGGTCTCACGCGCGCGCGTGATGCAGGCATGGTGAAGCACATCACGGGAGGTTTCAAGATCGTGCTGCACCCAGATGGTCCGGAAGGCGAGGGCGTGGAGGTGGATTTCACGCCGCCCTTCCGGCGACTCAGCTTGATCGGCGACCTGGAGCGAGTGCTGGACACCAAGCTGCCGGCTGCAGACACGCTGAGCACGGAGGGTGAGCGCAACGAGACACCGTCGCCGACACGTCTTTGTTGATGGTTTTCATGGCGAACCGTGTGGTCTTTTGGTGACATGAATAATTTGGACGCGAGTTTTACGTTTAAAAAAAAAAGCGAATTGGAAGTTTGGAGGCTGGGGGAGGCAGTCCATGGAAAAGGAGATCTGTTTAAGAGAAGGTGACATTGGCATGAGACGAAGGAACAAAGAGTTTGAGAATATAAAATACGTTAAGGAAAAGTAAAGTCATTCGGCTGACACTAATACAGATTTAGAATGTAACATTCAATTAATCTATGGTTACAACACACGTGTGTATGCAGAGGCACGCCTGGCTGTGGACAAGCTGTGTGTGGAGAAGGGGGTGGAGTGCCCAGCCCCAAGGACCATGGCCAGACTTCTCGATAAAGTGAGAACCACGCAGAAAGATACAGCAAGTTATCTTGGTTGCGTGTCTATGTGATGTGCAATTCACTGTTCATCCACAGGGCTGTGCTCATTGTTAAAAGAGGATGTTTAGAGCATTTGGCGTTAATTTACTTCCAACGGGAACTGGCAAAGTCTTACACATTGAAAAAATAGGAATAGGCTTTTCCCTTTCTGGCAATAAAACAGGTGTTAAGATGTTCAAACTCCAAATAGATACTTATTGCAAGGCATCAAGTCTGCATTAACCACACGTACTTGGAGAAAAAAACATACGTGCTCTGATAATATTACACATGTTTGATCCTGAGATTTTTAACTTATGGCATAGGTCTATTATGCACCAACGATATTGGTTGTCTCGCAAACTTTTTGATTCATTGTTCATGTGTGCTGCTTCTTCTTTGGAGTGCACTGTTCAGTTCTATCTTCTTTGGTTCTTTCGGTAAAGTCACATAGAATGAGGATAAAATAATAAAATGATAAAATAAAATAACACAATAATATTCTCACGACGTTTCGGCCACAACACAAGCGGCCTTCATCAGGTGAAGGGACGAGACTGTCTGGTAGGACAGCGCTGTCCTTCCAGACAGTCTCGTCGACAGCGCTGTCCTACCAGACAGTCTCGTCCCTTCACCTGATGAAGGCCGCTTGTGTTGTGGCCGAAACGTCGTGAGAATATTATTGTGTTATTTTATTTTATCTGGTAGGACAGTGCTGTCCTACCAGACAGTCTCGTCCCTTCACCTGATGAAGGCCGCTTGTGTTGTGGCCGAAACGTCGTGAGAATATTATTGTGTTATTTTATTTTATCATTTTATTATTTTATCCTCATTCTATGTGACTTTACCGAAAGAACCAAAGAAGATGAATCATTGCAGTCATGAAAGCTTTAAATCGAAATTTTTGTTCAGTTGTACTTATGTCCATTGGCGTGCTGGGAGCTGGTTTATTCTTGTGTGGGGTGTGGTATGATATCAGATAATAAGTGTGCATAAAGTTTAAGTATTACATGACTGACATGCATTCACTACACATATATGTACTATGATGTGTGATTATCAGTATTTCAGCATGGGGTGTTGGAAACCGATCCTTGGGTTTCTATTAAAATCTATAACTGTTGACGGTCTTTTAAATTACCATTTAAATAACTTGCACAACCGTTTTTTAAAGAAGTGCACCTTTTCAAAAGCTAACGTTTATACTTTGTGCTTGTGAAATGGTGGCCATTAGTTTTGTAACTGGACTAACAAAAACTTTTGCTGACTTTTACTCTTTAAAGTAATGGAAAGCCACTATTGACAATGTTCATTCAGAGTCGTAGTTGCTGAAGTGAAACGCCCTGCACTGCCCTAACATCGCCGTCCGCATTCCTGTTTGCCGGTAGCTGGTGGGCGAGTTTCTGGAAGTCACCTGCGTCAACCCCACCTTCATCTGTGACCATCCGCAGATCATGAGCCCCCTGGCCAAGTGGTGAGCGCTATACCATCCCCCCACCTGCACAACCCAGCAATACTGCACCCTGAGCACTGCACCTGGGCCTATGTCCAAATCGCTCTGGGAGCGTGCACCATCTTGTCGAATCTCAGGAGCTTTTGAGTATACAGTAAAACCTTGGATTGCGAGCATAATTCGTTCCGTAAACGTGTTTGTAATCCAAAGCACTCGTATATCAAAGCGAATTTCCCCATAAGAAATAATGGAAACTCAGATGATTCGTTCCACAACCCAAAAATATTCATGTAAAAATGATTAATACAAAATACGTTTTTATATTTGTATTATTTAAATTTAATGTTAAGTAATCACATTTATTAATTAAATTTAATCGTGGCTGGTGTGAGGGAGACGAGAGAGAGGAGAGGAGGAAGGTTATTGTGTAGGACGACTTCCACTGTCACTAACGGAATCACTGCCATCTGTTGGCTCACTGGAATCTTTTTCTTTTTGTGCGACTTTAACAAGGACAATGACACTTGCTTTTGCCTCCTTTTCAACCTTTTTCTTCATGGGGGCCATTGTTGCAGTACAGTTACTAAAGAACAGTCACGACTCTTAGACACAATAAAAAAAATGCTTTACGCACACACACGTGGTCACAACATTATAGTACTGTAGTAAACAGGATACGCTCGCACGGATGTTGACTATACGAGTGAGGCACGCTGACTGAGACCTAGCATGGGAGACGATTACCCACAATCCAGCAGCGAGAGAGAGAGAAGACACCATCAGCTCAGTAGTGATCACGTGACGCTCGGCAGACAAAGCGTATACGTACTACTCGTATTGCAAGACCTCGCTCGTTGATCAAGTTAACATTTATTTAAAAATTTTGCTCGTCTTGCAAAACACTCGCAGACCAAGTTACTCGCAATCCAAGGTTTTACTGTAGTTGAGCCTGGATCGTGCTCAGATGGGCCATCGCCATGTTCGCCTGCGGTGTGTGTGTGCAGTGCAGGGGGCATCTATTGTACCGTCCATTCTACGTTCCCATGTCTATGCTCTGCACCTTGACCAACGCACACGGACCAGTGTGGTGAAGTATGGTCAAAATAACCCCCCACGACCTGAATGGCACGTGGAGGTCCTTCACCCAGCAAGGGTTTAAGGATAGTACTCGGAAGGTCGCACGTTATTGTGTACTTTCATAAAATGTCTGGGGTTTTGCGTGCTGTGCGATGGATTGTGTATTTATTATAAATATATTACTTTGTCATCTACGTATTTCTTTAATTTTTGTACAGTTATTTGTTATGTTATATATATAGTGATGTAATGCTAATATCACAATATTGACATTAATTACATGGATTTTCTTTTAAGTAACCAAGTGAGAAATCGATGAGATTATCTTTAGCAAGGGAGATCTGAATCTCCATTTTAAGTGGCATTAGTAATCCATTGTACTTAAACCCAACACATTCAATAACCCTGCATAAATTCTGAAAAAAGTATATAATCCTTTCTCCATGCTGCGAAGAAGGGCCATTTCCCAAAACGTCACCTTTTACGTTCTTTAACAAAAAATAAATGAGGGCAGTGTTATTATTGAACGCATTGTGTCTATGATAAGCATTTTGAGTGCCGGTGCTTGTGTAATTATCTGCCGCTTTGTCCCCGAGGAACGGTTTTTGAGCTCTTAGTGGACCGCTCTCTTCGTTCTGGGTGTGGTTGACCCCGTCCACCTGACATTGTTCCCCCTCCCCCCCCAGGCACCGCAAGGTCAAAGGCCTGACGGAGCGCTTCGAGTTGTTCGTGATGAAGAAGGAGGTGGTGAATGCCTACACGGAGCTGAACGATCCGCTGAGGCAGAGGCAGCTGTTCGAGGAGCAGGCCAATGTAAGCTCCCCGAGCCACGGAGAACGGCAGATGAGCCTGCATTCTCCTCGACAGATGTAGCGCTGCAATGTACATCGGAAGTGCCACGGTGGCGATGTTAACTACCTCGCCTGGAATACAGGAGGTCTTGGGTTCGATCCCCACCCTGTGACTCCCTGTATATTTGGAGTTTGCATGTTCTCTCTCACTCCCGTGGTCGTGTGGATTTTTCTCCAGGTCCTATGGTTTTTACTTCCAAATTCAGAATCGAACACATGTTTAGAGTATTTGGCTGCTATACATTACTACGTGATAAGCCACTCTGCTGAGCTATCATTTGTGGCCAGGTCGCTTTTGAAAAAGAGATGTATAGTCGCTAAGTGCGCCTTACCTGGTAAATAAAATGTTTAGTTTGTGTAAATTGAATAAGTCTTGGACGAATGGTAACATGTGATTTGATGGGACTCTTAGCTGAGGTACTTGTCTACAAGATAAAAAAATATATAGTTTTTATAATATCGTTTTTTTTTATCCTATAACAGTTGCTAGACATGTAACAATCCCCTTCAGTAATTTCATGAATTGTTGCACTTTAAGGTCACAAAAAGGTGACCGAATATTTTTGTATCGTTTTTACTGTCTCATTCGTATTGTTTCTCATTTATTCTCATTCAGTTTCATTTGCCCCTTGGGCCGTGAAATATAATCTACTGAAAGTGTGAATAATCTATTCAGTTACACATCGTTAGCCTTTTAAGACAGTCTGCCTCAGCAGCAGTCCATGCTTTCTCACCTGATGATGGACACTTGTGTGTTTGCGCCCGAAACGTCGTGATTTATTTTATTTTATACCTACGTGACTTTACCGAAAGAACCCAAGAGTATGGATTCCCAATTGTTACTTTCTCGACGTCGCCGTTTACTGCGTCTTGTAAAAAAAAAAAATCCAGGCATTCCAACAACTGGGTTCCTCTATGTGTACAACCTCATTCCCCACTCCATCCCCACCACGACCCCCATCGCGCACAGGCGAAGGCAGCCGGTGATGACGAGGCCATGCTTATCGACGAGACATTCTGCACGGCGCTGGAGTACGGGCTGCCCCCCACGGCCGGATGGGGCATGGGCATCGACCGCCTCACCATGTTCCTCACCAACTCCAACAACATCAAGGTGCAGTGGTGGAGAGAGTGCAACTTGACGATGATGATATGCAATGGATTTAGATATATTGTATGTTGTGTGTTCGTGTGCACAATATGCCGTTTATTGCGTTGTACCTAGTGTCAAGACACATCAGGAAATCAAGTTCCTGCATTGAGTTTAATACGTAGGCTTTTGCGACCAATATTATCCATAATAGAGGTTTTTTGGGTTAGATCGTGTAAAAAAAGTCTGATCATTGAACAGTGGAAGTAATTGCTGCCTTGTAATTTCAGAATTATTTGTAAAAAAAAAGATGATTCCCTGGTAATGGTAATGTCCCATTATTGCCTTTTGACAGTTCTTCCTTGGCCTGTCATGTCTTCTGTTTTCTTCCTGTACTATCCGGTTCATTGCTTATTTTGCGCATTTTAACTCAAACATTGGAATATTTTTTTTCCAAAGAATACACGCAACACTTCTCATGGATAATCTGCATCAGCTGACACAGAGTATATACTCTGCTATATTCTTGGTTCTTTCGGTAAAGTCACGTCGAAGGGAAACAATAAAGTAATAAAAAAATATTTAATAATAAAAAAAATATATTTTATTGTTTCCCTTCGACGTGACTTTACCGAAAGAACCAAGAATATGAATTGCCGCGGTCACGAAAGCTTTAAATCAAAATATATACTCTGCCGTCGATTTTGCCTAAATATATATTTTAATGACTTTACCCTGCTTCCTCCACTAGGAGGTGCTGCTCTTCCCAGCCATGAAACCCGAGGAACACAAGAAGGAGAGCCCAGCAGCAGCTGAACCGGCACTCCAGCAGTGAGGGGCCAAACCGCCCCGGGTCGTGGCGGTTCCGCCTGCGTGTCGCGACGCTGTTCCATCACCGTTTGCTCGGTCGCGTCAACGTCCGTGTGCCCCCCCTCTCTCTCTCTTCCCACGACCACTCTTTGCGGTGCTTTGGGCGATTTGTGCGACTCTGCACGTGTGTGACGGGGGATGAGAACTGCGAAGCCGAATGAGTTGAAACGAGCAGGATGTGCAGCAATGGTAATCCTAACAATTTTGTGTTTGTGATCTTTTTGTTCGTTTGCGTAAACTTTTCACAACGGTGTGGGTTTTTGCTCCGGTAACCTCCCTAACTCATCATATGTGTTCCACCACAAAATGGAAACGTACCTTACATTGTTTTGTCAACAATAGTTTTACAGTTAACTATTTTGACTTTGCTTATAAGTACTACTCGCCTTTCTAGTCTCGGTTCCCAAACTATTGAGTAGCTAAACTTCTGTCTTATAATTAAATCAGGACGAACTTATAATCATGATGAACTTGATCGACCTGGGTGCGGTTATCACCGATGTTGCGTGGTTAAAATGTCAAATGTGGGTGCTACTTCAGAAAGGAAAGTTTCTTAACGTGAAAAAATGCAGTTTACATGCAAGTATTTGGGTGAATGGTACAAGAAATATTGACGGCAAGTTATCCATTGCCAGAAGCAGTTGACTCGACACTGCATAGGTAAATACCTGGGTATGTGTCTCGACAAAACAATGTTGATCTTGCGTTCACAAAATCTTCAACTCAGCCCTTGTACACACGAGGTCACAGCTTTCACACCAATGCAGCTTTGCTTCATGTGTGTTGCATTTTAATAAATCACTTGCATCTTGTGGATTTTAATGCAGAGGTGTGCGTTGGCAATTTTTATTTTTCTTGAGTGCAATCTTCAACTTGTGCTACTGGGAAGCAATTGGGCACATGCCGGATGGGCTATGGATCTGCTATCAAGCCTTGATTTCATGCAAATGTGCATTTTCGTCCGTGCTTGAATGTCAACATTATGCACATCGTTTACAAGCTATATTGAAAGGTCAGTTTACGTATGAAATGGCATGTGTCACCACTACAAGCTTTAAATCACCTGAAGCAGCAGTAGGTGCGATTGGTATATATCGACTCGTGAAAGTGCTTGGTTTGACTTCTCTGCAGCAACTTGAAGAATAATTTACATAATCTGAATATTTTCAGTGTGATCTTACCTCTACCAACACTCCCAAGTTGAATGGTAATTTGGCTCACTACTGTTTTAAATTGGAACTTGAGTCGATGATTAAATCTAATCGATTAACGTGGAGATAGGCAGACGACTTTTAACGGATTTCCTATGCAGATCGTGCAATAAATTACGAGTTTGAGTTAAACATTAAAAAGGTAAAGGTTGCAGACCTGTTCAAACTTGCTGCTACTGGGCAGGTGTGTACTATATAGGAATGTAAGCACTGCATATGGTGAATGACTATCGTCCAGATCAAATGTGGAATTTTACACCCATACCTCGAGGAAAAATTGGATAATTTGTGCATAATCCTCTTTACTCCGTGGGATGTGTTACAATGTCCACGTACCTTTCCTCGTCAGAGGACATTAGGTACCACTCGTACTACACGCTATTACACTTATTGTTTTAATAGCCGTTACATAACACTGAGACCTCCTTTGCCAGTAACAAGATATAGTAATAGGTGTTTACTCTTTTATCTGGCACAAAAACTGACACCTTTATACAAGGGATCATGTTTGCAAAAACCACAACACAAGCAGTAAAAATGCAAACAAAAAAGACAACTCTGATCATATGCACTGTCCTTGAATTTGATTGGTCCGCACCCGAGACGGCTTTTTGGACTGGGCTCTAAGAAAAGCCGTCTCGGGTGTGGACCAATCAAATTAAAGGACAGTGCATATGATCAGAGTTGTCTTGTTTGCATTTTGACTACTTGTGTTGTGGTTTTTGCAAACATGATCCCTTGTATAAAGGTGTCAGTTTTTTGTGCCAGATAAAAGGGTAAACACCTATTACTATAGCGTTACATAAAGCATATGTTTGACCATCTGCTCAAGCTCCATCCGATCCACTGCTCCCTCCACCTCCACCTCGCATCGTCACGCTCCCAAGCTCTCTGTTCCTCGAGCCGTGACTTGAGCCATATCAATGTTGGTGGCTTCCTCTTGCCCTCCTTTAACACTGCCTGTTTATTGGGTGTGACACCATTATCTGATGCCGTATGTATCCTCGTCAACAGGAGGAGAAATGGCAAATCAACACTAAAACCTCGTCGTGGCTAGCGCACTACACAGCATTGGCTCTGAAATATATCGCCATGGTCAAGCATGCAATGCCCGTACAGAATTCCGAGGTCGTTTGTGATTACCGAGTTAATTCTGAGTCTCTGATGGAGGTTTCGGCACGTGACGCTTCAACTGCACGTGGTCGCAAACACTGTAAAAGACGTTTTACCGGTTAGGTGAGGCAGTGGGAGTTATGCTTCGGAATTTCCTGCAGTTTTTCTTTGCGGTCAGTGTACTTATCGTGCCATTTATTTATATATTTCAAAGGTGTCTCTTTGTAACCTATGGCAACTTCCGTATAACTGAAGTTTACAGCACGGATAGGTTTTTTTGTGTGTGTAAATGTTCCAAACGTTCAACGCGTGCTATCCTGACAACCGGCTTGCTCGAGCAAGTAAATGATGAGTTACTGAAGTCTCAATATGATCCTGCGTCCTTTATGTACGAACCCATATAATTTGAGTTTTGCGGGTTTTAACGGCGGCTAGTTTTGTTTAACTGGAATCGGCGGCAAGCCGTGCTCGACTTAAGTAACGTCTCGACTGTGCGCACCGCGACTCAATGAAGTTTGTGTTTAAATCGATGGAAAGGGGGGATCGTTAGCAGCAGACCACGATTTCCCACCTGATGACGGACGCTTGTGTTGCGCCCGAAACGTGATTTATTTTATTTTATACCTACGTGACTTTACCGAAAGAACCAAAGAGTAGGGGAGGGGAGGGGGGGCGGATCGTCGTTAAGTAACCCACGAAAGTTCGGAGAACAGTAACGTTTGGAAATAATACGTTTTACCCTTTCCGGCAATGAAACAAGTGGCAGAAAGGTTAAACCTATTCTTGTTTCCCCATATACTGTATTGGTACTGCAAAGAAAAAAGTTCCATTTGGTAACGATGTTGATGCACATTGGGTTATGAAAGTCACTCGCGTTCCAACACGTTATTTTTTTAATATCAACAGCGGTGGGCACGCTCGTCTTATAAGCATGCGTGTCAGCAGTCGGTCATCAGCATTTGGGCAGGGGTAGAGTCGTCAGCACGGACGGACTAAATTCACTTAAAGAAAAGCACGTGCTAATAATACCGATGCTCTAAACGGACGTTAGGGGCAGTGGGCCCTCTCCATTGGCGACTTGAGTGAGCAACGAGCGGGGGCATTCAACATTCACACGGCGGGGACAGGTCCAGCCACTCCACCTACGAAGCAGGCGATGCTGCTGCTGCTGCTGCACCAGTAGATGATTCTCATGTCATCAGCCCAGGCGATGATGATGATGATGGTTAACGGGCCGATACTCAAAATGTCACGACCGGCAATGAAGCTACTGTGGACCCGCGGCACACCCGATTTCAATTTACAGACCACGGCTAACGTCAGTGGCGTTAGCCGTGGTCCTGCCCAAACCCCCTTCTCCAAGCCGGCGCAGACCACCAACATGATGAACAAATATACAAATGTGTCGTAAAACCCGGCTTGTCGCGTAAACGGCACGTGCCAATTTGTTACGAGTACAGCACCACCGGTGTGTTGGAGAGCCAAGCCACAACATTTACAATCTTGAGTACGACGTTTCGCCAGTAATTACAACGAGCTTCATCAGGCGACAGCCAGATTTGTGGAGAAGCCCACCTGTTTCGTTTATTTTTTAGAGGCGTAGATGTGGTGACCACGCTTCTGCGTTCTTGCACAATGGTGGGAGAGGAATTACTGAGTCTGCGTACATGATGCATTTGCATTATGCGAGCCCTTTGAACTTGTCCTTCCTGTCTATTGTGTTTATTAAAAGGCCCTAACCAACTGTAGACCCTATTGAAGTACGCTGCACCATTGTAGGTATGCGAGTAGCATGGTCGGGCTACGTACGGTGCGAATGAAGTTCAACATAGAGCGGTCCTGCGCGACCTGGTTAAGACAAAAGTTGCGTCGTTATTAATCATCGACGATGCTACGTCCTCTTCTAATTTTTTTTTTTAAACACAAAGCCGCGGTCATCTCTCACGGCCATGCTGTACAACGACCCATCTGGCTCCTGCACAACAAGCTCATCTATACTGCTCCGTCTCATCCGCGGTGGTCGTCCTCTGGGGGTGTTCCCTCCTTTGACCGATACTCCGTCGTTAGTCTCCATCACCCGGGCCGTCGACCCTTCCTCAACGAGCAACTTGTTCCTGCCCACAACCCACGGGTTTGCTGTAATAGTCCTAGTTGATGCCCTGTTTTTGTTTTTTTCTTGGGGGGTTCGGCCACGTGGTCACGGCTTGTGTGTTCTCTGATCCTGTGAGTTCCCCGTTTTGTCTCTCGATTATAACTTCAAACATCTTTTCACTCTCTCTCTCTTCTCTCGCTCTCTCCATGCGTCCATCATTCGCTCTGCCGAGAAGGAAACGCGCCTTTAAACTCCGTGTGACATCGTTGGTGGGGGTGTGGGGAAGAGGGCGGTCCGGTCAATGCGAGAGCTCTGTGTTGCTATGAGATGAACTTCACATAAAGTCTGCCTGCGTCTGCCATCCGCGGGGAAACACTGCTGCTGCTTGCTTAGACTATCGTGTCGGAGAAGGCGACAATCAGTACGTAATTATTTTAAAACAACGTGTTGTTTACCCTGTAGTAGATGTGTCTGTGTGTGCTGTTTATCTCATGAGACAGGTAAGTTGTAAAATATGTGGGTGTAAGCTGAGCTATGGTGAACCACACCATAGCCGCCGTTTGTTTGGAGGAGTGGGTTAAAGTCGTGTGGTTATTGCGATAGTCCTGGAAGTTAATACCAACGTGTAGCGTGCTGTAGAGAGAGAGAGCGAGAGAGAGAGCGAGGAGGAACCACAGACGATCTTGATTTGAAGCTTTCGTGACTGCAGGAATCCATACTCTTTGGTTCTTTCGGTAAAGTCACGTAGGTATAAAATAAAATAAAACACATCACGACGTTTCGATCGCAACACAAGCGGGGGCGGAACCAGGATTTTCAGCCCGGGTGACATTCAACAAATGTTAATTTCAAGAATGATTAAGAGAGTCAGGCTGTTGAACTAGACGACATCGGTTGGCGACACACTCTGACAATGAAGTTGCACGGAGTCCGCCAGACCGAGTGTCGTACACATACGCAGAATGTTTCAGATTTTTCGATTTTTTTTATATTTTTTCGGGGGTGACAATTGTCTACCGTGTCACCCCCCCTGGCTCTGCCCCTGAACACAAGCGGTCATCATCAGACGAGCTAATGCAGCAGCAGCAAGGCACGCGGTGTGGCCCGCCCGCGCGCTACCAACAACAATTTCCCGAGCTCTGCGGTCCTCGATACGTGAAAGGCGTTATCGGCCAATTACTTGAGTGTTTACACGTGGGAGGAAACCCGTAGCACCCGGAGAAAACCCCTACGCGTGCGAAGGGGTAACGCGATCTCACTCAGACGAAACAGGTGAGAGTCCCATTTGCTGTACTGTGGTATGCATGTATGTATGTGTGACCGTATGTTGAACTTCTTTCACACCGTGCTAATCGGAGGTGCTGAAATATATAGTTCATTGACGGCGTGCGATTGACTCGGCATGGGGAGCCTTTCATCCTGTCGTGGATTGTCAAAGCGCCGTAATGTATTGTGCATTGTTATAATTTTTCATTAAATATATCGAGGTAACTGCTATGTCGTAATTTCTGGTGGTGTGATTCACAAGTGTATGTCCGTGTTAGTGTGTATGATTGATACCCATGTTATGTATAATACCCTACAAAGTCGTCACAATTTGTCGCCTAATCCTTTTTACGTGAATAATGACAGTAAATTATATCCCACGCAGTATCAGGATTTTACGCAACTCGAATTATTTCTGTCGTACGCGCGAGCTATAGAGCTGTCCAAGTAAAGGGGCATGTTTCTCCATAGTACAGGTTTTTTTTGGTATCTTTTTATTCAAATAGCTTTGCACACAATGAACAGATGGAGTGTGACGGAAAGTAACTGAGTAGTAGGTGTGGTGTGCGTGCATGCCAGGCGGGCGTGGGAACTGATTTGGGGAGTTTCCGCGGACGAAGCTGCCCACGGCGCTCGACCTACTGCCACGAACCTCGTGGTTGACAAACGCGGCACGCGTAAGATCGACACGTTAGCAGCGGGGCGGGTGAATTCGTTGTGTGGATGGCCCCTGGCCGGCTAAATATTTGTACAATGGGCTAGCAGCTGAGTGTTGAGCAGTTCAACAAAGTGGCTGTTCAAAGATATGCCGGCGTCAATCCATCACCCGGCGGCTGGCCTCTTCTTAAATGCATCCTCATGCTGTGATAATTTTTTAAAGGATTTACTTGGGACAAATTTGAACCCAATACGCAGAATTCTAGTTCAACAATTAGCAACAGTGTGCGTTGTTTACGTATTTGATAGAATGCGGTGCAATTGACAAGAGTATCATATTTTGAAACTCTGTTCAAGAAATCACTTGGTGATCCTTAACTAAAGAAGGTGTGCTTAATGCAATCAAGGAGGAAAATTTCGTACCGAAAAAAGACTCGCGGATACAAACGGAGACATTAACAGGACGGTCAAGTCAGCCATGAGAACTGGATTGAGTTTCAGACTTTCAAGGTAGCAGTGGAGAACACATTATCTCGATGCATACATCCATCTTGTAAGCGCGTGCCAAGTAATACGATGCACCCAATTTCATTGTACCAGCCGAGTTTGTTTCACAGTTGAATATTTGAAAAGTCACAACATTTAAGTTACCAACCAAGAGCCTCGAGTTCGATTCCCAGCCATGGATTTCACTGGTGGCGAGTCATTATCTAAAGCGGTTCTGGCTCCCCACACAATGTCTATCAGTTTATTTAGGTATAGCCCTGTGAGCCATTCGGCTCTTGAATCGGGTGCAACCACAACAAACAAAAAAACAAAACACGAACAAGAAAAACATCTTAAAGTGACTATGTGTGACTGTGCAAACAGAAAATCCATGGAAAAAAAACCAGCAAAAATATTCCTGAAAAAAGCACCGTACACCACCAACGCTGTGTGCAAAAAATCCCAGTGGGATGCAAGTCAAACAACAACAACCACCATAAAAAAAACTAAGATTAAGGCCACCAGTCTAACTCCGTACTACAACAAAACAAACATGTCCAAACCAAAAAAACGTTTTCCAAATCACCAAAAAATAAAGCCATAATTGCAACGTAACAGTGATCACAAGGACTGACCTACAGCGTGGTGAAACATGGTCAAATAACCTCCATAACCCACACGATGTGGGAGGACTTCATCCAGCAGTGGATTGACAAAGCTATTTGATTTTTTTTTACTTATTTAATTTACGATGTTCATGTAAAGTGAGATTTTTGTTGGTGTAAATATGATGTGACGTGAATCCATCACAACAGGCAAGAGTACTGGCAATTATTTTTAGAGACACGCTTTTCTCTAACTGGAGTGCGCAATAAGTTAATAATATCCCGTTTTTTTTTAATAGCGAAACTACCGGGAAGTACCCCGCGTTTGCCCGGGGGGGAAATACATTTAAAAACTTCAGAAAACTGAAAAACATAACATATACAAATGAAAATATAACTTTGATCATTACCTCATTAATTAAAATTAAAATAAAACCCAACGCGCGGTGGGAAAAAAATAAACTTACGCTCGCGCGCCAAGATTACATTCTTTAAATCGCGGAAAGGAATCCAGTCCTGTATGCGGGTTGACGCCACACACTTCATGGTCACCCCCCCCAAAAAAAAATATATACAAAAGTAAATTTGTATACGTTTTACATTGTGTACAGTATGGGAGCTAGCCACATGGCAAATTAAAAGTTTGTTACATATTTCCCCCCGCCCCCCAGCCGCGCATTTGTGCGGAGGGTGGGGGGGGCGTGACGTCAGCAGGCATACTGCATAACGCTACCGCATGCGGGTGACATGACAGAGATGTGACGTCACCGCTCACTTGCCGTGCAAAATATAAACCATTACTGCGCCCCCCCCCCCCCCCCAAAAAAAAAATACAGAAGTCTATTTTTATTATTTTTGCATGGTGTACAGTCTGGAAAGTACCCACATGGCAAATTTCAAATTTGTTGCATGTCGGGAAGTATGCTAAACATTTTGAACAGACACATTCACAAATTTCCCTTTTATATATAGACAATCAAATGTAAAGAAAACCCAGCAATGTAATACAATACATTATTAGACATTATTGTAAAAAATTAAAAGTCCATCCTATGTGTTAGTTAATTTTTTAAAAATATATATTAGGCAGGAAATTCGTTTTAAAATTTTGATTTTTCTCTGGGGGGGGGGACCCCCAGACCCCCTGGAAGATTTGGTCCCCCCCAATGTTGACGCCATGGCTACGGCCTTGCTGCAGACACACAAAACTTTCAGGGTGCGTACGGCAGTAAACGACTGAAATAATACATCAATGTTGCGCGAAGAACGCCTTAGACCTGCAACACATTTGTATTTCACTTTACCCGCGATCAGCAGGCACACTCCGTTACGCTTCCGCACGCGGGTCACATGACAGATGTGACGTCACAGTTTACTTGCCGTGCAAAATGTATGCATTATTGCGCCCCCTGCCCCCCAAAAAATATACAAAAGTCTATTTTTATATTTTTTGCATGGTGTACAGTCAGGAAAGTACCCACATTGCAAATTTCAAGTTTGTTGCATGTCGGGAAGTACGCTAAACATTTTGAACAGACATACATAGTCACAAATTTCCCTTTTATATTTATAGATGTATGCAACTTCATAACACAACGCTGTGCCTTTCGCAAGCAAGGAGGCGCATAGATTCAAAATGATCAGCCAATGAATGATGTCCATACCGTGTGGAAGCAAAACGGAGTAGCCGTAGAAACCCCATACGAGCGAGGTGGTGGGCAACACTCCACTCCATACAGATTGGACAGATGGAGATGAGTCCACATTCTCTGGACCATCTTCTCCTCGATCCCCCACGGGAAGGGAGTTTCACAACATTTTGTGTGGTCCACCAACTCTCGCCTACACAGTGGTGGGTTATAGGCATATGTCACCACCGCATGCCTCATTTTATGTTAATTTCACGATCGTTTTTATGTGGAACTTTACTTTTTGGGCAGTTGACTAAAGTTGTCGTTTCGTACAGCTACACTTCTGCATTTCAGTCACAGCGGAAACCAAGCTGGTAACGATATACTGTTATAAAAGAAGCAGATGACTGGATATATTTTGCTCCTCTGCCATGGTGAGAGATTAGATCATCATCATCGTCGGTCATGATTGACCCACTGCTTGATGAAGGCCTCCCCAAGCAGATGCTGCATCTTACAAAAACACAATAGACAGATGACATTCATGAGAAATGCATGTTTATGAAATTCACCCCTCACCGATAAGGGATATTTAAAAAAAAATCACTATTGTTTATTGATGATGGTTTTGTGATGTAAATTTTACGATGAATTGACTGTTGGTTTTCATATTTACTGTATTTGTTTTGGTACCTTGGTCTCCCTTTAAAAGGAGACTTTGTCTCAGTGGACTCCCACCCGGTGTAAACAAACATTGTATTCATAAAATGAGTTAAGCACTTGATTAAATTCTGATTAAGTGGTACTGGTGGCTAGATGTGGAGTGTGGGGTGTAGTTTAACGTGCAGGTCACATTTGTGCGTATGTAAGATATTGCAGAGTGTAGGGAGTGGTAATGGAGTGTTTAGAATGCTGCACTACAAACCCAGTGACGACAATCTTAACCGGTTTTGGGCCTCTTTTAGGTCGATTCAGCCTCAAAATTAATACGATGTGTAAACATTGCCAAGAGGGAGACAAAGGCGGCTAGGTGTGGTACTGGCCACCCACTCCCTTGTGTACTATGCCATCCTTCATAGGTGCTCGCTCACAGTGCTTGCCCCAACAGTCTGTTAAGGCTGGGGATCTTTGTCTTTGTATTGATACTGCAGTGAGAAGTGGTGGTGTAGTAAGTAGTGCCCTGTGCTACGAACCCAGAGACCTGAGTTTGATTTCCAACCACTGTTAACACCAGTGCCAAGTGATATAAAAAAAACGAAAAGTGGCTGCATGTGGTGCTGAACTCACCACCTCCTCGTGTGCCGTTATGCCCCAAAGGTCTATGTAATATACACGGGGGACCTTTGTCTTTGTGATTCTGCAGTCGTGCCCGTTGCAATCGCTCGGGTAGAGGACTCACAGGCTGGAGCTGCAGCTCAGAACTCAGGGGGACGCGATGTCTAAGCGCAATAAGGTACGTCTTTGTTGAACTCAGTATGTGCGTGCGTGGTGATGTAATCGATGAATATACGTGATGGGTGGCCCAAATATTTTCAGAATATCAGAACATTTATTAACGAGGGGGGGTCATTCGATTCATCCGGTTCAGTAGGGCAGGAAACCACAGACAAGTTGGAAGGCAGCCAGATACCTGCAACAACAATTGCCCAAGCTGTGATTCGCCATTAGGGGGGACTGGAAACGAGCTATCTCGAATGTTCCCATTTAGAAAATGTGGACTCTGAGACCGGCGCACAATGGCCAACGCTTTGCGAAATGCATCGAGGGATCTTTGACGTCCACTGCGACGCAGGTGGCGCGTGCATTTTTGTTTGTTTGATTGCGGTTAATACATCGGCTGTATTAATCAGGGCGGCCGCTGGATTTGAACCGTGCAACGAGCAGTTGAACGCCCAACCGCAGGATGTCGCCACCCGTTTAATCAACAACTGGCTCTAAAGTGTTAAAACAATGACCTAATGAGTCGGTAGCGCCCCCACTGCATTGAATTAAAATGACAAAATTAAACATCTCGGGTGGCACATATTGCGTATTCGTAAGCAATGAAAGTTATTATCCAATAGCAATCATGATCAGCAACGGTATTCTTATTAAATGTAAGGTGGTTGCTGAGGTGGGAAGTCACCACGTGATACTGCCCTCCCTCGAATGACTGCTATTCCTCCTCAAAGGAGTGATTTGAGACTGTTTCGCTGTTCCTGACTAATGGGGCCCTATGTTTGAAAAAAAAAAAATATAACAAAAATACGTGTACTTAACACAATTGTTTAAAGTGCATAATGAGCTCTCCAAATGAAATCCTTTGATCGAACAAGAAAAAAATCACGATCGTTTCCGTACAACTCAAAAGCCACGCGGTCCCATGTGGCCCATTAACTGGTGCCCGATGGCTTCCATGATTAAAAACCAAATGGTTACACCGCTCATGTGAGGCCCTGATGTTTGATTTCTCTTTCTCGCCCTGCATTGTAACTGACACACGCGCGCGTTTTTTTGTTGTTGCTGTGTAGCATGCACTGAACAATGAGGAACAGATCGAGCTGCTGGAGGCCGTAAAGATGGGGAAGCTGACGGTGGAGGAAGCCGTGCGGATGGCCAACAGCCTGGCGCAGGGCAGCAAGGCAACTGACATGGTCAACGGGCTTTGTTGTTGTTGTTGTTTAAACCACACGTAGACTTTCCTCTCCCCCCCCCCCCCTCATTCGCCTGCCGCCTGCCCCCCATCACTGGTCAATGCATTGTCAAAAATAGCCGCTCTAGAACAGCTAAGCACATCACCAAACTTGGAAGCCCTCTGCACGGCTTCTCCCTCTAGTGGGCATTGATTTTATGACCATCCAATTCGGGCATTCAGAGGCCCCCTTCACCCCCACCACCTTTTATTTTTCCTCCTCCTACTTCCCCCGCCCCGTCCCTCCCCCTAGAGGATTATTCGAGTTAAGGAAGTCGACCCCAGTGATGCATAGTTTATTGAAACACATGGCACAGACAGGTTAAAAACATACTAACAACTCCTTACTCACTAACAACTCCTTACTAACAACTCCTTACTCACTAACAACTCCTTACTTACTAACAACTCCTTACTTACTAACTCCTTACTTACTAACAACTCCTTACTTACTAACAACTCCTTACTTACTAACAACTTCTTACTCACTAACAACTCCTTGCTTACTAACAACTCCTTATTTACTAACAACTCCTTACTTACTAACAACTCCTTACTTACTAACAACTCCTTACTTACTAACAACTCCTTACTTACTAACAACTTCTTACTTACTAACAACTCCTTGCTTACCAACAACTCCTTACTTACTAACAACTCCTTACTTACTAACTTCTTACTTACTAACAACTCCTTACTTACCAAAAACTCCTTACTCACTAACAACTCCTTGCTTACTAACAACTCCTTATTTACTAACAACTCCTTACTTACTAACAACTCCTTACTTACTAACTCCTTACTTACTAACAACTCCTTACTTACTAACAACTCCTTACTTACTAACTCCTTACTCACTAACAACTCCTCGCTTAATAACAACTCCTTACTTACTAACAACTTCTTACTTACTAACAACTCCTTACTTACTAACAACTCCTTACTTATTAACAACTCCTTACTTACTAACTCCTTACTTACTAACAACTCCTTACTCACTAACAACTCCTTACTTACTAACTCCTTACTTACTAACAACTCCTTACTTACTAACAACTCCTTACTTACCAACTCCTTACTCACTAACAACTCCTCGCTTACTAACAACTCCTTACCAACAACTCCTTACTCACTAACAACTCCTTACTCACTAACAACTCCTTACTAACAACTCCTTACTCAATAACAACTCCTTACTTACTAACAACTCCTTACTTACTAACAACTCCTTACTCACTAACAACTCCTTACTAACAACTACTTACTTACTAACAACTCCTTACTTACTAACAACTCCTTACCAACAACTCCTTACTCACTAACAACTCCTCACTAACAACTCCTTACTAACAACTACTTACTAACAACTCCTTACTTACTAACAACTCCTTACCAATAACTCCTTACTCACTAACAACTCCTTACTCACTAACAACTCCTTACTAACAACTCCTTACTTACTAACAACTCCTTACTTACTAACAACTCCTTAATCACTAACAACTCCTTACTAACAACTCCTTACTCACTAACAACTCCTTACTCACTAACAACTCCTTACTTACTAACAACTCCTTACTAACAACTCCTTACTAACAACTCCTTACTAACAACTCCTTACTTACTAACAACTCCTTACTTACTAACAACTCCTTACTAACAACTTCTTACTAACAACTCCTTACTAACAACTCCTTACTTACTAACAACTCCTTACTCACTAACAACTCCTTACTTACTAACAACTCCTTACTAACAACTCCTTACTCACTAACAACTCCTTACTAACAACTCCTTACTAACAACTCCTTACTAACAACGCCTTACCAACAACTCCTTACTAACAACTCCTTACTAACAACTCCTTACTAACAACTCCTTACTTACTAACAACTCCTTACTTACTAACAACTCCTTACTAACAGCTCCTTACTAACAACTCCTTACTCGCTAACAACCCCTTACTAACAACTCCTTACTAGCAACTCCTTACTAACAACTCCTTTCTAACAACTCCTTACTAACAACTCCTTACTAACAACTCCTTACTTACTAACAACTCCTTACTAACAACTCCTTACTTACTAACAACTCCTTACTAACAACTCCTTACCTACTAACAACTCCTTACTAACAACTCCTTACTAACAACTCCTTACTCACTAACAACTCCTTACTTACCAACAACTCCTTACTAACTAACTCTTTACTTACTAACAACTCCTTACTAACAATTCCTTACTTACTACCAACTCCTTACTTACTAACAACTCCTTACTTACTAACAACTCCTTACCAACAACTCCTTACTCACTAACAACTCCTTACTAACAACTCCTTACTAACAACTCCTCTATCATTTTTCATTGCTGGAGGGGGTAGCCCCCCCCCCCCCCACCTGAAAATCCTGGCTCCGCCATTGCCTACTGTTATGATAAACTTCTTCTTGTCTTCATCACCATCATCATCAAGCATGATCCACTGCTGGATGAAGGCCTCCCTAAGTTATCACCAATCCAATCTGAGTGCACAACAATCCACCTAGCTCCTGCACGTGACCTGGTCTCATCGCCGCATCTTAAGCACATTCCCTCCTTTGGCTGCCACTCCACAATCAAAGTTGACCAGCACTGAACCCTTTTAGCGACGTATCCGGCCAGTCTGCTTTCAAAGACGATGCATAGATTATAATTATCGGAGCATGTTTGTTAGTTTGCATGCTTTCCCACAAGTATGTGTGGTTAATGCAAACTTGATCGCCTTGCAAAAGGGTGTTTGGACATCTCGACACCTGTTTCTATTGCCAGAAAGGGTCACATCTATTCTTATATTTTTCGTAATGATTTGACACTGGCAAAAGTGGTCGCATAGACAAAGTCTGCTTACTTTTCTGAGCCGTCAGTAAGATGTCCCTGACATCTTATCCGCGCGTTCCTCTCTCCGTGCCTCGGCTCGAGTCCGGGCGTGCGCCTCTCTGCGCCTATTTTCTTTTTCTGTGCACTCTTCAAACTTCAGCTTTTCTTTCGTTTTCTTCATCGGTGTCCACGCGCCCGATCCACGTTTCACACACAGCGGGTTATGCACGCGCACCGCTCGAAAACGTTTACTACCCAGACGCTTGTCGTCGATATCCGATGATGATTCAAAAAACACGTGCAAGCGAACGGAAAGCACGCGACGGGTGGGGAGCGCTGGCTGCAGCGTGTTGAGCTCAAGCGTGCCGAGACGAGAGAGAGTTTTTGCGCAGGAGAGGAACCCGAAATATAGAACCCACCAGCGCCTTTCTTTCCCTACAAGCTGTCGCGAGTTCCCCCCGTGAAGCTCCCTTCACTCCCTCCTCCTGCATAATTAAAACGCTCAGTATTTGGCCGAAAAAAAACATCTTAATAGATGCAGGAGTGCAGAGCTTGGGAAGTAGTTGGCGGCGGTTCGTTGCCCGACCTTGCCACTTCGTCCATGGTTCCACCTCGCACCTCTTGAGAGCGAGTGAATACCGTGCGGCGAGTTACAAGTTGAAATGACGATGATGATTATGGACGCACATTTTGGCTTTCTCAGGAACTGCCGTGGCAGTGGTGCAGATACACAGGCCACAGATACGTCGCAGGCTGTAATTAAAACAAACACGCACACGCTGTCTCGCACCGCCACTACAATCTCGTGTCGTGCCAGTTTCATAAGTTACACTCGCCAACAGCACTTGCCCCAACAGTCTGTGCGGTGGAATATTGGATCTTATCGAGGATGTTCACGTACCTCCGCTGCTTTTAACCCTTGGCCACGCCGGTGTGCTCACCACAGCGAACGTGTCCGTTTTCCCCGCCAGGTGGGAGAAAGCGACGTGTACAACTTCAATGTTTACAAATACAACAAGTTCCGGCAGAGGCAGAAAAGGATCTTACAGGTGGGAGGACGTTCTTTCTCAAAGCATTCACCCAGGGGGAGCATCGAATAGCAACGCAACAATGGCATTTGGTATCTGAACCTGACTTGGGCTACCACTAGATCAGCTCAGCCTCAAAATTAGTACACGGTGCAATTTGGGTGGACACCAATATGTAAAGCCGTCTCTGGTGCTGGCCACACCACCTCCTCTTGCACCACGCTGTTATTGATAGGTGCTCGCGAACAGCCGGTTTGTATTTTTCTTTAGATTCGTTGTACTTTCCAACTAAAGTTGAAAGCGTCTGTACGTTAGCTCTGTCTACCTGTCGCGTTGCTATTAAGGCTTTACTCGATAGAACACCAACCAAATTAAATTTTGATTTAAAGCTTTCGTGACTGCAGTGATTCATATTCTTGGTTCTTTCGGTAAAGTCACGTTGAAGGGATAACAATAAAATAATAAAATATATAAAACAATAAAATTCTCACGACGTTTCGACTGCAACACAAGCAGTCGTCATCAGGTGTGAAAACGTCGTGAGAATTTTATTGTTTTATGTATATTTTATTATTTTATTGTTATCCCTTCAACGTGACTTTACCGAAAGAACCAAGAATACCAACCAAATTGGTCAAGGGGCCTTCTTAAACTTGGAGACAACAGAACGACGCAGAAAAAGGAGTCGTGTCTGAGTTGTGCCCCTTTCGGCCGAGGTGTGTCCCTGTTCAGAAGAGCCACGGTCTGAACCCAATTGTCTCATCGCGGCTTACGGACATTCTAAGGCTTCTTTTGCCGCTGGCGCGAGCGCTGTCCCTCTCGAGGCCAAATGAATAAATGAATACTCCTGAGAGACGAGCGCATGTTGGGGCAGTATTACATGGTCCCAGAGTGTGCGTGGGGCGTTCTACCTTGGTAGGATTTAGCTTCGCGTCGATTGTATTGTCAAGGACTCTGTGAATGAAAATCACTGCAGAAGTATTTATGAATGATGAACTCCTTTCTGCAGCCATCTGGGACGCTCTTCCGATATTGGGCAGCCATTGGAGCTATACACTTTTAAATCTCTATTGAAAACGAATTTCTTTAGCACTGCTTTTTGTGTTTAGTTTGTTGCCCTTTCTCCGCAATTTCCGATTATCACGGTTGGCTACGTACGGTGCAAAAGAAGTCCTACATACATACGTGCGCCGTACGCAAGCTAACCGTGCTAAAATGGAAAAAGTAAATAAACGATTGCGACGTTTGACGGCGACGTTCTCTCGCCGTGGGTGCCACCCGATGGCCCCCCCCCCACCCACCCACCCACCCCCGCCCTCCCCCCCGCCCCAGGTGGACTTCTCCGAGAAGGTCTTGTGCAACATCTCGAAGGGCGCTGTGCACAAGCGCTTCCCGTTCGCCGAGCTGGGGTCGTGCGAAGGCCAGGAAGGGCTGCGCCTCACGCTGTACTTCACGCAGCACCACGAGTACGAGCTCGAGGTCACCTCCGACTTCGACAAGACCCAGGTGCCCGCACCTCTCTTTGGGGTTACCGCAGGGCTTGACCCCTCGCTAAGCACCAGTAATTCCCAGCCGTGCCTGGGGGTGGCGGCACTTGACTGGTAGCCGCGGCCGTGATGGGAAGTAGACTCGATGCAGCGCCTTAGGTGCAGAAATGTTTTTCCGGGTCACCGGAAGACCAGACTGCTGAGAGTAGAAGGGACTTGAGTCGTAGCCACGGCCAGAGTGAGAGGTGTATTGGACGTTTGTGCGCCGGGTGTGGAAATTTTTTTTTCCAGGTCGCTGACCAAGACCGACATGTCTGGAATTTTTAAGCTCTCGGTGGGCGCTGGGTAGGCAGGGGGTACCGATTCGCGGATTAAAATCTAATTCCTATGGTCACAATGAATGCATTGAAGAGTGCACGTACGAATCGACAATTTTCTACGATGTATGGAACTGCTATTTTCTGGTCACCTCTCACAGCCCCAGTGTATTTTGGAGTTTTACACAAACTACTTAACCCACCCGCCCTGACCCATAAAGTTGTGGCTCACAGCAACACGCCAGCACACCTTGTGGCCATGTGACAGTTCCGTTTGTTAAAACTTGCCGTTGCGCGTCCATCAGATCCTGCGACTCGCCCACCTCATCCTGAACCAGAACAAGGCCCTCTGCCAGGAGCAAGAGGTGACTTTGCCCGGTGCTCAACCCCCAACGAGTGTGAGGGTGGTCAAGGAGGGAGAGGCCCTGCTGAGAAAGGGAGGTTTGGCTTCGGTAAAGTGGGTGAGGTGAGCACTGTTTACATCCCGTTCATTTTCAATGCTCGTTCAATCCTCACCGAAGGAACTCTGCTAACGTTTTAGCGGCTTTGTGTGAATTGTTTTGAGGTTGGCAGTGGCAGATTTGTTGTCAAACTACGTTTTGCTTTTGTGTTCATTGCAGTTCCAAGCGTTTCGTTGATTACACGTAACAATTACCTTTGGACACTGTGAATTTGTGTTTTCCCTCTGGTACCAACCATTTTCACAAGTTTCCCTTGAAATATGAACATTTGCAAGCGTAGGTCATTGTGTGCAGGCATCGTTTGTCCAGCCTTGCCAAGTATGAAAACCTACCCACAAATGACTCAATTGGAATACACGTGGCAGTTATCGCCCCCATGCTCTGAAAACCTGCCGGGACCCTCCGTACAAAGGGTCTCGATACCCAGTGAGGCTTTCCTGGATAAACAGGCATGATGTGACACATGTAAACTGTTTAAATCACGACATGCGTCAGACAGAGTCTATTTTGTCAGGGTATAATTGTGAGGTGCGATACCCGCTCAACGCAGCTGTACATCGCAAATATACATTTACGCAATACATTCAGATCGTCAAAAACTTTGTCCCATTGACACAGCGGACTGGTGCCACGTATGTACGTACGTGGGCATGTTGAACTTAATTCGCACCGTACGTAGCCAACCGCCCTCATCGGAGGTGCGCGGGAAGGACAGCAAAAAGCATCACGCAGACAGACGCCGGAAGCGACGGCAGCAAATGCGATCACGCGGGCCATTTAAAAAAACAAACCAAAAAAAAACACCGCATCGTTGCCATCGTCTTCATTGGGAATGCGTGCAGGGTGTGGCTGGAGCTGTCTCGGTCAGACCTGAGCTTCTACCCGAGCGAAAGGCGGCAGGGGAACCTGGGGAAGCTCGCCGCCTTGACGGGAGAAGCCCGCCCGGAGGTCTGCGTGGCTCCGTGCATTGTGCACCTGTCCACGCCGGGGGTGGAGGCCTACGCGGACAGCCTGGCCGACTCCTTCTGCGTGTCCACCAACAAGAACCTCTACACGTAGGGCAGTGGCGGCGTGCGCGTGTGTGCATTCAAACGAAATGCCGTGTTTTTGTCACGTGGGGCGCCGTAGTGGCGAGATGTTAACTCTCTCGCCTGCTCTCTCTCGCCATGGTCGCGTGGATTTTTCTCCATGGTCTCTCCGGTTTTTCCCTCCAAGTTTAGAATCAACATCACGCGTTCTAGAGTTTTTGGCTGCTATTTATTTCTACGTGATAAGCCACTTGGTTGAGAGATCATTGGTGGCCAGGTTGCTTCTGAAAATAGCTATACAGCTCAAGTGGGCCTTACCTGGTAAAATAAAATTTTTGTTTAGTTTAGTGTGCCCCCCCTCCCCCCCACTGTTGTGATTTTATACATGTAGTTAGGAGACTTAGTTTGATTGTCTGTCGATCTATCTAGTCATCTCTTGGTTGCAGCACCTGCTCGAGTAACCTGCCTATTCTCCAGTCGAGTAAACACAACTGTTTCACCACGGCAAAACTTATGGGGTGTTCGAAATTTACGAACTCTCATTAGATTCCTCTTAAACTTAAGGTTATAATTTGGTAATGCTATTCTGTGAAATGACGCCAAACACAGGTAATATATGGGGGACAAATGGAGCCTTTGGAGGCATGTAAAATCTTGTATAATGCTTCTTGCCTAATGAGGTTATTACTTATTCAAGATGTCATATCGACACAAAATGTACAGCCCATTGCCAATCGCACCCCTAATTCCCAGCAATGGCATGGGTTGTTTTCGAGCGATATCTGAAATGGTCTTGGGTGCGTCCCCGCTTCACCAAGCCACATCGACCCCGGTAACTCACACAGTCCTTTATCCCGCGTTCGATCGATAAACAAGTTTAATGGCGGCAATTTTTTATCGTGAAGATTGATTTCTTTTCTTGTGGGGGGGCAGATTTCGCCTGGCTCTGAACAGCGCGCACCGCGATGACTTTGCCGAGGAGCGTGACCACTGGGTGCGCGAAATCGAGTCCGTGTGCCGGGGCTACAAACGGATGTCTCACACCCCGACAAACGCCTCCGCCCCCGTCCGCGACGACGCCGCCGCCGCCGCCGCCGCCGCCACCGGCAGCACGGTCGCACCCCCAGCGGCACCGCCCGCAGAGGAAGGTCCCGGAGCTCCGGCGCCCGCCGATCCCGACTGCGGCGACGAAGACGGCGGCTTGAGCATCCCGGCGGCGGCGGCCGGGAACGCGGCTCCCGGGGGGAGCTCGGCGAACGGCGCGCCAGGCTGGGCTGCTCCCGAAGCGCCGAGCTCGGACGACGAGCCGCTGTCCGGCACGCCCGCGGCGTACCGGAGCGACCGGGCTCCAGGCGTCGAGCCGCCGTACGTTCGGAGCCACGGGGACGGCGATGTCGGCGGGGACGATGTCGGCGGGGACGATGTCGGCGGGGACGGCGATGTCGGCGGGGGCGGCGCGTGGAGCCAGACCCCGGACGAGCCGGACATGCCGCTCTTCTCCTGCTTGAAGCCAAGCGAGCCCCGGGACGTGCCCGCCGTCGTGCCGTCGCGCGCCGCGCCCGGGCTGCCCCCGGTCGCGCCGCCGCCTCCGGTGTTCTACACGAAGCTGCGGGCCGATGAGGTGGTGCGGACCAAGGCCCTGCACTGGGACCCCGTGCAGTCCGACAGGGTGAGGGACGGGCGCACGCCTCGGCGCGAGCGTCGCCGCCCGTTGCTGTCCCCGGGCAGGAGTTGAACGCCGTGAACCACCGCGTCGCCAACTCCCAGGCCACGACAAAGACAATTATCCCCTATAGAGTCTGAACAGACTTTTGGGGCAAGTGATGTTGGCGAGCACCTGTGAAGGCCAGCATAACGATAATAATAATAATAGCTTCATATTCTTGGTTCTTTCGGTAAAGTCACGTAGAAGGGAAACAATAAAATCATAATTTTTTTTATTATTTTATAAAAATATGTATTTTTTTTGTATTATTTTATGGTTTCCCTTCTACGTGACTTTAGCGAAAGAACCAAGAATATGAATCCCTGCGGTCACGAAAGCTTTGAATCAAAATAATAGCTTCATTTTATATAGCGTCATTCATACCAACATTGTATATAGTGTCATTCATACCAACAGCATGGCACACGAGATGGTGGGTGGCCAGCGCTGTACCCAGCTGCCTTTGTCTCCCATGTGGCGATATTTAAACATCGCACCAGGTACTCATTTGAGGCTGTGTCTACCTAGGGGAGGCCCAGGACTGGTTCAGATCATTATCAGTGGTGTTGGCCGTGAGCAGGAATCGAATTCAGGTTGCCGGGTTCGTAGTGCAGCGTGCTACCTCTCCCCACCACTGTATACACACAAAGACAAAGATCACCCATATAGCCTCAACAGACTGTTGAGGCAAGTGTTGTTAGCGAGCGCCTATGAAGGCCGGCACGGCACATGAGGGGGTGGGTGGCCAACACCACGCTCGGCCGCCTTTGTCTCCCCAGTGGTGATGTTTACACAGCACACCAGGTACTCATTTGAGGCTGAGTTGATTTAGGGGAGGCCAATGACCGGTTCAGATATGTAATCATCACTGGTTTTTCTGTGAGCGGGAATCGAACTCGGGTCGCCGGGTTGGTAGCGCAGCGCGCTAACCGCTACACGACCGCTCCACACTGCTGTTTGCAACGAAGTGGCGATGACATCACCACGGTGCTCATGCCATGCTCGGTGAACTTTGCTGCCACGTGAAGTGTCCAAGGCTCACTGGCAGGAGGTCACGGAACAAACCCCCCCCAGGTGCCATGGGCTGACTGACTGAGATGGCTTGCAGATGCACCTTTGTGTGCTTCCACACACATACACGCGCACACTCACTGATACGGACGCGTGTGTCCGTATAGATCGCTAAGTCCATGTGGGCTCAGATGCGCGGGGACGTTGGTGCGCTGGACCTGGTCCGCCTTCGGGATACCTTCCGTCTGGAGACGTTGCAGGGGTCCATCATCCCCACATCCCAGCCAACGGCACAGATCTTGCTGAACTCCAAGGTGGCGCAGAACTTCTGTAAGTGTGGCCGCCGGTGCCAAACTCAAACACAATGGAAACGCCGGGTAGGGGATTCCAATTTCCAGCTCGTGGTGTGTGTGGTGCATGCGGTGTGTGCGGTGCGTGCAGTGTGTGGCTCTGCGTGGTGTGCGTGGTGGGCAGTGTGTGGGGTATGCGTGTGGTGTGTGGTGTTTGTGGTGTGTGTGGTGGTGTGTGGTGGTGTGTGGGGTTGTGTGGCTGCTCCTGCTGCTGCACAGTAGACCCCTGACTTCTGAGAGCAGTACCAAGAGTCCCGCCATATCTGGTTAGAGGTCTTCCTCTTGGTCACAGAATTCGTGAAGACGAGTCCAACGCCTGCCTCGGCAATCGGCCCTCCCCTATCCTGCACACGTCTCACCCAGCGCAACGTTTTTGTCTGATCGTATCGACAACCCCTCACCTGCCATGCTATCTTCTTGACTTCCTCATTGGCTTTCACATCTCGCCACAAATTTCCTCGAATCCGTTTCGGACACCTGTGGCCCAAATTGCCGACGACCTCCTGTTTGAGTTGCTGAGCATCCAACCCTCTCATCAACACCGTAAAGCAAATAGCTCTCTTGCCTCCAATACCAGTTTTAATTACACTCTCCAAAGTGTTCACCAATGCGCCTCTTTTATTCGCCCTTCGCCTCCCCTCCCCCCACCTCACACCCCCCTGCATTATGGACATTACTGCCCGAGTACACAAAATCTATTACCGCCTCAACCTTATCGCCTCCTATCGTAGCTTGCGAACCGAATGCAGGAGTGCCGTTTCTAACTACTGCCACTCACTTTGTCTCTAACTACTGCCACTCACTTTGTCTCTAACTACTGCCACTCACTTTGTTTCTCACTACTGCCACTCACTTTGTCGAAGCTTGCATCTTAAAACCCGTCAGCTGCACAGCTCCAGCTGTGCAGCTGACGGGTTCTAGCCAAGCAAACCGGTTGCACTGCTGTGCTCTAACCCCGTTGGTGATGTTCATGTACACATAATCAAGCACAACATTCAACAACGTGGGAGACAAAATATGAACACCTGTGTTGTCATCAATCGATTCTGATGTCTCGCCTATTTCTACGTAAGGTACATCATACACCTTATTGAGCAAGTTGACTTCTGTCACCTGAGATGGCAAAGCAGCCTAGGGGGTTCCCCTCCTACCACATACAGCCATAGCCTAAGTTAAAGTCTGCAAATGATAATCAAAGATCCTCCGCATACTCCAAACGCTTGCTATACTGGCTTGGGTGACTTCTGACATTCAAACTGTTACAGCCTTGAGACTCGGTGGGACTTTTGCCGGCTAAAGGCCATTATCTGTGTTCGTCATCAGCCCTGATCGATCCACTGCTGGACGGAGGCCTCATGAAGTCGTCGCCGCCCCTCACGGTTCTGCGACGGAACATTTGTCGGCATTGTTGAAGTTCATCGTAACATAGGCACGTGGCGTACCATGCGCCCCGATTACTTCTCGAATGGAGCAGGACACTTTGCGATGTCTGCCTTTTAGAGGAGAAGTGGTTGCTGGTCTTTGATTGGCAGGGACTTCCACGGTGAAGGTGATGTTTAATGACCATGTCGAGTGTTAGATAGCGCCGTGCATGCGGATCACATCTCACAGTGCTGACCAACCACTGACGGGCGGAGTGGTAGCCAGCCAGGGATCCAGCGCAAACATTTAGCTCAAGCTCTGCGGTCCTCCGTATTTTAAGGCGACGTTTCCAAGCGGCCAACGAGTGTATAATAATTACGGCGACGGGCGTGTGTGCCTGCGTACGTTGCGACGTGCGTCGCACGCGCAGGTATTTTTCTGCGCGGGTTCCGAGTTCAGCCGGCGCAGCTCCACGAGCAGCTGCTCGTCCTTCGCGGGGACTTGGAGACGGGAATCACGGACGAGCAAATCGCCGAGCTGCGGCGGTGAGAGGCTCTCACCTCCCTGGTCCTCCTCTGCCCTTGGGCACTGGGAGATGTTAACTGCTTTGCCTGGTATGCAGGAGATCGTGGGTTCAATCCCGACCCTGACGCCTGCCGTATGCTTGGAGTTTGCGTGTCTCTCTCCCCCCCCATGGTCGTGTGGATATTTCTCCAGGTCTTCCGGGTTTCCCCTCCACATTTAGAATCAACGTCACGCGTTTAGAGTATTTGGCTGCTATACATTTCTACGTGATAAGCCACTTCGTTGAGCAATCATTTGTGGCCAGGTCGCTTCTGAAAACGAGCTCTATAGCTCAGTAGGCCTTTAGTGTGTTATATACATAACAAAACAATTGTCAGTCTTGGAATCAGTTTGTCGGTCACGGCACTAGTAGTTTTCGTTTTAAAGACGCGAGTAACTTTTTGTTTTTAACTAGAGAGAAGCAAAGAACCATGGTATCGATAATAAATGATGTATGACTTATGGTCTTTGAACTTGGTAAAAAAAAGTGACCAGAAATGTCACCATATACATTTCATGAGATTTTAGAAACTCCCACTGATTATTTTGAGATATGAGTTCAGATTAGTTTTAATAACGATAATAATCTATAATAATGATAATAATAATCATTTACTTATTTATCCATTGAAGCCACACTGAGTTGTAAGACTCGTTTAAAGAGGGTCCTGCATGGGGTTGTTTTTTTCATTTTAAGACGTTTTTTAGCCAATTAGTGAGCATTTATAAGTGCGGGATAGAAAACAGCTGAACCCAAATAAAATGCACACATGAGCAAAGGGGGAAGGCTCTATCCCCGTGCAGATGGAAACAGATGGCGATTAGTCCACTGCTTTCTCCTGGCAAGTCATGGCATGGCACCTCGAAGCTCACGGGAAGGGAGCTTTACGAACATTTGTGTGATCGAAACCAACCCTCCCAGCCTCCACAGTGCTTGATTACAGGCCACGTGATCCATACCAATGGACTAGATATCCACCCTGTATGGAGTCGGATTGGTTGGTGGCAGATCTGTATTAAAGGTAAATGAATACAAAATTTTTAAAAACAATTAGTCTACCTATAGGCCCTACGGACCAATATTTTCGAGTCGCATTTGCCAAAGCAGACAACACCCGGATCCATTTAAACATTCCGCGTCTCATGACAGTTGGGTTCATTAAAGGCATTCTGGCGGGTTGCTTGATGTGAAACCGTCGCTCGAAATGGAGAAGTCCTATTTGAATGAACAAACAACAACAACAACAAAAGCGCAATATTACGAACCTAAAATAACATAACAAAGCGAGAAGAAAAACGGACTTGAGCGAGTGGATACGCCCATCGTGGTCACAGTAGCAAGCAGGTGGCTTGCGGTACTTGCGGCCGTACCGATAACCGCGCTGACGGCGGTGCTGCCTGCTGATGCCCCGTTGCTGGTCACAGATTCGTGCCGACGGCGGAAGACGTGGAGATGTACAAGCCGCACGTGAAGCGACGAGCGGTCCTGCACCAGGTGGACCAGTACATGCTGGAGGTTCGTTCGCGAGCGCCCTTTTCCGCACCTCCGGCTGGCACGATTGGCTACGGACGGCGCGCGGGACCCGGAGGCCTCAGGGGGCCTCCGGGTCCTGGCGGCCTGTCGGTTGTGTCGCGTCCGACGGGCGGAGATGAGCAGCGAGGTGGCACAGGGCAGTTTCCTGGGACCAAAGAAATCCAACGGAAGTGTTCAGTCGTGAAAAAGTCATAAGCTGGAGCTTTTATCGGTAAAGAATGTATCAACGCGTTGGCGCGTCGTTGCAATAATAATAATAATATCCTAAACGTGATAATCTTGTTGGGTGGCGGAGGGCGAATGACAATAATCTTGCCATCAAACGACTTCCACGTAGCCTCACTCAGAAACACCTGCGATGAGCAAGGTTGGCTACGTACGGTATTTTATTTGATCAATTTATTATTTTATTCTCATTCTACGTGACTTTACCGAAAGAACCAAGCAAACATAGACACACACTTGGCTCCCTGCAGGCAGTTGGGGCGAGGCTTTTTTGTCGCATCGTTGCGTGCGTGCGTGTTTGCGCTTTCGACAGATGTGCAGCATCCCCTTCCTTGGCGAGAGACTGGAGCTGCTGATGACCGTTCGTGAGTTCCCGGGACAGATCAGCGAGCTGAAGCCGGTACGAGAGCCAGCGAGCACTGGCCACGCACCGCCGCCGAGGGGACACTCGATGGGAAGGCCGGGCGCCTCTGGCTAGAGGGGGGGAACGCTCAAGGGAGCCACCGGTGTGCCGATCGTAAATCCTTCGGTGACATTTAGCGAGTGAATTGAAACATATTTTTTAAAACAGGTCGATTGAGCATGTTTTATGGCTTACCACTGGGTTGTCATTAAATAGTGTGGAAAAAGAACAAATTATTAGAATAAAAATTGCCCCGTTTTTTTTTTTATTAAGTTGAGTAAACAAACCTTTTCATAGGTGGAATTGAACCCCTGATCAATACATTGCTATTTTTACAGTAGCCTCCAGATCATAACTTTAATTGGATACAGTTGATCGCGTGCAGCTTCTTTTGACTCAAGACATATTCGCTGTGTCCTCATTGCATTTATTCAACAACGTTGAAATGTTCATCCTGTTGGTGGGTACAGAAATCAATGACGTATAAATGTTTTTATCCCTATCGGCAAGTGCGGGAAAAAAATCCGTGCTTCGGACGGATGCATCGTCATTCGTACGCATAGCTACTCCGTGGATCTTTTCCAAACGACGCGAGCTCGCAACGTGTGTGCCCGTCGGCGTGTTTCCCCGAACGCGCAGCTCATCGCGCACCAGCTCTCGCGCTGCTCCCAGCTGGCGGCGAGCAAGAAGTTCCCTTGCGTGCTCGAGTACGTGCTGCTCGTGGGCAACCGCCTCAACGAGACAGCCGGACGGAGCCCCATCAAGGGCTTCTGCCTTTCGACGCTGCCCAAGGTTCGTCGCCCACTCGTACGCGAGGCAGAGGCTGCCGCCGCGCGACTTTTCCTGGCTAGTTCTTGGGCCTTTTTTCGGTGTTGGGAAATCGTTTTGATCGTGAAGTTGACATTCGCTTAGCAGAGTGCGATCGCCGGAGGGACTTGACTTTTTTTTTATTTTACATTAACGTGCTTTTGCGATCTTGGAGCACTATCGTTGGTTCATCGTTCCTGTTCTCCCTTTAAAGGAAACTTTTTAGCGTCGGCAGGCTCTCATCTGGTTTTGAAGAAAGCGTCCCTACCCAGTGGCACTTTGAATGTACTAATAATCATCATTACTATTATCATCATATCTGCTTGCTAGTTCACTTCTGGATGAAGGCTTCCCCTTGCCACGTCACTCGCAGGAGCTCCTTGAGCAATATGAAATGATGCTGCTCAATGCCGATTGGTGGAGGGCAGCCCAGCAACTGTTGTTGTGTCACTCGCCAATGATGGTAGCGGTGGCCGAGAATCCAACTGAAGCCGCCTTGGGTTCATAAGTTGCAGTGTGCTGATGACTGCGTCACCACAGCCCGCCCTTTAAAATAGTTCGGGCTTTAACAGTGAAAAATAATGTATTATTATTACGATTAACAATAATAACAAATGCTCCCCCTGCTGTTAAACGTGAGTATAATTATTATCCCTCGTCCCCCCCCCCCCCCATCGACAAGAGCTAAAGTATCACGCTTGCTCATCGTTTCACCAAATGAAGGGGGGGGCGGGCACAGACCCCCCCCTCCCGTTTCCACCACTAACATGTCACCTATGAATGATCATTATGACGGTTTATGATGATCATGATGATGTCGGTGGTGACAATCAGTGCATGGCATGTTACAAATCTTGAATTGATTGCACGATTGTTGATGATGATGATGTTTTTTTTTAATCTATTGATGGTTTCTGTTGAGTGCAGCTGATGGAAACCAAAGGCCAGAACAGGAAGTACACTTTGCTGTGCTTCCTGGTGGAGCAGATTAAGATTCATCGCCCAGACCTCCTGGACTTTGCCCAGGAGCTCCAGAGCCTCAAGTCTGGCTCGACCGGTCAGTGCACGGGGTGCTCGCAACGCACCCGAGACGAAGGCAGATATCCTGAGTTTAGAACACAGAGCAAAGGGGGTAGCCAAACGTCCTCGGCTTATCGCAGTCTACAAATAGCCGAGAGCCGCAGGGGAAATCCCCGTCGCGTGGGGTGGTTCTGCGGGGGTGGTAATGCGGGGTGTAGTCACGCAGCCACCGGTTGGCTGCGGAGATTTTGGCATTTAGAAATCCAAGGGAGCATCCCGGGAGCGCTCGTGTCTGGCTACCGCTGCCATAAACGAGTTGCCCCTCTTTCAGGTAGCTACGTTGAAAGGTTGCACGTTAGCTGCGTCTCCATCGAATTGCGCTTGAGCTGCCTGGGAGCCGCGGCTTGGCCGCCCGTGCTTTAGACAGACTCTCCGGGATAATCGCTGGGTAGCAAGCAACAACCGATGGAGGTTGGGACAGCACACAAGGTGTTTTATTACGAATTAAAAAACGCAACCACGCATTTGCCACGAGAATAACGTTCACGTGCAAAGCGCCGCTGTCAAAGTGGCGTCCGTTAATTTTGGTGTGTTGTCCGCGTCAAGGCTCGCGTGTGTTATTTTACGTTTTGCGATCATCTCTCCCACAGCGTCCATTAAGGGGCTCACGGCAGAGATGGACGGTGAGTGAAGAATCGTTACGCAACGCCGCGTTGGCAGCGCCTCCTTGGCTGATTGATTCATTCATTGCGCTGCCCTGTCTCGAGGCTTTCAAAGGCAAACGTGTTAGCACTTGCGTAAAGGTGCGTTGCGTTTTTTTTGCAGCATAATTCTCGGTGTCTCGTGACTAATTCATCATAACCGTAGAGATTGCCACTCACAGTAAACTGAATCGGTCTCACTTATTTGTGAATGTAACTCATGAATTCTTTACACAGAGATATATGATGACGCTACATTCATGAAATGTCTGCAGTGTTTGATATCACATTCTGCAGATGTAGATGCCACTGGTTCACAATGCTTTATGATGTCCACTTTAGTTTACAACATAATAGTGCGCCCCCTCTTACTACCACCCTCAACACTTTCACCAGTCTTTCGCTGCTTTGGAGACGCGATGGGGGTTGATAATGTTCGTGAAAAGCAGAGAGAACGTTGTAGTGAACCGCACAGCGACAATGCAACAGCAACAGACGATGGTGGCGGCACAGGTGGAAATGCTGGGAATGCTGGGTAATGACGCCGAACAACCACGGCCATCTACGGCATGGCGGTTGAACTTTTAGGACTCTCGGTCTGAACGGGCAACTGGAAATACGGACAGGTTTGTTCGTATCTCTGAAGTTCGTAAGTCGAATGTTCGCAAATAGAGGAGTCCCTTATGTTGTTTTTCTATAGATTTGTTGTTTCCTGCAATGGTCAGAACAAAGGGAATGCATATGACACACACTGTAATTAACTTGTGTTTATATCATCACAGGTGAAGTGTGGATATGGCAATTTCACTCTTATTGTTTGGAGACAGAGGAAGGGTTATGTTTAGTCATTGTGCGTCTTCACTCCGCCCGCAGTGCTAAAGCAATCGCTGGTCAAGCTCGCACAGTACCACAGCAACCTCAAGAAGTCACTCAAGAGCGAGTCTGAGACCAAGTTCTTGGTGGAGCTCAAGGTAGAATGCCTCCAAGCGCTGTAATGTGCAATCGTTCACACCGGAAGCTGGGGAACATAGATGGATAATTAATTTACAACCGAGTATCTTGCCTCGTCAAGATCAGTACACAGGGGTCATGTCACATCTCTTATTTCATGCAGTCTTGTTTTCTCCGATCCCGTCACACACTTTCCAAACAACCTTGTGTTAGCTGGATGGTATCTATGGGACCCTTTTTGCCAGCATCAAGATATTGAATGATAAAAACGGGCTTTACTCCTTCTGACATAAATATGTGTGCTTAATGCAGACTCGATGTCTTGTGACATGTGTCCATTTGGTGTTTGAATAATAGCCGGATCGTCTTTCGTTAATTTTTTGTTGCTACGGAGAGAACATTGGAATGTCTTCGGCAGTACTATACATCCAGAAAACGAGATATCACAATCGCTTGCTCGGCTGTGTTTCTTGCCCGTAATCCAGGCTCATTCTCCAGCCACGCGGGGCAGTGTCAGTTTCACCACCTCTGACGCAACGTATGGGCTTTCACAGCTCCGTGTGGCACGACTATGTTCAATTATATATTTTTTTCGACATTCCGACTTTTTTCGCGCCGCCGTTGAAGATTGGGCTGAGACCGTAAATGCACAAAAGCCCTTTAACACTTTGGAGCTAAAAGCAAATATTTCAGTGGCACTGGCTATATGGTCTAATGTAGGTTCTAGGTCCTGCAATGGCATCAACAAAACACAACAAAATATTTGAATTAAAATTTGGAGGCTGTCCAGGATAATCGAAGATTGTATTCTATGAAGTAGGGGCAGTATCTTGCGAGATGCAAGGCATCATGGTGCATCACCAAAATTGTGCAAATGCCCCCCACCATCCCCGCCATCACCATCATCACTACCACCGCCACCACCATCACAATAACTGCCATCCCCAACACGACCATCGCCAGTAACATCACTGTCCGGAGATTGTGTAACACCATACGGTTATTGTGCAATTACAATGTGGAAATTTCAGGGATCACGTGGTCATGTGCGCCATGGATTTTTGTGCTAACGTACAGCAGACAGAGTTAACCAACGCAGTGGCGGCGTTCATCGCTTTTTTGCAGGTAATGATCAACAAGTTCAAGGGAGAACTCAACGACCTGACGACGCAGATCAGTGACTTGCGCAGATCGTACATGGCCCTCATGGTGAGACGTCTCTCGTGCTTTTGCACCTGCGGTTATCCCTTGCGGGTCTAACGATACATTCATATGTATGCGATCTAACCCAAACACCTCCATTATAGATAGCAATATATATTGGTTTGACGGTGAACTTCAAGCAAACTGGTACTGGAATGGTTTTAATAAAGGTTCTAGCTGGGTGGCTCAGAGGCCAGGGTAACGAGTCACCACCACGGACATCGTGGACTTAAATCCAAGCAGCCGCGTGCAATTAGACAAGCTTCCCAAGACTAGAGAGCTGATATGGTCTTGACAAAAAAAAAACACCCTTATTTAATTTGGTTTTGCATTTTGTTTTGGCTTTATTCCACCTCCTCAGAATACAAACCATCGGTCTGTCACGCACTGAATAATTCTGTGCAGCAACGCGATTGGGGAGGTGTTACCTCAATGCGTGGATCGGGAGATTACTCGAAGGCATATAAAAAAATAGATCTGTGATATCCGCTCCCAAATGCCGCTGCCTAACACTCCTTGTCGCGAGATCCGAATGGCTATTTTCATCTCGTCACATGACACCAATTGCAAAGTCAGGGTAGAATTGAGGAAAAAAGAGCAAAACGAATAAACAAAAGGTACGAGAGGCATTCACTGTCAACATTCTCCGTTAAAGCGTTTGAAATGTGGCACTGTGTTTAACCGTGCAGGTTAGGTTTGGAGAAGCGACTGAGCGGGACTCTGAGCAGTTCTTCGGTTGGACAACGGAATTCATGGATGCATTTACCGCTGCACTCAGGAACGGAGAGTCTGCGGAGAAAGGGCGACTTTTTCCCTTCTAACCCGGCACAGGGGCCATCTGGAGTGCTGAGCCGACTTCCAACAGTCGTTTGCATGAAGCAGCCACGAGCGATCATAGAGAAGGATATTTTTGAGCATCTTTTGCCAACTTGTATTTAATATTGTTTGGATAATAATTTTAATTGCACACTGAAGTCTATTCAAGTAGCATTTCAAATGCACTTATTGGACGGAACAAATTATAGCTTGTAAATGGATGCAAAAGAAATTAACCTCAGATTAAAGTGAATTTGATTGAAGTGAGTTGGTCAGTGAAAAACAGGCCATGAAATCATTTCTCTAATAGAGGTGTTTGGGTTAGATCGCGTAAATATAAATGTGTCGTTAAACCCGCCACCACCTGACACAACCAATTATTAAGATTTGTCACGTTAAACAAAACATGCCAATTCGTTACTTGTACAGCACACCGGATGTGTGTTGGAGAGTAAACCCATTTAAAAGATGTGAAATAATAATCTCCCTTGCTTTTTTGCTGCACCCTGTTGCAGCAGTATGAAGACTCTTAGCAGTGTCTTTACACGTGCTTCTTACTCGAGATCACGCCAAATTGTATGCATTTACTTATTGCAGAGGGTTTAACGCTAAATCCACATCGCTTACATTTCACTTAATTTATATCCTTCGCAAATGCGCGGACAGTGCTGGTTCATATGAAAAATAAAACAAATTGTACGTTGGGTCGCAAGATGCGCTTATTAAAGAAATTGTGGCCTAAATGACGTGGGGCACTCTTTGGAGCTCTTTGTCATTAGGCATTGTAATGTGACCTGTAACATGATGAGTAATGCAACAGCGATTTCCTGCTCAATTGGGAATTGAACATTGAGGCGGTGGTCATCTCCTTTTAAACAGCCTTGATCCAGTGGTGGGAATTCCACGATACCTATGGCAAGGTAGAGTTATTCCAGAGGACAACCACCATGGACCTCCCACAAAGTGGTACCACTTTATGGCACCAAATGGGATAATAGGCTGAGTGAGCCCCCAATCAGAATATGAAGTCAGAACCTCCTGATTGCGAGCAGCTCGCTCTACTACTGAGCGACAGTCGTTAAACTACCAGGTAAGGCCCACTGAGCTATATAGGTCTTTTTCAGAAGCGACCTGGCCAAAATAATAGCTCAATCAAGTGGCTTATCACGTGGACATTTATAGCAGCCAAATACTCTAAACGCATGATGTTGATTCTAAATGTGGTGAAAAACGGAAGACCCAGAGAAAAATCCACGCCACCAGGGGGAGAGACTCCAAATATACAGCAGGTGTCAGGGTTGGGAACGAACCCACTACCTCCTGTATACCCGGCGAGGTAGTTAACATCTCGCCACCGTATTTATCAATGCGAGTGGTTATGAGAAAGTAACGAGTAATGCCCAAGCTGTGGAAAGAATTGTACACACAATTGCTTACCAAATTAATGAACTGCAAAACGAGCATAGTGCTGTTGGTCCAGCCATAAATGTTCAGTGAAATGTGCCTATTTAATCATGGCTACATTGTATGTTTATATTCATTATTTCCACGAGGTCATCGTTAAAGTGACATGCAAATCTGTCTTCTTTTGTTGGGTTTCGTTGAGCAAATAGCTAGCACTTATATTTTTTTCTTACGAGATTTAAGAAATCTCCATTCGAGGCCGATTAAAAAAAAATCTTGCATTAGGTACAACTGTTTGAAGTTTTCTTTTGTGAAACAAACTCTTTTATAATTTCAGGCATAGGCGAAGCTGAATCACCTTTGTTTATACCGTGTGGATTTTTTTTAATCTGTACACTCTGTGTACATGCAAGATATCTTGAGCATTTTTCTAAATGAAATGTTATTTGAAAGTGATTTAATTGTGTTACGAAATTTAATATAACTCGCCTTTTGCCCGTCCACGGACGGGTGTATTTCAATAAATCTGAAACTTGCAAGCGAAAATGAGACCACGACGTGATATTCATTGCATCAATTCGTGTGCAATTTGTAAGGCTGCGGTGACACAGACCTATTTCATTTAAAGATAATAATCCCGTCTTCATCATGACGTCCTTTTTACTTCTATGTCTCAACAGCGTCACGGAGATCACGTGATGACGTGAGGGTTCTGCCTTTGTAGTGAGGGTTGTAAGTTGACGCCGAGGAGGGGGGAGGAGGCGCCTCGCCCGCCCCCCCCATGTGGAGTGACGTCGGCTGCTAATTATTCTTAATGGGGGGGGTGTCCATTTGTAAGACGTCACCTCTTCATGATTATTAATGTGGGGGGCTGTTCGATGTGGAGTGACGTCACCTGCTCATTATTATTAATGAGGGGGGTGTGCTTCATGTGGAGTGACGTCACCTGCTCATGATTATTAATGAGGGGGAGGTATCCATGTGGAGGACATCACCTGTTCATGAGTATTAATGAGGGCGGCTGGCCGACGTGGAGTGACGTCACGCACGGGACACACATTCTTGGCTCATTATAATCGTAGATTACAATTACATCCCCGTGTGTCAAAGTCTAGCTGGATGAGGGCCCTGCCCTTGCCCATGTGGAATGTTTAACCATCCTTGACCGCCCTGGTCAAAGGTTAGTCATGGTGGGAAATTCCACTCAGGTCACCGGCCGTCTGCTGCAACGTAACGTAAACATTGGTCCAGAAGGCCCATAAGTTGATGGACTAAAATGTAATTTAGGGGAATGTTTCTATATCATTTAGGAAATGCCAATGTTCCCATTCAGCTGATTAAGTTTAAATAGTTACTAAATTAAGAGTTTAGAAATTCAGTCATAGCATTGTAAACAAACTGAATCATACACAAAATACCAGTTATTAATAAGTACAATGAAATAATATTTGCAACAAATACATGTCCATAATTTGAGACTGGCAACAAAACATACCGTCGGTTTATTTTGTGTTCTTATACCACATGCATTGCATACCACGTTTAAAAACATTCAAATGAATTCTCAACAAAACTTACAACCGATCCATTACATTCAAAACTCAGATATGTATCATCACAGATATTTAAGAAAAGTCCTCTATGCTAAGAACGTTTGTTTCTGACAAAAAGCTAATGCATTCTCATCGACGAGAACTCGATTCACCGTCTTTTTCTCTTTTCTACCAAATTCTGAGAAATAGATGTAGACATGCCATCAAATACGCGATAATATTTTCTTTATCTTTAAAATGGCCCCCGAGTTCTGACCATTTACCCTGGTCCTGTTTATTATCTGCTTTCCACGCATGGCACGCATTGGGATCTACGGATGAAGTGTACCTTGCAAGTGTAAATTATAACTTTTATTAGTATGTGCCCTGAGCAAAGCAGCAAGGCGTTGTATCCAGCTGCCCAAACTAGCCAGGATATGCATGTCCGGGAGCTGCAATTTCATACTTCTAAAGCGACGAGAAGCACACACTTATCGCAGAGAAACATGTCAGACGCAACGGACGAAAGTCCACCACGTTGAAGGCGTTTCACAGTGCAGGTTCCATATTGAGGCTTTTGAGGTCTAGTGCTGGTATCGTTGGGTCACTGGGCAGGTGGCTCTGCTGAAGGCCCCAGTGTGGTCCGTAGGCTCCATGGGACACTTATCGCATGGCTGTGGTTCCTTGCATCCGGTGATCAGGAGTTCGCCGTCGTCAACATATTCAGACGATGACGACTCTCAGGCTGAACTTGAAGGGCAGTTTTCTGCACCAAGCGTTGCAATCTGTTTTTTTTCTTTACACCTCTTAGGCATCGTAATTACAATTAATCCTGGCCCGATATATTTTAATATAATAAAATCCAGGATGGCCTACAACAGTTGGAGGTTGAGCTGCATGGCTGTGCGGCAATGTCCAGTGAGCTCCCAGCAATACAATGCGGCAAAATGGAATTGAGAAGTGAATAAAAATGCTTGCAGAAGTACGTCGATTTTAATTTTAGTTTTGAAGCTTTCATGACTGCAGGAATCCATAGTCTTTGGTTATTTTGGTAAAGTCACGTAGGTATAAAATAAATCGCGACGTTTCGATTGCAACACAAGCAATCATCATCAGGTGGGAAAACCACAGCAATAATTTTCTTTTGCTGAAGTAGGAGAGAGAGTTGCCATGGTAAGAGGTTATATAGGTAGAGGTTATAGAGGTAGAGGTTATATAGGTAAGAAAAGGGGGAGGGGCAAGGGGGGGGAGAGCGTCTCCTCGCGTCCACGCAGCGCTCCCCTCCCCCTACCCCCCCTCCTCTCTCCCCCCTTGCCCCCTCCCCCCTTTCTTACCTATATAACCTCCCACCTGATGATGATTGCTTGTGTTGCAATCGAAACGTCGTGATTTATTTTATTTTATACCTACGTGACTTTACCGAAATAACTAAAGAGTACGTGGATTTTGCGAACAACAAAAGTCTGCCCACTCGGCATAAAGCTCCAGAGCGATGCAATGGGAAAGGCAGCAGAGCAGCAGCAGAAGGATGGTCATCAGACCGCAGTCCTCAAATGAGATTTAGAAAACGGTTATCGTAACGCTACGGCTGCGAAGACGTACGAGTTACACAAACAATCCAACTGAAGGCATGCTAGCAGTGAGAATAAATTCTGTGGAGATAAACTGCCCACTCGGAACACAATGCTGACGCTGCAGGTTGTTAACTCCCTTGCCGAGTATGCAGGGGGTTGTGGGTTCAATCCCAACCCTGACACCTGCTGTATATTTTGAGTTTGCATGTTCTCCCCATGGATTTTTCTCCGCGTCCTCTGGTTTTTCCCTCCACATTTAGAAACGTGCGTTTAGAGTATTTGGCAGCTATACATTTCCACGTGGTAGGCCACTAAGTTGGGCTATCATTTGTGGGCAGGTTGCTTTCGAAAAATAACTATATAGCTCAGTGGGCCTTACCTGCTAAAATAGTTTTACAAGAGTTACAGAGTGGGTTGTTTTTGTATGGTGAAATCTTTCATCCAGCAGCGATTGAAGATCGGGCCACGATAAACAAGACTTTATGGGTGCTACGTCTGCCAGAAGATGTCATCGGTCATCACTTTGGCACTCTTGAGCACCTTCATGAGGGTTGCCCGAGTGGCGCTACGGCCCTCCCTTTCACGCCAGCTCCTTAGCATCTGGTAGGTCACCTCGTCCATCCCATAGCAGTGGTAGTTGTGCTCCAGGTTTTCCAGCTGTGCCTCCCTGAGGCCAAGGGCTCGGCCAACAGGTTTCCATTTTTTGCCGAGCAGCTCGGCGATTTTTGGCAACTCCTGGTTGGTCACGGTGACGTTGAGCGCGTCGTCCAACGCGACCTCCGGAGTTGCTCCTGGACACGAATGCAGGCAAGTTGGCGAACGATCGTTACTGTCAACGACGCGTCACATGCAGTGCGGCATTAATTGTGTGAAGGCCGAAACAACAGACCAGCGTGCCTGACGTGGTACGTGTGCAGACGGTCAGTCGGCAAGTGTGTCAGGGGCCTCTGATTGGTGCAGGGAGGCCTCAAAGTAGGACTGGTTAAGGTCAGAGAATTTAACTAATTGGAAGAGAAATGCAAGCGTAAACGGAGGAGGGGGAAACGAGGATTGACTGTCAGGGGTTAAAGGTTGACAACCATGAGGGAAGGAGGACGAAGTTTGGTCCGAGGGAAATGGGGTGAGTGAAACCTTCGAGAAAGGGGGGATCTATGTTACGTTTCAGTTTATTTATTTTGGTATAGCCCTGTGAGCCATTCGGCTCTTGAATCGGGTGCAACCACAACAAACAAAAACACGAACAAGAAAACATCTTAAAGTGACTATGTGTGACTGTGCAAACAGAAAATCCATGAAAAAAACAGCAAAATATTCCTGAAAAAAGCACCGTACACCAACGCTGTGTGCAAAAAATCCCAGTGGGATGCAAGTCAAACAACAACAACAACCACAAGAGCGTGGTTAGGACGTGTATTGTGTGGCTTGGGCTGCCACATGTCCAGAAAGTGGCAGTATACAACAAAGGATTGAATCCATCTGTGCGAAGCTTCGAGTGTTATCCCCTCATATAGTTGCTTTTCGTTTAATCTGGACACTTCAGTTTAATCCCACGTTCCAAACATCTCACGAATGGAACTTAACAAATATAACGATGCTGGATTTTGTTTAAAAATAGTTGTTAGACTCGTATTAATTTTTTAATCCGCATCATACGGTGCAAACGTGTACGTTGACTAAATTCTGCACAAAAAAAAACAACTGATCCTCTCACAATGCCTTTATTCCAAACTCCAAGATATATTTGTCAGTTGAATGTTTTATAGCGATACGTAGGGTTTTTTTGTTTGTGTATATCCAAAATAGAGATTAATACAAAAAAAGTGAACGAGCTTCCATCAAAAAATTTGTAAGGCAGGCGGGGGCCAAGTGGTCGGGCACATTCACAAAGTGAGCCAATCTCAACGGACTTCTCGACGGGTTCGCCCCGGCAACGGCCTGAGCATTTGCCTCCGACGCTGGCAAATGCACGCGACCGAAAACGGTGGCATCATCCCGCGAGAGGAAGTCACCGCGTGGCAGTGGCGTGCGGTTCAGGGTTTGCAAAATATACCGTCGAGAGGGGCGCTGCGCATCAGCTTTGCGGAGGACTCCGAGCACGGTGGCTTAGAAGTCTCCTGCACGGGACCTTCGATGAACACACGGACACACACACACACTTACATACAGCATGCGCGCTCGGCTGCTGTGCCCAGTGTAACATCCCATCGTGGTGGTGAGATGATGTCTGCCTCGTCTGGTATGCGGGAGATCGTGGGTTCCATCTCGACCCTGACGTCTGTATATTTGGAGTTTGCATGCTCTTCCTGTGGTCGTGTGGATTTTTCTCCGGGTCCTCCGGTTTTTCCCCTCCACATTTAGCAACGCGCGTTTATAAATGTGGCTGCAATAATGAATTTCCACGTAATAAGCCACTATTATTTGTGGCCCAGTTCGCTTCTGAGCTATATAACTCAGTGGGCCTTACCTGGTAAAATAAAAAAAAATGTTTTTTATTTTTATTTTGGTGTAGTACAAGGGAAGTTATCGCTCTCCTACACAGTACTCACAGCTATATTTATATTCTGTATTTGCAGCATCACTCCGGCATGCCCGCTGCCTTCCCTCCCCACGTCAGAGTCGATGAGATCACGTGTGAAATGGTGGAATTTCCCACTGTGTGTGTACGCGACGGTGTGTTTCGCTTGTGTGAGACAAGCGTGTCACTTGGTGGGCACGCGCAACTCTGCCGCGACTTACGGAAAATCGTTGTCGTCATGTTTAACTCTCCCCACCCAAGTTGCTCTTGATCAGGCTGTGACAGCTGAAATGAAAGTACAGATTACGCTTCAGAAATGATAGTTTCAGCGCTGCACAGTGCTGTATACATGAGGAATTCGTCCTAAACGTGTACATCGAAAGGGTTTTACCCCCTGGCACACCACGTGGAAGGGAAGCAGAATTAGAGAGAATCACTATAGCTATCCTGGAGGAATCTGATGAGCTATAAAGCTCTTCTTCACAGATTTCCAGTCGGGGCAGGACAGAACGTTACCACAATAAACAGTACAAAAACACCATAGGAGTGCAAAATATGGGAAATATAAACAAATCTCACGAAAAAACTTCCCACTGAGCTATTAGCTTCGTTTTCAGAAGCGACCTGGCCACAAATGATAGATCAACAAAGTGGCTTGACACATGGACATTTATAGCAAGAGGGCAGGCGGGGGAAAGTTGACGGACAGCGAGGGCACCGTCTAAGATGAGCAGCAAGAAGAAAGGAGAAACCGGCCAGGAAGAGGAGGAGGCGGAGAGCGAATGACGGGGCCAGGATGTGGGGAATGAGAAGGTGATGTAGGGGAGCGAAGAGAGGGAGGGGGAAGGAAGGAGCAAGGACAAGGGAAATGCATGCAGCAGCATCTTTGTTATCCTTCCCCCACACCTCCGATTAGCAGGGTTGGCTATGTACGGCGCAAAAGAAGTTCAACATACGTACATACATAGGTCCGGGAACAGAATCAGAATCTTTATTTATTCTGGAGGAATGCTATGAGCTGTGAACAGTCTTTTTTGACAGATGTCCACTCGGGGGCCCGGGGTCAGAAAGTAAAAATGACAAACGATGCAGGGGGTGGGTGAGCGCGGAGGGATTCAGTGGGAGTGGCCACACAGAAGTCACGTGATTTACTGGAGGCTTTGATCTCATTTAGATAATGTATATATTTGTATTCAACTTGCTGTATATAGTGTATACAGTAGAACCTCGGAGATCGAACGCACCAGAACTCGAACAAATCTAGAAGTTCGAACCATATTTCCGAACATTTTTTTGCCCTGGAAACCCAAACGAAATTCGGAGGTCGAACGGGGCAATCGTGACTTGAAAGAACCTGTACACGGCTGAGACGCTGATGGCCAGCAGCGTGCATGACGCTTGCCCAGACAAAGGGGACTCCCTTCTAAAAAATAACAACACCACCTCCTCCTCACCACCTTGCACTCAAGCCATTTTAAATCAGCAACCATTTTAAATGAGCATATTAACCTGCGAATGGTGTACCGAGATGATGAAAGTTTAAAAAAGCCCATACCATGGCTTGCAGCTCCTGCCTTGCTGTGAGGACATTATCTTTGAAGGCGTTAAATACCGGCTCCGTAACCTTGATACAGTCTGTAAGCACACGTGATACGACAATTAAGGCCACTATAACAATAAATGTCAGCGCTTTGTAACTTCACTGCTGGATGCAGGTGTCTCCATGCAGTGTCGGTCACCATGGCGGGCAGTACACCAGCAACACGGGTCACCTCGCTTGGGAAGCAGGCTTCAATTGTACATTACAGGTGCATCATTATCATCATTATCATCATCATCATCACGCAAGTGATTCACAGTAACATTAGAAGTTACTTTCCAAAAATGTGATTGGTTGAGACATATTAACCGTCGCATATTTACTGACATGGTCGTTATAACAACGCACCGGGAATTGATTGGCAAGTAACGGGAGAGCTTCGTAAAGAAGGCTACATAACTGGGACTCCAGTGTGAACGAAACTAAATTCGTAAATAAATCCGTTGGAGGGATACAACTGGAACACAGAGTATATATACTGAATAATATATTAATATGAATTAATATTATCATATATTACTAATTACTAATCATAATATAACACACATTACTAAAATCGTAATTAGAACTTACGTTACATTAATAACTTACGTTAAATTACTAACTTGAGTTACTATGAATATTATTCACGAACGCCTTATATTGTTAGGCGTTCGTGAAGGCAGACTGGGAGCGAAATCATGAAATAAAAACCAGAACTAGACTAAAACAATGTTTTCTTTTACCAGGTAAGCCCCCCCTAGAGAGAGGGACAGGTGCAGGTTGTATTGCCGTTGGAAAACCAATTTTAATGAAACCCAAACTTCTTCGCAACGTGCCTGTGAAAGAACAGGGTCGCGTGCGACAAACTAAACGTCACTGCTTTCACCATAAAACGAGGGACGGGCTTTGGGGTTACAATCCCAGCAGCTCGTCATGAGGCGGATGAGGCTGTCCGCCTCCCGCGGCCGATCCTCTGGGATGTCGTCGGTGCTGGGCCGTTGGTTTCCCTTCACCACGCACTCGACCACGTGGAACGAGTTGACAGCGTCTGTGTTTTGAAGGGGCGGGCGGGCCAACACACTTAAAAGCAGGCGGAGGCATTTCATGGCCAGACCTTGTGCAAGCGATAGTTCGTTTTTATTTGATAAGTCCCCGAGCCAATAATTAACATACTCTTTGGATCTTTCGGTGAAGTCCTCATCAGGTTGTGCCACCTGACGAAGGATTGCTTGTGCTGCGATCGAAACGACGTGATTTGTTTTTATTTTATTTTATTTTCTACCGACGTGACTTTACCGAAAGAACCAAAGAGCATGGATTCCTGCAGTCACGAAAGCTTCAAATCAAGAATTAACGAAATTAGACTCAGAACAAGCGTTACTGTAAAATGCATACATTGTTATGGGCAGCTGTATAAATGTGAACTGAGATTTTTACTTAATATGTATATCGTATTGTTCATATTTAATCTGAATCTACGTTTTAAATGATAGGTGAATGGATACACAGATATATATATACAGTTGCATAAGAGAGTATACATATATTCAAACTGTGATTTACTGCTATTAAAAAAAACCAACGCAACTCAAAACAAATTGTATTTCATCTATACACTGTACAGTACTGTACTCCGAATCGGACAACTGAGCATGTTTCCAAAGGAACACAAACGTAGATTTAAAGCCACGTTACGCGATTAAAATCTACGGTCTGCCTCACTTGCGTAGGGGGTGGTGAGTGTTAAGATCTCCCACACGACGATCGCGAAACTGGGAAGAAAAACCAGACATTCGTGTTGTTTATTTGGTGAGCACCAAACTGAAAAACAAACGACTCAAAAAAAAAAGACACCGTGACAAGTGCGCAGGGTGACGGAACGGCAAAGACAAAGCGCAGTCAATTGGCACGAGCTGTAATGAGCGCAAAACTGACAGGTTTTTCCGGTCTCAGTCAAGGGGCATGAACCGTCATCACACCAACTCCGGTCGGTGGTGACCGTGTCGCGTGCTTTCAGGTTCCCTTCCGCGGCCGTCTGGAACGCTCTTGCTTCTCATATTAGGAAACCGCTGGGGCTGTGCGCTGTCACGTCCTTTCTCCGCACCTCCCATTAGCACGGCTGGCTACGTACAGGCGCGGAAGAAGTTCAACGTGCGCGCATCACACCGGCGTGCACATCAGCATGCGCGTGAAGAGGCACCTGTAAACATCGAATGTGTGGTGAGGTTTCCGGTGGGTGTCCCGTAGGTACTCCGGCGGCACGTAGGGCAACGTTCCGAACAATTTGGTTGACTCTCCATCGCTCCACTTACTCTTGGTCTCGCGCAACAGCTCCGGCTCAGTGTCTCTGCCCTGCATCGACCGGAGAAGCGCACGGCGGGACGAAGTAAACACGCGAAGTACGCCGCCTTAAAACGTCGTTCAGTTTGTGTGCCGTGGGGTCGCTGACCCGAAATGTCGGCGGTCCATGAAGAGGGTGCTTCACAAAAAACGTTAAACGCCCCGGAGAGTTTGCAACAACGCCACGGGAAATGTTGCTGCTGCCTCCCGGGGCTCTTGAGACCACGTGGAGATGATTCCAGGCCACGCGTTGGCAACGATGGCGAACAAGTGGAGACTCTTTGACCTTATGAGGCTATTAACATAATTTGTTATCATGTTACAGTGTATTATCCGTTCTTTTTCCATTAAAAACGATAGTCTCATAATAAGTGTTAACATTTTTTTGAAGCGCCCTTTATAGTTGTATGCCAAGGCAGTGCTGTTGACTGGCGTGTTGAGGTTTTTGTTCTTGATTGTGATTGTGCACCACTGGCAACGCAGAAGAATCACCAAATGACCTTGAAATAGTGGGAAGAGCCACTTTATCCTGAAGAGAGTGTCTCGTTTACATAACTGCTCATGGTTATTGAATCGTAAAGGAAAGTTTGAATTGGTGAATATACATTTTTGGCCATGTACTTTACAAGTACTCATTGCAAAATTTTCAGTAATACTATGAACCTGATGCAAAGGGTAATGCATCAATGGATAAGTAATATTATATGATTATCTGTCCCATGTATTTGATTTGTGAGTTAATTTATGAAAGGGCATGTCTGTTGAAAGTATCATTCAGACATTTTAATTATTTGGCTAATCATTAGTAGAATCATCCAGTGGATTTTTTTTTCAGATAAAAATAATACGTCCCAAGTCTCCCTTGCTAAAGAGGTGTTTCCCAATGTGCTATTATCATGTGATTGTAAACAAAGGATAGTAATGAACGAAAATGTTGGTCGTGTAGATGATATGTGTAAAAAAGGCATTTGATCATTTCATAGAATGTAAATTCAGACAAGGAAACATGGGATCTGAGTTGAACAACACTCAAGCTATGCAAAATAACACACACGCCATGGAATTCCTTGTTCACTCAACACAAAACCATGCACCCTTACCGTTTTTCCTTGCCCGTGAGGTTTTGCGAGTGCCTCATTCAGGCACAAGGACTCGATGTATGTCGGAGATTCGACGTTCCCCGTGACCTCTCGCCACTTCGACAACCCAAAGTCGCAGATCTGGTTTCACGACAGCAGCAATTGCAGGCGAAAGAGAAAACGGATGGGCAATGAGAATTAGGGCAGTTGCATAGTTTATGCTAATAATGAATATTATCAGCACAAACTATGCGACTAATTATAAAAACGAATTCTAATTAATTAAAGATAATTATGATTAATTATAATTAGTTTTTGTATGCAGGCATGTACACAAACAACGCTTTCAAACTGAAATTAAATGCTTTGATATATTAATTTTACACGTATGCTCTGTTGTATGAAATGGTACATATTTCAGATAGAAAACCGACACTTGTTCCCGCCACTGCACACGACCACGACCGACTTCACGTATCACCACTGGGTTGCACAATTGTTCAGGGATCATCAGCATGGCAAATGCAATTGTTTTCATCACTACGCAACAAATGTGGAAAACGCGTCACAGAGGTGATCACGCGGGTCTGAGAACCCTGGTAATGTGGGGTTTTTATTCCCGGCCATGATAACCTTGGTAGTGAACCAGATGCGAACAGGCCCTGGCAGCCCCACTTTCACCAACCCGTATTGACCAGCATGGTCAAGTATGGCCAAGCAACATCTACAACCAACGCAGCACGGGGAGGCTTTCATCCAGCAGTGGATTAACAAAGTGCTATAAATTACTTAACGTATTAAGCCCCGTTCCCCGGAACTGCTAAACGCTTTTATCATTTGGGTCACAGGGAGCGGCCGCCCTCGTCGCCACGCACCTTCACGTGGTAGTCATCGTCCAGCAGCACGTTCTGTGGTTTGAGGTCGAGGTGCAGCAGTGGATGCGGCTTGAGCCCGTGCAGGTAGTTCATGCCGTGCGCGATCTGGTCGACGAAGCGGCATCGCAGAGGCCAGGGCAGCGCCGAAGAATCGCCCCGCGTGCCGCTCGCTTGGCCGCACCGCTGCAGCAGCCCGTGCAGCGAGCCGCACGGCATGTACGGCATCACCAGCGCGTGGCGGAAGCTAAAGTCGTGCTTGAACGCACGCGAAGAGATGCCGCCGCTTTGGAGGATTTGGCTGCACAAACCCAGGTCCACCGGGGCCAGGTTCAACTGCGCGCTGCTGATGCCCGGCACATAGCCCCGCAGAGGCAGGATGAAGTCGAACTGCGCCATTTTCATCTTCTGGGCCTCCTTCAGGAGGTCAGCTTCATGGCTTGGTGCATGGGTTGATTGGAGAGAAGAAAAACATGAATTCATAGTTTTTATTATATTCCACCCGATTTTATTTGCATTGTTGTCGGCATCAAATCATTGCAGAAAACTTCATTTGAAACACACAGTGAGCAGTGCACCACTGGAACGCCATGTGAGTATGCTGCTTTAACAACAAATAGAGGCACGTCTTTTATAAGCACTCCAAGGAGTGTATTCGCAAGTCAATCAAACCTAAAATGTTTCATTCATAGCTATGTAATGACCAAAATTAACAAGCACTCACCCCGAGCCAATGTGCAGCCAAACGGTTATTCAAACGTTGGCGAAGGTCTCCGAAAGAGGCCTCCGCGGTGAGGCAGGGCTTTGAAGCGATTGGAGGAAAAGGTTCGAACGAGAATAGGCAGGAAACAGAGCGGAAAACCCAGAGGCTATGGCTGGGAGCCGTTAGAGGACAGAGATTGAGGGATTGGCTAGGGGGGGGGGGGGCATCAGTGAGGGAAGATTCGAGAAGGGGGGGCTCGAGCAATGTAAAAGGGGAGGGGAGACCAAGCACGAAGCCCGGACCTCGTGTTGTTACCGTGTATTGATAAAAGATGCTCCCTGTAGTTCGCCGTTCGAGTAATTCCAGTCAAATTAAATGCAAAACCAAACCCAGTTGCTTTTTTTTTGTGTGCAGATATTTGTGACTGGGTTGAGAACATTCATTTTCCCAACTTCAAAATATGGTTTAGTTACAGGTGGCTGCCGGGACTCTAACCTATGATCTAGGCAGTGCCCTCTGAGTGCCCTGACAAGGCAGTAGGCCCCTGAGCAACTCAGGATATCTCTCAGCATTCGTTAACGTGGCATTTATTTACTCACCCAGGAAAGTCTTGATGAGTTTTAAGCTTGTTTTTTTTCTCCCTTGTAAATATATATTTACAAGAAACACCACAGTATGTCAGATAAATGCACCATTACTATTGCATAATGCTAAAACTTTATACAGCAGGGTAGTGAGATGTTATCTTCCTTGCCTGGTATGCAGGAGATCGGGGGTTTCATCCTGATCCTGATGACTATATATTTGGAGCTTGCATGTTCTCCCCGTCGCCATGTAGATTTTTTTCTCTGGGCCCTCTGGGTTTTCCCTCCACATTTAGAAACATGCATTAATGTTTAGATTATTTTGGTGCTATAAATGCCCAAACGATGGGCCACTTGTTGAGCTATAATTTGTGACCAGGTCGCTTCTGAAAAATAAGTGAATACATCGGTGGGCTTCGCCTGGTAGGATGGGGATGGTTTAGTTTAATTTGTGTGTTTCGGTGATTTATTTACCTTTCCTATAGATTGCACTGCTATCATGTTTTGTGTTGTTTGTTGTTGTAACATTCTCACCCGTCTCTACTGGACATCTGTGAAAAAGAGCTTCATAGCTCATCGGATTCCTTCACTGTAACTAAATATTCAGACTGATTCTGAGTAATGCATTCACTGCACTAATTCCTACAGGAAATGAATCGCCTTGTTGGAGCAAGTCGCATGAACAAGATGGCTTTATCTGTACGTGATCCACCAACCACATCTCAAAAGTAATGGATTACAGGCATGCATATCCAGTGCCAGGGATGCCACAATGGGGGGTAACAATTAGCAGAGCTGACCTCGTGATACAGAGGTTGCCGGTTCAATCCACTCCCCCAGTGTGACAGTTGAAACAATCGTGCAAGCTTCTAAAAAATTACCCCACCTCTGTCCACCCAGCAGTGGAGGGCACACCACAGTTAGTCGATCGGAAGGTCCGGTGCAGTGCAGCAGGCCAAAAATGCTTTCGAGAGGGGGTTATGCAAAGCTTACATTAAGTTGAAGCCCTCCCATTAGCAGTGGTTGTAAGCAAGCACTTAAAGAGCTACGCCCTGACTCTTCATATATCCGCCACAACTTGCATCCAGAAAGAGAACAAATGCCTCTTCTTTGGTTCTTTGGTTCACTCAAGCGCTGTCCTCCAGACAGTGTCGTCCCCTTCACCTGATGAAGGCCGCTTGTGTTGTGGCCGAAACGTCGTGAGAATATTATTGTGTTATTTTATTTTATCAATTTATTATTTTATTCTCATTCTACGTGACTTTACCGAAAGAACCAAAGAAGATGAATCCTTGCAGTCACGAAAGCTTTAAATCGAAAAGAACAAATGCCGTTTGTAAATGTATAGACGCAAATACCTTCATCATGGCCATATAGCGGGTGCTCCATTTTCATCAAGCTCCACGATAAAATAAGAAACAGATTCCACGACAACAAGACCACACTCTGATTGTGACTATAAAGATGCATCACCTGCGCCCGCTAATAGCCACAGGCCCCCGGGGGATAGGAGACTCACCTTTGTGAGAGGTGTCCACTCGCCTTAGCACACTTCAGGGCCACCTGGACACACCAGCGCTTGTGCGTGGCCTTGAACACGATGCCGAACCCGCCGCTGCCGATGAAGCTGATGTCTGTGAGGTCCTCAGGGCTCACTGCCAGGCTCGGTATCAACGTGGGTTCAGGCAGAGGCAAGGCATCCTTCCTCACAGCCATAGCTGCCCAGCTCGCAGAGGCTGTGTGTGCTTGCTCTGTGAACACGCAACATCAGTTTAGCGTCGAATGAGACTGTGGTGAAAAGGGTTAAAGCAAATGCATTTCACGCCTTTCTTTTCAGTTGCTAAAAAAACCGTGCATTATGCAACTGCAGCTGCCGACAACGGAAGTATGGCAGCAGTGGGTAGGTCGTGTCGATTAATCAAGTGCTTCCTCGTTTGTAATGATCATGTGCACAAAAAAAGTCTTACTTTTTCACGTTGCAAAAAAAGCACCTGGGTTTTTCCATCTCTGTTGCCTTAGTTATGAATGAATTAATAAGTGAATCACTTTATCACCCCCCCCCCCCCCAGTGTATTCCAATTGTGTTAACGGCGTCGTGGCATGGGATATATAATGAATGAGAAACCCTCGCAGATCAGTAACGTCACCCCGTACGAGAGGAAAATATCCTTCAAGTTGCCATTCTACCCCTCGATACACTCGGGGTGGCACTTTCCCCCCGCACTCTGCGACGCGGTTGTCTCACGAGAGGCCAACCAATATTTTAGGTTTATTCTCAAAGTTTAGAATTTCGCCAATTTAAGTAACAAATAAAAAAAACTCATTTAACATCTATTCGCGCAGTGGTGACCCAACTGAGACCGTATTCTAATTGAGGATATCCAACGGAGGCCATGAGCGGTAACCTCTCAACTAAGATGTCATCATGATTAAAGCCGTTGACGCCACCACGTCTCGCCAGACGCGTTTTATCTTCCGACAGATCACGCAACGGCAGCGCAGTAGACATTTGAACGCCCAGATCGGCCCTTAACGGTCTCCAACCATCTGTTCTTAGGTCTTCACCCCGGTCGCCTCATTCGTGAAAGACCGTTCCACCTTGCGACCCACTTCCCGGTGATTAAGCGGTTATCTTAATGTGTAATGCAAGGGTTGGCTTCTTGAAAATACACAAAAGGGACCTACCCTTGGGTTGGGAGTAAGAATAAACTCATTAATTAAACATTAAGCGGTGATATCGGTTACAGTATCCCGATACAAGCTTGCCACCAGTGGTGTCCTGTTCAAATTTGATAATTCACACAATTTTAATTGTCCGGAAAATCGGATTTTGTTCAAAGTATGCGGAATAATCGGATGGAAAATGGTAATTTATTAGGTTCACTTCTTGATTAAATGCGCTTGCTCCACCACACATCCAGGAGTTGATTCAGACACACACACTCAGCTCAGATCTCTGAGATCCACCGTTTACGCCCGACTCCAGGCTTCGAACCCTGCGGTTACCACCGAAGATTTAACTCGCCGTGAATGGAGAATTTCGAAGTCCCGGATGAAGATACCACCAGCTGTTTATCAAGGCCCCCCCCTCTCTCTCTAGTTCTCTATCCTTGTCTCTTTAGTCGTTCTCTCCCCGGTTACTTCTCGCCTATTTCCCTTCCTTTGCATGCATGCCGCTCTGAGATCCATTGTTTAAGGGCGCCTCATTATTCTAAATTATTATTGTGCAGGCAACCTAATAAGAACCATGCGAAAGCAAACTCTTGTGTGTTACAAGAAATCATTCTGCTACGTTTAGAACACGGTACTACGGTGTTTTTGTCCCGACCAAAACACACGCATTAATACGCCAGAGAGAACATTCACACGTGGCACACAATGTAGGCTAGCAATCTACTTGCTCTACTGTCATTTTATTTTTACTGCTCCCAGCACTCCCAACTGTGCAATCACACGCTGAACCACCAACCCACGCAACGCTCTAAAGGCGCTCCATTGCAGGCGCCAAGCCCGGACAAACGCATCATATTTAAGACACTGCTCATCAACGTAGCTCATCAACTTCGTTAGAAAGTCATCCACATGCGAGTTGTCAGTGAGCTGGCAACACGGCCAATGCAGCCTTCGTTTGCTCTATAAAACGTAGGCAAAGATCCCACGTATAGCCGTAACAGACTGTTTGGGAGGCAAATTTACTGCTCGCGAACACTTTTTCAAGGCCGGCGCGACACACAAGGGGGGACATTGTGTGTCCAGCACCACGCCCGGCCGGCCTTTGCCCCCCAAGCGGCGAAGTTTACACATCGCACCAGGTGCTCATTTAAGGCTGAGCCGACCTAGGGGCATGATGCCCAGGAGGACTTGTTCAGACAATCGTCACTGGCGTTGTCCGTGAGCGACTCTTCATAAACGCAGCGCGCCTATATCGTTCCCCAGACAATGTGTCACACACGCACACGCACGCGCGAGCAAGTACTTAAACTGCGCCGACTTGAACAAGCCGGCTTCCAGTTGTTGTCGTAGCAGTTGTCGTAGCAGTTGTCGTAGACACTGGACGCGGGTCTTGCTTCTTTGACAAGGGAGAGAGAGAGAATGAGAAGTGAGAGCGGTGAGTTGGAGGTGGCAGGGGGGGTTCCTCCTCCGCTGCGCGTGACGTGCCCGCTGCGACGCTGACGATGCCGCTTCCTGCCACGCGCTTCTTGCGGGATACAGGGGGCGTGCGAGCAGAGACTGCGTTGGCTGGGCCGTGCGGGTCACGTTTGGGCTGGCTCGATAAGCCCGCAAACACCCAGCCACCGCATTCCCAAGCCAGCTTCTGTTTGAGCGGCTAAGAGGGGGATGAACGGGCGCGGCACGGGCTAGAGATTTGGATCTGGGCTGATGCCCTACAGAGGGATGTGGAGTTGAGTGGACTTGCCGATGTCCGGTTACAAGGGGTGTCAAAATTGCCTCCGTGGAGGAGGATCGTGAAGGACGCTACCTGGGTCCGTTGGAGGCAGTCGCCCTCCAACAACAACGGAGGGAGGAGTGATGCTCACAACAACGAGCAGAGCGCCGGGCGACTAAAGCGCAACATGTTGGCACAATGGCACAGGTGGTGCATCTGACAATCATCTCAGTCAGTCAACCTATGGCACCTGAGTCGCTCCCGTGGCCTGCCAGCAGCGAGCCTCCGACAGTTCACGTCACTTCAAAGTGCACCTAGCCTGGCACAAACACCAATTGCAGGGAAGTACCTTTATTTTAGTCTTTTTTTAACCTTTTTTGATTGTCATCAGTACCTTGCTGGGTCCCTCCTGGCAATGTTCGGTTGGCATAATCATTGCTTAACCACGCAGAGGTGTGTTTTGGCATGATTTGAGGCTGGGCGAGACGCGACGTCAGCCTTTTTGGAACCAGAAGTACCCGTTCCAATCTGTGACCAACTCAACCATACTTTGGACATTTTATACAAAACACGGCACTCGCGTGATATGGTTGTTGTCGATTTTGTTGTCTTCTATGTAAGTGTATTGGTGCCGTTATATCACCATGTGTGTGTGGACTCTAATAATCTTAAGATAAACAGTGTGCATGGTGTGAACACAGTCAGGGTTAGTTTAATAAGGGTTGTTGAGTTAGAATGTGGTGCTTTGTCGTTGGGCTTATCCACGTGTTGGTGTAGTTTGTGTCTGGGGAGCGGTAGTGCAGCGGTTAGAGCGCTATGCTTTGAACCCGGCAACCCGAGTTCGATTCCCACTCACGGCCAACACCAGTGACGATGATTTCAACCGGCCTTGAGCTTCCCCTAGGTTGACTCAGCCCCAAATCAGTACCTGGTTACATGTGTAAAATATCGCCACGAGGGAGACAAAGGCCGCTCGGCGTGGTGCTGGCCACCCAACTTCCCGTATGCCGTGCCGGCCTTCATAGATGCTCGCTAAGAGCATTTGCCCTAACAGTCTGTTAAGGCTATACAGGGGAGCTTTGTCTTTGTAAGTGCAGATCTGAAGCACCAATGATGGTGTGCGAACTTTACATGCAGTGCTGTTAACTTTTAATATCATACTGAACACTAAGTATGTAGCAATGGTCAGACAGCTAATTTGCTTATGGCAAAATCAACTTCAATCTATAATTATTGTATTACATTTACGGCCTTCGGCCAGGAAAGTCACAACAAAGTTGCATACGAACAACGCATTCACGCAGGCACCCGATGCTCCGTTTTGATGTTTTAAAATGAAACATCTTTGAATTGTAAATTTTGATTTAAAGCTTTCGTGACTGCAGTAATTCATATTCTTAGTTTTTTCGGTAAAGTCACGTTGAAGAGAAACAACAAAATAACAAAATATATATAAAACAATAAAAAATTCTCACGACGTTTCGACCATAACTCAAACGGTCATCATCAGGTGTGTCGGTTTGCATAAATTTATTTTGAAAACGGCATATTTATTTATATATGTAAAAAATAACGTTTGCGTCACGCGCAACGATGGCAGTTTGCCAGGACTAGTCCATCTATTTTTTGAAAAGAGGAGGGGGGAGACGAAATTTGTTTTTATGTATGCTGTCTGAAAGGCACTGTAAGCGTGAACAATCAATCAAGAACTGAAATGATTTATCAAATCTTTCCAATGATTGCTAAGATAGAATCCATCTTCTCGGTTGAAATTGTCTCTGTGTTTGTATATGTGGATAGCCTCATGAACGAATCTCTCATGGAAGCCAGATGGCTTACAAAGAACCTCCGTCTTGGAAAAGTCAATGGCATGTGAGCCTACTGAATTAGAACAATGATCTGCTACGGCCGAGGTGTTGGTCCTACCGTGTTTAAGGTCTGCTTTATGTTCACGAATGCGGTCCGAGATATGGCGTTTGGTTTCTCCAATGTAACTACTACCACAGAGGCAACTTAGTTTGTAGACACCAGGGTATTGTATGTCCGGAATCACATCTTTTACAGACGGAACCAGATCACGGATTTTATGTAATGTGTTGAAACGGACCTGGATCTTGTGTTTATTCAAGATTTTGGAGATCTTTTTTGTGATCCCAGCAATGTAGGGTAAAGTGATGGTTTTGAAAGGCTCCTCAAGAGGGTTCTTCTTCATGGTTTGAGTGATAGCTTTGCGGATTGTATAGTCGGAGTAACCATTAGCCCTAAGAGCTTGGTGTACGTGCTTGAGTTCACTGCTTATGTGTTTCCTGGTCGGATATGCATTGGGCTCTATGATACAGAGTCTTGATGAGAGAATTCTTCTGTGATGGATGGTGGTGGGAATCCGGTTTCAGATAAGCATCCGTATGGGTAGCTTTCCTGTAGACAGAGTGGCTCATTGAACCATCAGGTCTCTTTTTAATTAGGACATCCAAAAAAGGTATCTTGCCATCTATTTCGACTTCCATGGTAAATCTGATGGCTGGGTGTATGGAATTGATGTGGTCGAAGAATTTGTCTAGAGCAGGCCGGCCATGTGGCCAGATGACAAAAGTGTCATCCACGTACCTCTTCCATAAGGTTGGGCGCAGAGTGGCAGTCTGGATGGCGTCAGTCTCAAATTTCTCCATGAAAATGTTAGCTATAACTGGAGAAAGGGGGGAGCCCATTGGGGTGCCCTCAGTTTGTTTGTAGAAAGTTCCATTCCAAGTGAAGTATGTATTGGTTAAACAGTGTCTCACCAGGGGGGGTACCTCAGTGTTTAGTCCTTGATGAACCAAGTCTTCAATGATTGCAATGGTGTCAGGTACAGGAACCTTGGTGAATAAGGAAACTACATCAAAACTGACAAGCAGGTCGTCTGGGGACAGGGAAATACCCTTGATTGTTGATACCAGGTGAGTAGAATTTTGTACCGCAGAGGTGGTCTTTCCAGTGAAAGGACGCAGGATTTCAGACAAAAAACGAGCTAGTTTGTAGGTGGGGGAGCTGATAGTAGAGACTATGGGACGAAGAGGTGTATCAACTTTATGTATTTTTGGTAAGCCGTATAATCTTGGTGGCCTGGCAGCAGAAGGTTTCAACGAAAACTGTTTAGATTGATCAATTAATGCGGTTGAATCAGAAATTATTTTGTTGGTTTGTGTGACGAGGCTGTTGGTGGGATCTCTTTTTATTTTTGTATAACTACCATCGTCGAGTAATTCTTTAATTTTGTTGTTGTATTCTATTTTATCCATGATAACAGTAGCATTGCCTTTGTCAGCTGAGAGAACTACAATATCATTCCTCTTTTTTAATTTATATAATTCAAAACGCTCATCTTTGCTGAGGTTGCTAGCTGGCATCTTAGCGTTTTTGAGGGTTGCAGCGATTTCAGATCTTGCTACGTCTGCAGCGATGTGACCCAGGCCCCTGAGAGCAACGTCTACTTGGGCAATTATATCATTAACTGGTATGTGTTTAGGTGTGACTGCAAAGTTCAGACCTTTAGCTAAAACGGATTTCAGACCATCGGAAATAGAACTGTTACTGCGATTAATTACGACTTTATTAACGTCTAACTTTTTGGTGTGTGGGTCCGGTCTTTTGTTTAAGAGGAGGTTAAATTTGGAAATCAGGTTTTTCTTACATTTGGTCGACATAGTAGCAGCTGAAGAGGCAGTCATATTGTCTACATGTTCCCAATCCGATGTGGACATTATTGCCGTCAATGATAAGTGTGATTTGTAGAGTGTCTTGTCTAACTGATCTAGTTCTGTGCGTATAAGTCTGATTTTTTCTGAGATAAGAGCTAAGCTAGTTTTGAAAAGAATTCGTTTCGCATTAGAAGAAGTTACAGTAGCAGAGGTGAGTGTAAATGCGATTGGTATTACCCCAGAGTCGCGGCAAAAATTTAACCTCCTCTTAAACAAAAGACCGGACCCACACACCAAAAAGTTAGACGTTAATAAAGTCGTAATTAATCGCAGTAACAGTTCTATTTCCGATGGTCTGAAATCCGTTTTAGCTAAAGGTCTGAACTTTGCAGTCACACCTAAACACATACCAGTTAATGATATAATTGCCCAAGTAGACGTTGCTCTCAGGGGCCTGGGTCACATCGCTGCAGACGTAGCAAGATCTGAAATCGCTGCAACCCTCAAAAACGCTAAGATGCCAGCTAGCAACCTCAGCAAAGATGAGCGTTTTGAATTATATAAATTAAAAAAGAGGAATGATATTGTAGTTCTCTCAGCTGACAAAGGCAATGCTACTGTTATCATGGATAAAATAGAATACAACAACAAAATTAAAGAATTACTCGACGATGGTAGTTATACAAAAATAAAAAGAGATCCCACCAACAGCCTCGTCACACAAACCAACAAAATAATTTCTGATTCAACCGCATTAATTGATCAATCTAAACAGTTTTCGTTGAAACCTTCTGCTGCCAGGCCACCAAGATTATACGGCTTACCAAAAATACATAAAGTTGATACACCTCTTCGTCCCATAGTCTCTACTATCAGCTCCCCCACCTACAAACTAGCTCGTTTTTTGTCTGAAATCCTGCGTCCTTTCACTGGAAAGACCACCTCTGCGGTACAAAATTCTACTCACCTGGTATCAACAATCAAGGGTATTTCCCTGTCCCCAGACGACCTGCTTGTCAGTTTTGATGTAGTTTCCTTATTCACCAAGGTTCCTGTACCTGACACCATTGCAATCATTGAAGACTTGGTTCATCAAGGACTAAACACTGAGGTACCCCCCCTGGTGAGACACTGTTTAACCAATACATACTTCACTTGGAATGGAAC